GCAGAGATCAGTAGGATCATGGTTTGAAGCCAGCCCAGACAAATAGTTCCATGAAACCCTACCTAAAAAACCCTTCACAAAAATAAGGCTGGTGGAGTGGCTCAAGGTGAAGGCCCTGAGTTCAAGCCCCAGTACCACAAAAAAAAAAGAGAGAGAGAAGACATAGCAAGAGAGCTAGGCAGTGTCTCAGTATTACAGTGCTACTGCATATGGTGCTTGCCTGGCCTGGGCACGGCCCTGAATTTGATCCCCAACACTGCAAGAAAAAAGAAAGAAAAGAAACTTAAAAGAAAGAAGGTACAGCAGGCAATAGCTCGGTATAACTCTGTTTGATTTCAAGGTCATTAAGTCACCATTTGTAGTCAATTGTAAAAAGATGGAAGGGTATTTTCAGTTGCATGTGTATCAATAAATTCTTAATGCATTTTGTTGCTCTTTATCAAAGCATCCAAGTCCTTTGGCTCTCCTATGAGCGGACATTGAAAATAAGCCTGTATCTTTGGTATCTTCATTTTTTTCTAACTCTGCTATCCAAGCCACACAAGTTAACTTCTTTTTTTCTCAGTCCTGGGGTTTGAACTCAGGGCCTCATACTGGCTAGGCAGGTGCTCCATCACTGAACCACATACCCAGACCCTGCTGAATTAATTGTAAACCTTAAAAGTCCTTTATTATTATGATTATTATTCAAATTCATGATTTTTAACATTCACTGATTTTTAACATTCACTGAGAGTCCTGAAATATTTCTCTTCAGGAAAATGGTCAAAGTGTAGCACACACAGGAGAGACATTCCAAACCTTGCTCTCTGTGGTCCTTTCTATGCCTCTTACCTTTCCCATCCCTCCACCTGCCAACTCTGCAGTTTCTGAACCTCTGCAGACAATTCTTTCCTTTCACATAACTTGGAAGGCCTCCCCTTCTTCCCAGAGTGCTACCTCCCAGTGAAAGTCCACAGGGCACTTTCCACATACACGTGTCACTCCATCCCCTTGTTTCTTGTTAAATACAAGAATGGATTAGCTAGTTCTGAAATTCAGAGTTCATGGTAGGAAAGTGCTCTTTGGAGTCTAGAAGTCCTTGCTCTGAAGCCCGGCTTTGTCACATATTCCTTGGAGGACCACTCTGATTCTCAACATGGCTTAACCCTCTTTAACCTTTATTTTTAATTCTTTATTATTATTTTATTATCTATTTATTTTTGGTGGGACTGGGGTTTGAACTTTGCACTTGCAAAGCAGGCTCTCTACTGCTTGAGCCACACCTCTAGTCCATTTTTGCTCTGTTTATTTTGGAGGTGGGGAGTGGGAGGTCTCATGAACTATTTGCCTTGGCTGGCCTTGATCCTCCAGCCTGCCGATCTCAGTCTCCCAAGTACCTAGGATTACAGGCGGGAGCCACAGGCAGCGCTTGGCTTTTTTTTTTTTAAATAGAAAGTAAATGAATGTCCTTTGAAGTTTTAAGAATTCATTCATTTTATAGCCAGTAAAGAGTTTTCCAAAAGTGAAGAAAGTGTACTTTGTCAGAGCACATAGGGATGAGGCCAGGTGCAGGCAGATGCCCTGCAGGCCCAAGTGTCAGCACCCATTTCCACCCTGAGGGCTCCACTTCCATGCCTGTGTCTTCAGCTTGGGCTGAGGCTCAGTGCTGCCAGCCCTTTGGGAAGATGCTCTAGCACTTCACAAACCTGCAGGAGTAGCTTTCTAATACTTCTATAAGTTAGTCACACAGTTTAAATCCTCCAACAGGAAACTATGAAGGAAAAGAGATATTAACAGTACCACTAAGCACAGCACAGGTAGCTCACGCCTGTAATTCTAGCTACTCAGGAGGCAGAGATCAGGAGGATCCCGGTTCGAAACCAGCCTGGATAAATAGTTCTTGAGACCCTATCTGGAAAAAACCCATCACAAAATAGGGTTGGTGGAGTGGCTCAAGGTGTAGGGCCTGAGTTCAAACATCAGCACCACAAAAAACCAAAAACTAAAAAACAAAACCAAAAACAAACAAAAAGATCCAGTACCATCACCTCGCTCTTTGCTAGGGATTCTCAAACCTGAGCCTGCTTGTATCAAAATCCCTTGGAAGGTTTGGTAAGAAGACTTAGGTGGCTGCAACCCAGGGCTGCAGCTTGTCTGGGAAAGGAGAATCTGCATTTCAAATGGGCTCTGGTGATGCTGACCTGCTGAGCCCGGACCACAGGGCTCTGGTGATGCTGACCTGCTGAGCCCGGACCACACTGGGAGGAGCATTGTGTCTTGCAAATCAGGTGAGGCAGTGTGGCAGAACCAGGCTGCCCTAGGGTAAGTCTGGGGAAATATTTAACCTCTCTGTAGGTCTTTGGTTTCCTCCACTGTGAAATGCACCCATCTCAGCCAGCTGCCAAGAGCTGAAATAAGCTACAACACAGGAAGCACGTTAAGCGGCAGCTGGCAGAGGTAGGAAGTGCTTAAAACAAGGGTTAGTTATTATTATCAGTACTACACCAGGTTCTGCTTCGTTTCTCCACCACCAAGACATTAAGGTGCACAACCCCTTCCAAGCTCCTCCACTGAAGCCCAGGCAGCGGCTTCTACTCATAGCCTCCCCCTCTAATTTATTAACAAATAAAACTTCAATATTTAAAAGTCAAATATTAAATGGGGGATAAGTAGGCTACAATATATGTTTCAGATGAAGAGTTAAACATGGCTGTTGAGTAGGGCTCGTATCTCACTTGAAGAGTTGAGTTTAGGGTTTGCCAAAAATCACAAAGGTTTTTCGGTTTTGTTTTTGGGTTTTTTTTTTTTTTTTTTGGCAGGACTGGGGTTTGAACTCAGGGCTTAACACTTGCAAAGCAGAGGTTTTTCGGTTTTTGGGGCGCGATGTGCCAAGGGCAAACTCGATGACAATGATGACAAGTGACGTCAGAACCTACTCTGAGGACGTGACCTAAGAAGTCACTCAGAGGAGGCTCGCTTTCTCTTTTCCGCAGTCTGAACCTGGTGTTTTGTAGACACAGCTGAGAAAACCGGGCTGTAAACGAAAAGGCCTGGTCAGCACTGTTTTAACGCACAGTGCTTCCATATAGAGATGCACTTCAACGTATTTAGGGAGAAATAAATACTTTGATTCAAACCACGCTGCAAAACAGGGAACCTCAAAGGACCATTTTGAGCTCTCGACCTCAAAGAGGGAAATCGACCAACCAACACTGACAGCTTGCGGGGGAAAGGGTGCGATCCACAGCAGATTCGGGGACAACGGGGCACCGAGCCGGCGAGCCGGGCTCTGCGCGGCCGGCACGACAGAGCGGGCCCGGCCCGGGCGTGAGCGCGGCTCTAGTGGTCGCCGTGCGGGATCGCTGTTTTCTTCGCAGCTTTTCTCTCGGTCTCGGTTCCGGGCCGGGCCACCCCGCCCCAAGGCCTCATCGGCGCCTCGCCGCGATGGCGAGGGCGGGAGCGCGCGGGCCGGCGGCTGCGCGGGCGCCTGGGCGGCGGAGATAAGGCGGAGAGCACAGCCAGCCTCGGCGCGGCAGGGCGCGGCGGGGGGGGGCGGGGCCGACGCGCCTCGGCCTGGACCAATCGCCAGCGCCGGTGACGATTCAAAGGCCTGCGGACCAATGGGAGCCCAGGGCGGTCTCGCCGGGGGCGGGACTGCAGGGCTCCAGATCGCGGCCCTCAGCGTCGCGCGGGGAACGGCGGCGGCTGCTGCTCGGCTGCTCTCCCGGAGCCGCTCGTGTTCCCGCCGGACCCGGCAGGTGAGGCCCCCCGTCCGCCCCGCGCCTCCCGCCGCGCTCCCCGCTCCTCGCCGGCCACCGCGTGGCGGCCGAGACCCTGGGCGGGGACTCCGGGCCTGCGCGGCGGCCTGGCCTCGCGTTCCGCTGGTCGGTGGGGCGGCAGAAGCTCGGGCCCCGCCGTGCGGGGGCGGAGTGTGGTTCCGGGCCTTTGTCCCGCCCGCTGCGCGGCCCGGCGCTGACAGGGGGCGGGGGCGGGGGCGGTGACAGCGGCCTCGAGGGCCCCTGGCGAGCGTGGCGGGTGCCGGGGTCCCGCCGCCCGGGCGGGGGACAGGACAGTGGGGTCAGCCGGGCCGGGCGCGGCGCGGGGGCGCGTGGGGCTCCGCGGGCCCCGTCGGGGCGGCGTTTCCGTCGCGTTCGTCCCGGCGAGCCTGACGCCTTCGGGAAGCTGCCGGGCCCCGTGAGCCCCGCTAGTTCGGAAAGGTGAAGGGCGGACGCCGGCGCGCATGGTGACACCGTGGGGCCGGGGTGGCCGGGGCCCCGTGCTTCTGCCGTTCGGGGGGACTGAGCACCGTGGCAGGGGCTGTCCGCACTCACCGAGGGCATCGCTTCGTGGCGGGCCCAGCTCTGGTGGCCGTCCTGGCCGGTTGGCCCGCAGGACGGATCGCGCCGTGGCCGATCGCGCACCCCTCGCGTGCGCACAGCATCAGTTGCTGCCTTCATCTTTCGGGACCTGTGTGTAGAAGATTGCGGCCTCCTTAGGACAGGAACTGTCACCCCCAAGTCTCAGCTCTTTAACTCTCTCCTCCTCCTCCTCCTCTTCAGTCCTGGGGATCAAACCCAGAGCCCAGCACTGGCCAGGCACTACTGCTGACTCCACCCTCCGCCAGCCCTTAAGAAAAGTAAAAGAGAAGAAAAATCTTAGAAACTCAACAGATTTCTACAAGATATTTTAATTTTTTTAAACTCAGTATTTTAATCGGTGATAGGAAAACCTTTTGGCATTGCCCTGTGTTCAGTACCGCACATCCGTGTTTATGCAGTGTCTAATAGGTGCAGTGGAAAAATGCCAATGAATGGATTTTTCAGAAGGTACAGAAAGAATCTGTTCAAGAACCTTTTAAAGAGACAGTGGCCCCAGAGGCGTGGAGCACTCATTTTTTCAAAAGTCTGTGAAATGTTTTTTGAAACATGAATGGCATGCTCAATGCAGAAAGACATAGTTGTCGTCTTCACACCCTGGCTGACCAGCGTAGGAGAACCTGGTACTGACAGGTGGTTGATTTGGGCACTCTGGCAGGAGGGGCGCATTTCCTTCCTCTTTCTCTGCTCTGAGCTGGATGTTGAAATTGGCAAGCTTGCTGTTGTCACCTTCCTTTTTTGTACCCCTCCTTGTGCAGAGGTGTTCACTGCCGGCCACCCCCTCCCCCTTTCCCAAGTGCCCCTCAGGTGACTACTTATCCAGGCCCAACTACATTTCTGAAGCTTCTGGGCTCTTCCCCTCTCCCACCCCAAACCTGTTCATTACCCTAGTGATGCTATCTCAAGAGCTAGGAAGATGCAGTCTCTTTAATGTGCCTCTAATCACCAGATAAGTATTTGTATTTTCTTTCATCTACCAACTCAGGGCCCATATCTAAACAAGTGAAGCTTGTTAAGTGTTTTTCTCAGATGATTAACAGTAAAGAAATGTACCTAGGACTTTTTCTCAGGAGGAGGAGGCAAGGCAACTTTTTCCTTAAATCCACAGTCTTCAAAAGTTCTTAAATGTTACTGTTAGTGTTGTTTATTCAGCTCTTGACAGGAACCTGTGAGAAATGTGTATTTATATGCTTGGGTGATATGTAGAGACTTGCTTAGTTGATGTTCTCTCCCTAAGGTGAACATCTTGCTGTCTGCTTCTTGCTATTTTGCTTGGCATTAGGGACACTGGTTTTATCTTGTGGAAATGTGTATCTGTTAGTCAGTGAAGGGAGAAACCTTACAGCTTAGCTGCTGGAAGCACATAGCAATCCCTTCATATTTCAAAAAGGGTAGCAAACCTGTCTCCTGTGAACCTCATGTAAGTCACAGTTCTTTGTGGTACTGGATATCCATCCCAGGGTCTTGAGCATGCTAGGCAAGTACCTTACCACATGAGCTAAGCCCCTAGCCCTTTTGCTTATATTTTGTTTTTGAGAGCTGGGCTCGAACTTATCTTCTACCTCCCCTTCCCAGATAGCTGGGTTTATAAAGTGAGTGGCACCACACCCTGTCCTGACAGTTCTTGAACATTGTGGCTCCTTGAAGTGTACACGGAGTTTCCTGGATATTATAATTGGGGTGAGTGTTTGCTGTAGGCTTGAGAGAGGAGAACTTGTGCGTGCTGATCCAGGTATGTGGTGGTAGAAGTTAGTTGGTATTCTTTTGGGCTTTTGTTCTAAGAATTGAAACTTTATGAAATAAGCTGCAAATTTGCTATTCATTATAGATTTGAAATTCTTCTTCCTGTTGGTGAGTTACAGTGCACATCCGTGACCTTTTCCAGTCTGTTTTATACTTTGTTGTCTCCAGTAAGGTAGTTTGTTAAAAATATAATGAAACGCATTTTTAAAGCCTTTGAAAGTCAATATGCAAATTTACAAATATAAAAAAGTCTTTTGTGAGATTGTGTCCTGGTTTTTGATCACTCTAGGTGGATAGCATTTTGCATAGTATAAGCTGTTTGCTGCCTAGTATGTGTTGTCATACTTAATCTTTTGGGTCACTTTCTGTAGCACAGTGGCTGGCATCCTCTATAAAATGATGCAGTTGAGATACAGTGAAGCTGAGAGAACAACTTCTGTGTTGTCTGTCTGCCATTTCATGTATCTGTTTTTTTGCCCTTGGTCAAAACCATTAACTTTAAGCTTCAGTTTTGCCACCTGTAAAATAAGGAGTTTTATGTCCCTCTGGAGGTCTTTCCAGGCCCTAAAATCTGGGAAGTTGTATTTTAGTGACTAACCTATGGGAAGAGACAAAATATAAGTGTAAATATTGACTCAATGTTTTTGTTTAAAATTTAGACTAATTTTAGAAAATGCCAAGTAGGAAATTTGCCGATGGTGAAGTGGTAAGAGGTCGATGGCCTGGCAGCTCACTTTATTATGAAGTAGAAATTCTGAGCTATGACAGCAGATCCCAGCTTTACACTGTAAAATACAAAGATGGAACTGAACTCGAATTGAAAGAGAATGATATCAAGGTAAGAGCATCTTTACCTAAGCGCAGTTACAGTAAGAGGGAGTGACTACAGGTGTGGTTTCTAAGCTCAGCTCTCGGTGTTGGGAAGCACATGCTGGTTTTGGCTCGGGAAATGTGTGAATGAGGAGGCACTAGAAGGACATCAGGTCCTGGGGAAGATAGGTCTTCATATTGGAACCCTGGGGTGAGGGGTCTGCTGTGGGACTTCCCAGCAGGCTAGTGAAGGGACTCCGGGTTTCAGGGGTGACACCTGAGGTGAGTGCTGAGGACAAATGAGAAAACTCAGGTGATGGAGGAGTGGCTTCTCAGGGCAGCATGCCAAAGGCTTGGGAGTGATGGGGAAAAGTGCCAGAAGGGTGGGGTACCTGGAGGCCATACTGGAGGAGTGTTTAATACTCCATGTCCAGGAGTTTGGCCTTCATCGCCAACATTGGTTTAATTAGAGAGTAACTTAATTAGATCTGAATCTAGCCCATGGCTTCTCAACCTATCTGGGTTGTAAGATACCCGATTCATGGTTCACAACTACTTATAAAAATTTCTGTATAGCTATTCTCATTTGCTACCTGTTGCACATTAGTTTGGACCCCTGGGCTGTGGGTCACATTTGCAAACTCTAGTAAATATTTTAGGTTTTATAGGCCATACCGATTCTGCAGCATGGGAGCACCTCCAGGCAATATGGAAATAGACATGCTGTGTTCTAATGCAACTTTATTTATGCATACTGAGATTTGAATTTCAGTGAACTTTCATGCCAGGAAATGTTGTTAGTTTTGGTTTTGTGTGCAGTCATTTAAGGTGTAAAAACAATTCTTAGCTCTAGGGCTACCCACAAAAGAAGTGAATGAGTTGTATTTGGCCAGAGGGCGTGCTTTGCCTTCCCTGGTTCTAGATCCCCACAAACTGGAAGGAGTGACTTGGAGGGTCAGGATGGGATAAAACAGTGCCAAGTAACTAAACATAGACCTTTCAAGACCTGTTTGTGTGTTTTCAGAGGGAAACTGGGGGGTTACTTTTTTTATTGGTTATATGCTAGTTTCTGGACTATATATAATACTGTTTTATAGCATCATTATGCTTGATCACATTCACTATTCAAGGATGACAGTTTCAGAGGGATGACTTTCAAAGCGTGTGGTTGAAATATCAGGGTGTGTAGAGCCTGTAGACACCACACACAATTGTCACCTCAGTTTAATCAGTCAGTTGTAACCCTTGTATATGCTGTTGGAAGTGTGTAGCAACTGGGTAGAAACATTCATTCCATGGAGACACCTTCAAAGAACAGTTAGGGATGTGAAGGCTGCATTTGTCTCAGAAGAGCTGGAATCACTTATTGAGCATTTTTCATGGGCCTCACGTGATAATTCTCAGATCTTATGATTTCCATGGCAGATTTAGAGCTAAAGGTAGCAGAGTATGGTCTTTGTTGTCTTCTCCTAGCTTGAGCCTGTCTCTGGGTATTGTGATTTGTGGTCAGCTCTTTGCCACCTTCTCCTTTTGCAGCCTTTAACGTCCTTTAAGCAAAGGAAGAGTGGTTCAACTTCCAGCTCTCCCTCCCGAAGACGAGGGAGCCGGGGCAGCAGAGGCAGCAGGTCAAGGTCACGCTCCCGATCCCCTGGCAGGCCACTTAAAAGTTCCAGAAGATCTGCCTCTGCCTCCCACCAGGCTGACATTAAGGAAACAAGAAGAGAAATTCTGGAAGTGAAATTGACTCCACTTGTATTGGTATTGACTTTATACTTATACAGTATTTTGTCTGTGTAAAGCACTATCTTCCCCTTTATGTAAATGTTTATTCAAATTATTTGCAGTCAATATTAAAATGTCATTGAGACATCAGATGTAAGGTGATAGCTTTGAAAGACTGCATAAAAATCAAATGTTTGGATAGAAAGTATAGTTTTTGGAAACACTCTTGTTCTCTCAGAATCATTGGATCAAAAATGATCTCTTAAATGGAAAGGTTTTCAAAGTGCGTGGTTGGAAAACAGTGGAGCCTGCAGATGCCACACAGTGTACAATAGAATGAGTATTTTAGATGGTAGACCAAACAGAAAACATTTTAAGCAAAAAGAAGTAGAATTATCTTGTATTCCATTCACTTAATATTGTCTCTTTTCTGGATAAAATATACATAGGCTTTTAATAACCTTAAATAAATTGGACTACATACATGCTATTTTGTAGCTAGACTTTTTAAATTTTCAAATATTAGGAATAATTTTTCATGGCATATTTTCCTGCACTTTTTGTTGTATCATATAGTATATATCAAATTATATAGATACAGTTGTTAAATGCAACTCCTTTGTTGATACATATCTAGTGTTTTTCCTTCTACATATTCAGTATTATAAGGAAGTATTTTTTAACAACATGTGATTATCTCCTTAGGATAAGTTCTCATATGTGGAATTGCTAGGTCTGATGTATGGCACAAACTAGAGACTTTTTACACATTGCCAGGTTGCTTCAAGAAAGTTTATTATGTCAGTTACCACTTGTGGATGAATGCCCATTTTTCATAATTGTTTTGCAATGCGATTGTCAGATTTTCAGCTCACTGTTCCGATGACTCGAGTAAGTGAGTTTGACTGCTGCTCTGAGTGGCTGTCTTTACCAGCCCGGTGACTCAGGGTAAGGGTACATGCTGCATGCTGCTTTCTGGTGTACATTCATGACTTCCATTTTCAGTACTCAGGGGCTTGCATGTTTTCACTGTGATCTCCTAGTCCTAGTGACACAAAGCACAGCCTGGCTTTGCCCTTACCAGTAGAGTCTGGCCTACTGTGTTACATGTGCAAGGTCACATTTATGCTGTGTGCAGCTTTGAGCATCATGTCATGATTGCTTCTTTTGACTCCTGATTGTGACCTTTTGTAGTAATTTGCCTCATGGTGTTGAGTACCCTGTCACCATAAGTCAGTCAGTTAAGTGGACTGGTTTATAGTCAGCATGGTTTGAGTTGGCTTAGTAGCAGTATTACTGGATTCCATTTGTGGCTACTGTAGAGTGTATGTTGGATATTTGAGAAACTGAGCAGTTAAGTGTAGCTTCTAGGTGTGTCCGTTTGCTGCTAGGTGGCTTACTGGCACTTTAATAAACTCAAGTATATGTTGAATATTGTTACTGCTTAGTAAGACCTTGAGCTGAACCAGAACGTGATGTTGTATTAATGCCGTCCTTTGCCAGTGGCCTCCCAAATAATGCACTTGAACTTTTGTTTTTTTCCTATTGGTTTATTAGCATTTTGTTAATGATTTATAACGAAGCACAGTGATAGATTTCAGCTCTGCATTGCCTGAAAAATCTTTTGCATGTTAAATTCCTTTCCCTCTTCTGTCTGATGAGAAATTGTAAGAAGCTGAGTTGAGAAACAGCACATGTAGGCAGCATGAAATTCAGAAGATTGGCAGTTTGTAGGTTCCTAGTAATACTGTTTAAATTTCCATTGCTGGCTGTTTTGGAGGGAGTGAATGTCTTTTCCTCATTTTTTTGAACTTTTTTACCAATTTTTACTTTTATCTGCCTCAGCAAATACTGTATCTGACAGTGAACTTATTCTAACATTAAATATAATTACATTTGAAAAATGACAGATTTTATGTAGAAATCTATATACCAAAAGAGCCAAGACTGGGAAATACTAGTCAATTTTAACCCTTTTCATTTTTAACAAAAGGAGTCTTGAATTCTTTAGAATTGAGGCCGTGAAAGTCTTTGGCTTGTGTTATTGCTTCATTTTCCAGTAGTAATTTTTTTTATCATTGCGTTCCTTTTTAATAAATTGCAATTCTTTTGATTAAAATATTTTATATCCAATTTAGAAGCCATATGGAAATAGCGTCAACATATATAATGGTGAACCTGAACACATCGAGAGGAACGACTTACCTCGTAAAAACATACAGGTACAAAAGTGTTCTCTTTCCTGTTGAAAGAATGGCATTTTTATTAAGTGACTTTTCCTCCAGAAGCACATTGGAAATCGTAATATTTTATAATCTGTTCTACTTCTGTTCTTAAGAACTATGTGTAATTTAACAAACTTATTCTTGTTAGAATACAGTTGTATGGAGATGCTGAATTAGTTATGTAGTAGCATTTGTGGTAATTGTTGACTATAGATGTTTAATTCTTTTTATTTTTTAATTAGGAGAAATTCATTCTGTCACAAGAAGGTAGTTACCTATCCACACAATACAGCCTTCGTCCAAGAAGACAGGAGGTCAAAGTAAAAGAAGTAGATTCAAGGGAAGAGAAACTTGTTCCAAAAGGACCTGCATCATTGAGAACCTTCAAAGTGTCCCCCCCGCAGAAGAAGGAATTGGAGTTTGGAGGAGTCCCTGGTAGGTGTGGAACCTGGTTTGAAGGGCAGGCAGGTAGGCATAGTTGCTCCAAGGTGTCCTGAAGAGGCCTATCTGAAGAAGTCTGTAGCATGTGAGGGAATGAGTAGGTGGGAGGCTGAGGGAAGACCTGTCCAGAGAAGGAAGAGCAGTGCAGAGGCCTGAGCTGGGAGCCTTGTGGGGCAGGCATGGAGTAGGAAGGATGCCAGCGTCGCTATATTTAAAACTTTCAGAGGTTTGTTAGGTTTTGAGCAGAGAAATACAAAGAAGTGATAAAGGAAGTTTGACCTGAGAGTTGTATACATGAAGGGGTGGGTGATCAATTAGGGACAGGGAGATCTGATAATTAGATGGAGATGGCAGGACCTGATTTGGGCCGTAGTAGTAGGAACAAGCTGTATGCATAAAACAGGGTCATGGTGTCTGCTGTACCTGTTGCTAGACTGGTTAATTGTGAGGGTCAAAGATCTGCAGTGTGTACAGCCTTCAGGTTATTAAGTCGATGGAACTGATGAAAGTTTATTAGCAAGTAAGAAAATTCTTCTTGACCAAATGGTTCATAATCCTATATGGTTTACTTTGTGTGTTGTGAGCTATGAATAACCCTTGGTTAGTTGGTCTTTTACAGATGGTGTACAGCATCACTAAAAGTCTGTACATGTTACATGAATGTAATAGTATTTTAATTTTTAGAAACTTAACCATTGTAAAGTTTTTTGTTAAGATCAGATCAGTCTTAGATGTTCTGATCTTCAGTTTGCTGGCATTTGAACACTTTGTCTTCTAGTGGTTTCTCAGGTGGGATTTAGGTGTTGGGGGCTAGGTTTGTGTTTTTTTATCCTGCTCATGGGTGGCTGCCCTGGGAGGTTTTGATGGTACATTACAAATTGTTTTCAGCTAGCAGAGACCTGAGTTTTGACCTTAGTCGGGGGGGAAAAAGCCGAATCATTTTTAAACTAAACAAACTGAATTGAGATTTGAGCCTTGAATGTTTACTAATTGTTTGCAGGTGTGTTCCTCATTGTGCTGGGCCTGCCTGTTTTCCTCTTCTTGTTGCTGTTGATGTGTAAACAGAAGGATCCCAGTCTGCTGAATTTCCCTCCTCACTTGCCAGCTTTGAACGACCTGTGGGAAACCAGAGTATGTGGAGTCTACCTCCTCTGGTTTTTTGTTCAAGCACTGTTCTCCCTGCTGCCGATTGGGAAGGTGAGCTTTTGCTGTTGGGCCCTGTTATGACGCTTCCTGGCCCCTTAAGTGAACAATTTTAATGGCTTTTCAGTCACAGGGTGGTGTTGCTTATAACTAACGGGAACTTAGTTGCTCCTGTCCTATAACACTTGCTTATTAAGTGGGGCTTCAAAACTTTGATTTAGATTTCTTGTGTAATTTTCTAACCCAAATAGAAAAGAATAAGTTAGTTTGCAAAATAGCCTAACTTTTGGTGTAGCGTTTTAAATTAATTGATAGACTCCTGAGCTCAGTGGATTCAGCCTGGGTCTTTTCCCTGTTTTTTTATTTATTTTTAATATGATGACTTTTTCATTTTTATCCCTCTCAGAATTTTTTTTGTCAAGAACATTCTGTGTACTTTTCAACTCATGTAATGTTTTTAAAATTGTTCCCATTGCTAAGGTAGTTTTCTTTCGGTAGAGCATTTTTCTTAGATATGTTTAAAGAAACATGAGACACCCTAAGCCATAAATAATTTACTTAGGGATCTTATTCTCAGGGCTTTGCAAGTTTACCAGCTGTAAACCAAAGGATCAGCTCTGTTGGGAGTGATTAGTGCAGTGGGAGGAGGGTGGAGCTGCAGACCTAATGTGTTCTGTCAAGCATTTCTGTGATAATGGATCTTGAGTCATTCTTACGGTAAGGTTCTGTTGTCAAATTCAGATTAATTGAGCCTAAACTAGATAATTATTTGGAAAAGTAGTTTTGGTGGTTGAAATACAAACTAACTAAAAAAACGTAAATATGTATGTTACACTGTATCTGTATATTCACAGACGAAAGCATGTGACCAAACAGTATTTATTAGCCATCTCTAATAGATAAGGATTATCTGAAATTGACAAAAGGCTTCTGCTAATCCTGTGTAATCAGGTTTTTTGTTTCTATTCTTTGTCATAGCTAATGAAAGAATGAAAAGGTACTGACAGATGGTACCATCTTGTATTGGGCACTTGAAATGAGTTGCTATGTTTCTGAATAGTTACTTGCAAGCAGACTTTTTGCTCACCCAGTTCACATTGTTACCTGAGTGCCTCTCGTGGGAGCCACCATGTGGCATTCTGTGGTGATGCAAGGAGAGGAACTGATGGTTCCTGTCCATGAGGCCTACCCAGGGCCTCTTACCAGAGATGTGACGATCACATGAAGTGCTTAAGTAACTGGATGAGCATTTATGTGTAAATAGTGGGGCAAATAAGTATGTGAGTACATGACATCAAATGGCACACGGACCATTGTAGATTGGATAAGTAGGGTAGAGCCTGTGTTCAAAAACACCTCACAGATGGGAGCCCGTGGGGCTGAACTGTTTTGCAAGCAGCGGGACCTACCAGATATTAAGGGATTTTAGGGACATTCAGTCATATGGTACATGGGATGGTAGAGAGGGTGGTAATTGCAGTAGTCTCCATAAGTTACTAATGAAATTTATAATTAAGATAAATTCCTGAAGGTGGAATTGCTTCATCAAAGGACATACCATTAACATTTTTGTAACATTACTATATTTTCCTACTACAAGATATCCTTTTTCTTGGGTATGATGAAATTTAAGAGATACTGGAAGATATATATTGATACGTATGTATATATAATATATAGGAATGATAGTAATGTGCCTTAAGAAATCTTAAATAATGGCCTTATTAAGATACAGTTAACATACTTTGCAGTTCACCCATTTAAAGTGTACAATCCAATGGGTTGTTTTTTAATTTTTAAATTTTTTTCTTTTAAGGTTGTAGAAGGAACACCTCTTGTTGATGGAAGAAGACTCAAGTATAGATTAAATGGTGATTCTTTTTAAAGACTCAAATTAATGACTTGATAACTTTCACACTCCTTATACTGTCAAAGCTGATTACACTAGAGTTAGTAAATTATCTCAGTAGTTTGAAGACATGTACATAAACCACTTATAAAAAGTGCCATTCAAAGTATCATAGCCCCTCAGTCACTCCTACTATCTCGTTTTCTTTTCTTTTTCCATTTTTTTGAGGCAGGGTCTCCCTCTGTAGCCCAGGTTGGCCTGAAATTTAGCATCCTCCTGCCTTAGCCTCCTGAGTGTTGGGATTAGGGGTGTATCTACCACGCCCAGCTAGTTCTGTTTTTTAAATAGGATATGTCACTATTAGAAATATTGTACCTGTCTAGGATTTCACTGTCTGAGGCATTTTCATGGTCTGCCAGGGAGCCAATCCAATCCAATCCCATCCTTGCTTGCTTGGCTCCAGCTGACTGGCCTCTGGTCTGTCTCTTGAATTTGCATCATACTCTCTTCTCAGCCCTTTTCCTGCAGTGCTTTTCCCCAAAATGTCTGTCAGCTGCTTCTTCAGCTTTGTCATGTCTGTGCTTGGAGAAGGCCTCGGGTTCTTTCCTCTCCCCTGCCCTGTTTTATTCTCTTGACAGTTGTGCCTTTCTGTTTACTCATTCAAGTCATATCCACGCTAGCATGAAATTTCCTGGGCTGGGACATGACTGTGCTCACTGGTGACCTTGGGGCTAGGAAGATGGCAGGGGCAGGAGGGGGTGCTCTGGTGCATTAGTGCTGAGTGGGGAAGGAGTGTCTCACTCACAGTTCAAGAAATGGCATCCATTTTCCCTCTTGATCTGGGTGCCTCTCATGGTGTGTGCGTGCTTAGGGCATCACTCCAACTTTCCTATTTGAAGACTTTGATAAAGGACCATTAACTTGATTTTAAGAAATCTATCAAGTGATTTTCCATTTTACTTGATTGAATGGAGCCTTTTCATTGTCTTGAGAATTACATTACAGATGCCCCTCAACTTGTGATGTGGTCATATCCTCATGAACCCATTTCAGGTTGAAGATGCACCTGACCTCTGCACGTCCTGGCTTAGCAGCACCATGCACTGTAGAGTGTTGATGGGACCCTGTGATCATGTGGCTGGCCGAGGGCTGTGGCTTGCTGCACTGTCCAGCAACATTGCTGACCTGGGAGAGATTTAAATCTATAAGTATGGCTTCTTCTGGAGGTGTACTGCTTTTATACCATGGTAGAGTGGAGAGCTCCTCACTTGAGCCATCTGTGTATATTTTAATGCTTGGCCTTTTTATCCTTACTTTTCTGACTTTGGATCCTTTTTGTTCACTGCCTTCTCCAGCATCTCTTCTATCTGAAATCATTCTACTGGGTTCTAAAAGAAGTGAAGATATTTCAGGGGCCACCTGCCTTTTAGTGCCAAGCATGAGGACTGTCCCACCTAGCTCAGTGCCAGACTCCTGGTGGGTGCTCGGTCCTTGTTTGCTTTGCTAACCTTGCGGATGGAACACACTTCAGAATCTTTGCCCCTCTAGTTGTGCGCCATGGCAGTTAGGGGCTCTGGGCAGAGGTGGGTTGTGTACTCTTTGCCCTGTCGGGTTACTTGATAGCGGTGTGTTGGGAGTTTCTCTGTCGGGCACCAGTTAACTTCTAAGTGATGTTTTTTTGCCTCCCGCTGAGGGGTGTGGTATGTTGAGAGACTGAGCAGAGCCCTTGGATGTGAACCTGTTGGAGCCAGTGGAGCAAAAGCTGGTCTAGTTGCTTAATTCTTTACAAAATTTCCTCATCTAGTTATTCTGGTTCTAGTATTACGAGATTTCTTTTCATGAGATTTTACCACTAAGGAGATTCCTAAGAAACTTTGAATGACTATTTTTAGTCTACATAGGTTAGAGAACAAAAAACTGCTTTATCTCTACCTTTTTAAAAATATTTATACATTTTATGATAATTAAATGAATTTTTAAAAGCTAAAAGTTATTCTTTGAAATAAACTTGAAATTGTCGAACATGGATTTAGATAGTAAATAAATTTGCATTGGCTCTTTTACTTTACAAAAGCTTGATTTTAGAATTCCTTTATAAATAGTGGCTACCATTTTCCTGTGTTTGATTGTATCCAAATATAATTTGATTTGGAACACAGCTCTTTCCAGGCATCTGGCTCCCGAAAGCGAAATGATTTCTCTAGCCAGAAGATGAAACTGTTGGTTCTAGAGTCTTTCTCTTGGCCAGTGCAGCAAGCATGGCTTGTGGATCTCCATGGGGAGCTTTGTAATCTGGCTGTGCCCGAATGTGCCTTCTTCTTCATGGTGGCGGCCCAGCCTTGGGCATTCCTGTTGTCCTCTCTCCTCTGAGGGTGGGGTCTTGGGATCTATATTGTAGATTCTTGTGAAGCCATTATATCGACAAGCTAATTCAAGTACAGATATTTATAATGTTACACCTTTTAAGGTTACCATTAGTTAGTGGCATTAGGCTTTAAAATGTGCACTTGGCCTAGCTTTATTAATAATTGGCAGAGTCAGTGCTGAGAGGAAAGGGGGAAGGACCAGACTGTCTAAAAGGGCAGCTGTGGCGCCCTCTGGAGGTCCATGTGGCAGATTCCAATTCTAAGGAGATTGAAGGTTTAATAAATTATAAAATAAGTAATAAAATACTTGACAGTGTATTAGAATCCCAAACAGTTTGGACTAAGTGCATTTTGGGGTACTTTTTGGCTTTTTAACAGTGAATTTCTCTATGCCTTGCCTTTTAGCTTTCCCTTAGTTAATAGCAGACAATAAGCCAGGCATTGGTGGCTTATGCTTATAATCCCAGCTATTTGGAAGGTGAAGATAAGAGGATCTCATTTGAGTCAGCCAGGATAAAAGAAAGTTAGTGTGACCCTGTCTCAAAGAACAAGCCAGGTGTAGGGACCCACATCTGTAATTCCAGCACTTGGGAGGCCCACGAAGAGGAGGATCGAGAGTGTGAGGCCAGCCTGAGCTACATAGTGAGACCTTGTCTCAAAAAATCAAAACCAGAATACACTGCATTGTTTTATAGTGGCATAAACCTCGTGAGCCCTTGGTTAATGCTAATTATTTGCTCTTTCTTAAAGGATTCTACGCGTTTATCCTGACATCTGTCATCATTGCAGCGGCTGTCTTCTGGGGTGCAGAACTTTCTTGGGTATACAACCATTTCCTGCAGTTTGCAGTCTCAGCCACAGTTTTTTCAGTGGTCTTGAGTATTTATCTCTACGCTCGCTCGATGAAGGCACCTGGAGATGAGCTGTCACCTGCCAGCTGTGGTGAGCAGTGCTGTCAAGGGTCATTTGAGTGTGTCCTCAAGCCTTTGCAGCTACTCCTAGACAAGTAGATTGCTTTTTTCCCTAGCTTCATTTTATGGGAAATGAAGAGAAGAAAAACCAAAACAGATAAAGAAATATTTAAAGAAACATTTTTACGTTTCTCTCATACTATCCTCTTTGTTTCTGTCCCTTTTATAGTCACTTGATGGCAGCAGGTATTTTCATACCTGCCTTTAAACTTTTAGTCGTCACAGTTGATGACAAAAATTTTGTTAAAACATGAACACTTAAAAAAGGGTTAAAAATTGATTGATTCCAACATAAAGTATTTAAGCTTTTTTTTTTTAATGTTGCTATTTAAAAAAAATTGTGAGTTCCCATTTTAAAAACCTCCAATTTTCTTAGGATTGGAATCTGCCATATGGACCTCTAGAGGGTGCCACAGCTGCCCTTTTAGACAGTCCTGGTCCTTGCCCCTCTCCTCTCAGCACTGACCCTGCTCAGGCTCCCAGGCATGGACTGGTTTCCTGATGACAGGCATCGTTGTGGGTTTAAGGCCTCATGACTGGGTGTGGAACATCGTTTGGGTAAAAACTTTTCCCTTCTCAGGAAATGCTGTCTATGATTTCTTCATTGGCCGTGAATTAAATCCTCGAATTGGTACTTTTGATCTCAAATACTTTTGTGAATTGCGCCCCGGATTGATTGGATGGGTATGTCTTTTTTTTTTTTTTTTTTTTAATTTCAGTAGTAAAAATTTACCTTATAAAAATTTAGAAAGAGAAATAGGCAGTTTTAAAGTAAGAAGTGGGTAGTATATTTGTATAATTAGCTTTCCATAATTCTGTCTTGTTAAAATATTTTCTTACTACAAATATTTTTTAGAGGTTTAAGATTCCTTGTTATAGGTTATTAAACATTGCAGAGTTTTTATTTTTATGATACCAGTTTATATTTAGGTAGAAAAGTGGTAGTGCAGATGACTTACTATAAGAAAAGTGGGTTTTCTTCCCCTCTTCAATAAAACCTTTTTGACCTAGTTCTGAGTTTCAAGAGTTCCCTTGTATCCTTTGCCCCTCTTCTGTAGCCATTGTGTGCTGGTTGGGCAGCCAGCGGCATTGCTGCAGCATTACTGAGTAGACCCTTTGAATTTCGTTAATGTTTCCCCGAGTTGTCCCGCTTCTGTTGCACAGTGGGCTCTGCTGTTCTTCCTAGACTCTAGTCTCTAGCGGTTTCCTAGTCTTTCCTTGTCTCTCATGGTCTTGACACTGTTTTGAAAATACTTATGAGTTATTTTCCAGAAAGTCCCTCAGTTTGGGTTAGTCCAGCATTTTCTCATGGTTGGAGTGTGATCACGCACATGACAGGAGCAGCACGGAAGTGACATTGTGTGCTCAGTGCCTCGTAGCCGGGTTCATGGGGTTGAGGTGTTGTGTTCCCAGTGCTGGGGATGGGTTGATGAGGCATCTATGGGACTCCTCCCTGGGAAGCTCACTGTCCTTTCTCCTTTACTTCAGGTGGTTATTAACGTAGTGATGCTTTTGGCTGAAATGAGAGTACAGAATCGTGCTGCTCCATCCTTGGCCATGATTTTGGTTAACAGTTTCCAGCTCCTATATGTGGTGGATGCTCTCTGGAATGAGGTAATTAATTTTGAATTTTTTTTTTTTTTGAGATAGGGTCTTGTTTTGCAACCTAGGCTGGCCTTGGGACTTGTGATCTTCCTGCCTCAGCTTGTTGGTATTACACGTGTGCACCTTTACATTCACCATGAGTGAGGGATTTTGAGAGCTGAGGCCTTGGAATCAGATGGCTCTGAGAGCAGATGAGTGACCTGGCTTCTGAGAGCTGCTGGTGTTTGCATGTGGGGAGGACAGCCTGCCTCTGGGTTGTCGAGAGATGATAATGGGGCTAGGACCAGCACACAGGAGGCCAGCGGCTAGCCATGGAGCACCAGCAGATGTGAGGTGTCTTAAGCATTCGGTAATGTGCCCATGCATATCAGTAACTCTGCTCAAAAATAATATTCTAAGTGTCTTGAGTTTGGTGAACCTGGGCTTTTGTTTTTATGAGTAATGACCAGTTCATATAAGTAAAATATTTCTTTTATTATGTTGTATGACGATGAATTAATTGTCATCAGATTCAGATGTGTTTTGAATTGCAGAGAGCAGCTTTATCTTAAGTAATGGGGGAGGGGTTTTATTGCTGATGTTAAGAATACAGAGTAGCTCTCATGTAGACAATTCAGAATCAAGACAGACTGAGGAAACCAGCTTGAATAAAGAAAGGTTTCCAGATTATGGCTGTTCTCATAGTTGGTGAGTCACTAATGTTTCTTGCTACTTGAACACTGCAAATGCTCTTCTGTGTCTCACAAAACATTCCTTCCTCAGGCCTATGTTATAGCTACTTTATCATATTTATTGTCTTTATAATCATCTCTAAGTTCTAAGTCCAGTTTTCTTTCAATTTTTTGTTTGTTTGTTTGTTACTGTTTGTAGACAGGGTCCTGCTATGTAGCCCAAGCTGGGTTCAAACTTGTGATCTTCCTGCCTCTACCTCCCGAGTGCTGGGATCACAGGGTTGCAACACCACACCTATTGCTTCTTTCAGTTTTAAAAACAATTGGTTGGTAGCCCTACATCCTAATTTCCAGAACACCTTTTAATGACAATCTTTAATTTTGGACTTCCATACAAGACCCTAAAGAATGCCCAACCAGCACAGCCGAGAACATCTTGTGTTGACTTTGGGAGGGTTAGGACTTCAAGTAGCTGATTAATGCTGCCCAGATTATGGGTTCTTGTTACTCTTCCCTGCTTGGCGCAGGCCAGCTTAGAGCCTTGGCTACTCTGAACTTGTTAATAGCCTCTGATAGTGAAGCCCTTTAGAATTAATTACAAGTCCTTGTAATTAATGCTTTTGAAATTAAAAAATGACTTCTTTAGTAACTACGCTTGGCGTTGCCAGTATGGGGGTGTCTGCTGTTGTAGGAAGTTGGCCACTTTACTGTTTTTCCTCCTTGCCAGGCACTGTGTCAGATGCTGGGTGGTGAAGGGGAGAGCACATGGTCCCCATCTCCTGGAGACTTAAGAGTGCAACAGGGACAAGCACAGTGAACAGCATCTGGGGTTGAGGATAGATGGAGTGAGGCCAAGGGGGCCCCTCAAAGGCAGGGGGCTGGGAGGCGCTTAGGGGTCTGTAGTTGCAGGACTACAGAGAGAGAGAGGGCAAGCCAGGAAATAGGGAACTCTGGAGCTCCCTGCCTTTGGCAACATTTTGGCTGGCCTGCTACCTGGTAACTGGTACACATTTGACTGTAAATAATACCTTATTTGAACACTTTAAGCAAAGGTGCTTTTTATTTCCTTCCCTATCTGTATCCATACAGGAAGCATTGCTGACCACCATGGATATCATCCATGATGGATTTGGGTTCATGCTGGCTTTTGGAGATTTAGTGTGGGTTCCATTCATCTACAGCTTACAGGCCTTTTATCTGGTCACTCATCCCCATGAACTGTCTTGGCCAGTGGCTTCTCTGACCGTTGCTCTGAAACGTAAGTGTTGATCTCCACCTGGGTGTTGAACGCTGTGTACCCTGTACGCTGTGTATGGATGCCTGCGATCGCAACAGGCTGTTTTCATTGGTTGAAATTAGCTTAGGGTTGAAGTAACCTGTGACAAATGAGTAATAAGATTCTGCGTCTTGCACAGGGAATAGACGCTCCATGTACTGGCCCTTTACTAGCCCTCTTGACAGTGTCTCGTTTTCAGGTTTAACCCACTTAACTTAAATAAGTAAAGTTGAATTATTTTAGGAACAATTTATCCTTTCTAATGAGTGTCTGCTTTTTTTCCAGTAGTTACCTTAAAAATAGGAAGGTTGGACTTGCTTTCATAGAGAAATAAGATAGGGTATTGTGGCTAGAGTGTGCTCATGCCATGGTGAGGAGCCAGTGTGGTAGAAGTGAAGGTAGAGACGTGGGGGAGTACGTGCTGGGGAATGTTGGTGCATGCTTTTTCAGAGTATGGTGTTTGGTCTGATGGTCACTGGGTGCGCACGGGACTGGGAGACATGAGTCAGGTAGAGGGAACAGGTCAGGACGGGAGGAGAGGTGCTGGGTCTACCAGGCCCACTTGGGGATTTCAGTTCAAGATGGTTTTTCTTTATTATTTTGTCACTAAACTGATGAGTAAACACCTCCACCAGAGGTAGGGAGGACAATTAGTGTGGAACTTCAAATATAGCTGATTTTAGGACACTGATTAGTGTCCATGGTGGTAGAGTTCCAAGCCATTGGTTGAAATTAACATTGAGCTTCGCCCTTGACTTGAATATCCTTGTCAGCCATGCCCACTGTGTGTTATCAAAATATTTTACAGTTAAGCTGAAAGTTAGCTGTGGGGCTTGGGGGGTGTGTGTGAAGTGTGCTGGTATCTCACTCATGCTCACGCTGTGCCAGGAGGCTCCTAACGCAGAGTGCAGTGGGCTCAGAGCAGGTTCTCTTGTGAGGGCTATCTGGGGCTGTCTAGACTGTATTCTGCTCCTGGCTGCGTCTCTGTTTGCTAGTTTTGACATTCTGGGATTGAGGGTTTTTGAATTGTTTTGGGGCATTTCTTCAGAGCCAACAAATAATTTCTAAGAGAAATAATTAGGTTATATCTAAATTATTAACAGAAAAATATTTTACAATTAACAGTTTGTGGATATGTAATCTTCCGATGTTCAAATTCTCAGAAAAATGCATTCCGGAAAAATCCTGCTGATCCGAAGCTTGCACGTAAGTACGGGTTTCTATCTGCATATCACTTGGGGATTTTATGGGTTTTTTTAGAGGTCATTAAAGGGTATGCTTGTTTTCCTGTAGATTTAAAAACCATCCACACTTCCACGGGAAAGAATCTGCTGGTTTCTGGATGGTGGGGGTTTGTTCGCCACCCTAACTACCTGGGTGATCTCATCATGGCCCTGGCCTGGTCCCTCCCATGTGGTAAGGTTTCTGAGCTGGGCTGGGCAGTGCGGGCAGAGCAGGGCAAGTAAGCACCTCTGCCCGCCTGTGGCAGGCTGGCCGCAGGGTTGTGCCGGATCTCGGCTCCTGTCTTGTGCAGTTTTCTTTATCCAGATTCTGAGAGGAATTGGGAATTGAGAGCCTGAAGTTTTACTTTGAACTTTTGAAAGTAAAGTTTTGAGTTGTAAACGGTACCCAGTGACCTTTTTCTAAGTAGACTGTGGGGCTTTTTATTTGTGACTCAGTGAAGATGGATACTGAAAATGCTGGCTCTTAGAGAATTTGAGAGAAAGCAGGAAAAGCACAGTTTAGTGAAAATGAAGGCATCTGGTGGTATTTGCTGTTGTTGCCATAGGTTTCAGTCACATCCTGCCGTACTTCTATGTGATCTACTTCACCGTGTTGCTTGTACACCGGGAAGCCCGTGATGAACAGCACTGCAGGAGGAAGTACGGCCTGGCCTGGGAGACGTACTGCCAGCGCGTGCCCTACCGGATCTTCCCCTACCTGTACTGATGCCCTGCCACATGCTCCAGAACAGGAAGACCCAAGTGAACCTCCTTTTGTTGCACTGACAGGACCTGTAAGCTTGCGTTTTCTTTGTTAGACCACACATCCAGGTAGTAGGTCTTTTAATATAGCCATGTGTGTTTTTATTAAATTATAACACCTAACGAAAGGAAAAATACAAATAAAGATGCTAGAATTTGCATTTTAATACAAAATTTTCAATCCCTAAAAAATCTGAAAACAAAGGAGGCTTTTGATAAATGCACTGGAAAGAATGCTGTTGGCCGAGGCGCGGCTCAGTGGGTGGGCACGTCCGGCAGGCGTGAGGTCCTGGGTTCCATCTCCAGCAGCCGCTGCCTCCTAAAAAAAGAATGCTTTTGATGTACAGCTTTTTATTTCAAGTTTTTTTTTTTTTTTTTTCCCCTCTTTTTTCAGTTGATTTTTCTTAAGTGAAAACACACTTAGATTTGTTTCATTGCATTGACAGAATGGAGTTTTAGGCTGGAGGTGTGGCTCAAGTGGTAGAGGGCTAAAGCCCTGAGTTCAAACCCCAGTATCACCAAAAAGAAAACAGAAGAGACAATAGAGTTTTCAGGGTGTGGTGACGGGCACCGTGGTCCAACACTCTGGAGACTGAGGCTGGAGGACTGAGAGTTTGAGGCCAACCTGGGTTACAAAGTGAGAGGCTGTCTCACAAAAACAAACAAAAAAGTGAGAAAAAGTAGAATTTTTGTTCATTTCTCTTTAAGTCATTAGTAGTTATGTGATTTGGAAGCAAAGCCCGGTCCTACATTAAATGTCTCCGTGAGGAGTGATGGCAGATGCCCAGCACGCCCCATGGAGGAGCCCCTGGTGGCATTCGCTTTACCCCAGCTTCTGACGCTGCCTTCGAGGTGTAAATACATAGCGTACTTCTATGTAATATACATGGTTTTAGATTGTTCTGTACAGTATTTTGAATGTGAGGTAATTGTCAGGACTAAGTAGCTTTTTAACAAAAACATTTTCAGTGTTTTAAATTAAGTTTTGTAAAGTAATACATGTGAATTAAAAATTTTGAAGCAATTAGAATTCATTACTATTGTATAGCAATGCTGTTAAAACATAGGAAAGGTATTTTTCTTTATCCAAAGTTTGTGAATTTGGCTTTGCTACCTCAATTTGCCTTTATAAACTGTTGCAAGTGGAAAAAATAGAATATATATTTTTGGAGTAACATCACTATTTAAACATTTTCACACAGTGTTTGAAAACTTGCCATTTCAGGCTACTATTTTTATACATATTTTTTGCCTTTTTCAACTCAACAGTGTTTTTGCTACTGCGCAGTTTATACTGTGTTTTGTATATTCGTATGTCTACAAAACTTAACTCCCTGTAAAGGAGCTGTATCCACAAACAACATCAGGGTGGTTTACAATTGTTTCTTTCTCTTGGTTTCATAGATGTGCATAAGGCAGCTTTAGTGGTTGAATTCTAGAGAAGTTGATGTAGTCCTGTAACAGAACAGTGGTCAGTTCACTGGACTTTTGTACTCAAAGCTAAATTGTTCTCGGTGTCTTAAACACGGGGGACATGACTCATGCCGTGTGTGTGTTTGGGTTTTAATTATACATGTTACATATGAGCCATTCAGACAGGCAGTGTTCATTCTGGCCTGTAGTCTGAAGTATGAGCATAGTTTGTATTAACGTGAACAGCGCTCTTTGCACCTCCTCTTGCTGAAGCTGTTTCATTAGCACGCTTGTCTGTGAGCAGGCTTTCTTCTTGTGCGTTTCCTGTGGCATTGAAAAGTGGTTCACCACGCGTTGTGTGTCTCGGGGAGGACCACACACTGGGAGTGGAAAAGGCTCATTACCAGTTTCTGCTGTTGACTAGTTTGTTTTTAATTTCATTTTTGACAGGTTTATTTGACAAGCTTTGTAATGAACTTTTAAGTTGGAAATAAATATGTTGCTTTGATCTGTTTGGAGCTTCATTTCTTTGCCTGAAATGATTGGCACCAAGCCAAGAGCCCTTAGCTTACCACTCTTAGCCCTGTGTTTTCTGGGTTTTCCGGAATCACAGGAATCTAGAAGGCAAACTGGGACCCTGGCCAGCTGCTGTAGGAGCTTGATGGGGACAAGGTGGGGTGGCTGGGGTGGGAGTGTCAGCCGTCAGAAACTGGTCCTATATTTAGTATTTGCTGTTTGAGGGAATTGAGAAATACAGAAATCTCTCGTAGGTTCAGAACTTACTTTTTTGGTGGAACTGGGTTTGAACTCAGGGCTTAGCACCTGGAAAACAGGAGCTCTGCTGCTTGAGCCACACCTCCATAGTCCATGTTTTGCTCTAGTTCTTTTGGAGATGGGGGGGTCTCATGAACTATTTGCCCAGGCTGGCCTCAAACTGAGATCCTCTCAATCTCAGCCTCCCAAGTAGCTAGGATTATAGGCATGAACCACTAGCGCCCAGCAGTACTTTGAACTAATGTGTATCTGTCACATGTGTGAGAGGCATTTATGTGTACAGACAGAGCCTGGTGGTCCCTGGCTCCCCAGGCGATGGTGGCACTATGAGCATTCCCACCCTGGGCTCAGGTACATGGTGGAAGGGTGGGTATGTCATGGTGTGCACTGATCCCCAGCATGGGGTTCATCTCGGGTCTTTAATTTTGTGCAGAGAAGACCTTTTGTGTTGGTGGTTGCCACAATGTATGGACTGTTTTAGCAAATCATGGATATGTTCTAAAGCTATTTTAGCACGTGAATTGCCCCTGTCTTTTATCTTTTGGTAAAATCTTGCACTCCTCTGTCATCTTCTTCTGTTTTCCATGACATTGTTATTTTGTTCATCAAGAGTCTAATTGTGGTACATATCCCCTCTTTCCACCCGCTTACCATGGAGAGTGCACTGTGATCTTCACTTGTGTACAGTGGGATTTGTTTTCTGCCTGTGCACCATTGCCAGGGTCAAGTCCCAGCAGTGTTCCCTCAGCACTGAGCCTGGCAAGTCACTTCATCCTGGAGCACTTGTTTCCTCCAGCATGAATCTGCCTGATGTGCCCACGTGGCACAGGGGGTAAGGGAATCAGGAATGATAGCTATTGTTAGAGAGTACACTTAGTAAGTTGGATATTAACCCAATTTATGGAATTTTCAGGATTTGGGTTTTCAGTGGGTAGAGCCAGCTGGGATGGTCAGAGCAAACCTGCATCTCTAGGGGAAGAAGACCCTGCGAGTTGTCTCAGAAGGCTGTGGCCAGTCTAGCAGCGCTGTTCTGTGTCTACTCACTCAGCAGCCAGAGGAGGCCTTCCAGAGAATGACCTGCACGTCTTGTATGTAATGGCACACGTGCTGTGCGAGGGAGCCAGGCAGAGGCTGAGAGTTGGGCCTCCCTCGCTTAGGCAGATGAAAGGCAGAGGCCACACCTGTCCAGTCTGCCTGGACACACACACAGTGTTATGAAGGAGTTGCCTGCATGTGATTGTCGACACGTGACGCTGCTAACAGTCGAAACTTTAAATGGTTTGTATGAAATTTATTTTTCATTCTTTCTTCTCACACAGCAGTGCGACCTGCATGGTGATCCAGTGAGTGGGAGGCTTCTTTGTTGGTAAATACACTGATGTTAAAAAGTTTGTTGACAAACCAGTAGTTGTCACAATTCTTGACCTCTTAGGTGTTTGGTAAACTGGACATTCAAAAGTGTAGAGTTCTAAATCTGTCTTGGTAGAAGCATTGGATGTTTCAGTAGAAATCTTTTAAGAAAAGAAAGAATCCAGTAGTCAACTTGCATAGCTCAAGTGAACCAGAAGCTTATATTTCCCATAAGCTAACTTGGGGGTTTGTTATGAATTAAATGAATTAAACACATTTAAGGTTAGATAGGTAATGTAACTATAACTACACATGGAAATTATGCCTGGAGGATTTTAGAGTAATTATCATGGTGGCTTTCCAGTTCACAGTCCTGACAAATAATACAGGATTAGGTAGCATGGGATCTGTTTTAGGTGTTAGCAGTGGTGTGCCTTACTGAAGGGAGCTCAAGTTTAGGACTTGGTGACACAGCTGGGAAGTTACCTGTGTAGGCAGAAAGTATATGTCAGGAAAGTCACAGCACATCTCAAGAGGCAGTGAGTCTTCCAGTAGTTTTTGTTCATGATTCCACTGTGCCCCCTCGATGAATAAACCAAACGTGTGTACTCCTTTGTGAGTGTTGGCCAAGCCCTGAGAAGGGAGGGAGGGGGTCTGTGGGTCCCCAGCCATGGTGTGCCCTTCAGTAGAAGCCATGACCCTCTCTAGAGCTCCCTGCCTGGATGCTGTGTTCCTGGTGTGGCACCCCAAGTTCCAAGGTGAATGCTTAATTCTTTGCCCACTCTGATCTACCTGTATAATGATGACCTTAGTGGACAAGTATTTTTAAACAGTAAAACCCAGATTTCCACAATCATCACCCTGTAATGGGCTTTTTAGGAGACAGCAGGGACAGTTATAAAGGAGTTAGTGCCCTGCTCAGTCACTCACTGATCTCCACATGGGAGATGTTAATTCAGACTCTGGAAAATTAATAACCTGGGTGGGTGGCGGGGAGGATTCTACCTCTGTCTTTTTTTTTTTTTTCCCCAGTACTGGGCTTGAACTCGGGGCCTACACCTCGAGCCACTCCACCAGCTCTTTTTGGTGAAGGGTTCTTTTCAAGGTAGGGTCTCATGAACTATTTGCCTGGGCTGGCTTCGAACCACAATCCTCCTGATCTCTGGCTCCTGAGTAGCTAGGATTATAGGTGTGAGCCACTGGTGCCTGGCTCTACCTCTATATTTGAATGATACAAATTAAATAAGCTGTTAGCTCTGAATTGCAGGGTTAAGTGGGTTCTTGATGAGGTGTGGTGTTGTGGTGTGGCACCAGCACAGTATCTTCAGTGAGATCATGCTGTCCATACCAGGCAGGTTCTAATCTGGAGGGCAGATCAGGTCTTGTTCCCAACAGCCAGCACAGTTTTGCACTTATTTTCAAGTGAAGGCTTTAAACCTCTTCCATTTCAGTATTCTTACCACATGGCCACTTAGTTTTTCCAAAATTTCCTGTGTACAAAAGGACCCTCCATGTTGTGGGCAGTGTGGACCAACTGAGTGCTGCTGCTGCTGCTCCTCCTCTGCTCTTCTTCTGGTATGGAGTCTGGTTCTTTGTGTTTCCCTCTAGACATTTCTCTTTTGAGCCTTTTTTGTTGAGAAGGCTTCAGCCTGCTGCTGTTACAGATGTTTCCAGACCTACTGAGTTAGTCTGATGAAGGCTGAGAGGCGCAAGACTAGAGTCCAAGCAGCTGGAGTGCCAGCCTCCTCTCTATCCTCATCCCCAAGCACATCATAAACACAGTGGAAAGGTGCCTGCCTAGCAAGTGTGAGGCTCTGAGTTCAAGCCCCAGTGCCACCAAAAAATGAAAGAGGAGTCAATAATAAACACAGTGGAAAACGAAGTGTCCTCAGTGGGCCAGGGATGATGACATCCCCCAAGACAGAAGGCAAAGTTAGAGGAAACCACAATCTGTAACATGCACAGCAAAAACTATCACCACCTTCCATCCCTCCACACCACACTCCTAATCCTAGAGGCTAATCTCAAAGTACTGATGCAAAAAATCTTGAATAAAGCATTACAATTAAGATGATTCAGCCACAGGAACTCTTTCTTTGAATATAACTGATCATATTGAAAAGGTGAAAAGGTGTGTGATTATTTCCACAGATACTAAAAAGATCTCTCATCACATTGGTCGTCACAAAAAATGTTGGTTCAGGAACGACACCTTAACAAAATAAACTCCAGATGGAGTTGTGTATGCCATCCCACTATGATAATAGGGTAAAGGACAAAAACTACCTGATTTTTTTCAGTAGATGCAGGAGAAGTATTTAATAACTCCAGTACCCATTCATGATTAAAAAAAGAAAAAAGGAAGCCTAGGGCTAGGTGGTAACTTTCTTAACCCACAGAAAACCAGAAATTTGTAATACTTAATAATAGAACACTGGATGCTGTTACCTGAATTTTAGGAAAAAGACAAAGATGTCCATTATCTCTCTTATTGAACACTGTACTGGAAAGAAATCAGAGAACTAGTAAATGTTTAAGTTAAATTTAAGTTAGAGAAATATCTAATTGATGATATGTGTATTTTTGATTAAAACTCTTGATGCTGTTATGATGTCCACTCTTCACAAAGTGAGTCATCCTTGAAGAGCAGAGCTGGAGGACTGTGCCACTAGGCTCACCATAAACCTGCAGTCATTAAGAAAGAGTAGTGCTGTGATGATGGACTGCTCAGTCAGGGAAGAAGAAAAGACTCCAGAAGCAGGTCCAGCATCAATGTTGATGATCGATGTTGATGGGGGTAAGGATGGTCATTTCAGTAAAGAAATGTGCCAAGTCCATCACCATCCCTGTGGGACAGAAAGAACTACCACACACGCCAGCTCACTCGATGTGGACCACTAACCTGAAGGTGAGAAGGAAAGCAACGTAACGTCAGGTGACACAGAGAGTGTCTTCAGGACCTTCAGTTGGCAAAGATTTAAGCGGTGCCTAAAAAGGCACTAACACTAAAGGAAAAGGTATGCTGGACTTACTACAACAAGAAGACACCGTTAAGAAAGATAGAAGGAGCCACACTCCGGGAGAAGGTAGCTTCAATGTATTCACCCGCAAAGGATGTGTGTCCAGTATCCATAAAGAACATAATGCGTCAACCAGGATAAAGACAGCCCAGATAAAAAGGCAAAGGTCTCAAACGGGAGCTTCACAGGATCCTTACCAAAGTTCCGAGTCTTTCTTTTTAGTAAATTACCAGTGCTGAGGTTGGGGAACCCCCAAGCTGCAGACTTAGAGTCTTGGGCAGACTTAGTCATCATCTTCTTAGCCTTAAATTCAAGTTAGCTAACACCAGGTTGGGGGCTAACTGCAGGGGCAAGTTGTCCAACATTAAAAAGCATATTCACAATAGCAATAACTGTAAGAAAGAAAATAAAATAGTAGCAGTTTTCAATGTGAAAAAACGATGTAAATGACCCAAATAAATGGGAACACCACATTTCTAGATGGAAACACCCAATAGTAAAAAAATAAATAGGGGGCACAGATCCAGACCTGTTCCACCCCATCTGCCTGCTTGAGTTTTGTTTTTTTTTCCTGTCCAAGCCTGAGTTGCTTCCCACTCACAAAGAACCACCTTGCACGAAAAACTTTGACAGGGAGTAAGGAGCCTTGCCAACCTCCATTCCTTCTGATACCAGAGGGGCAAGCATGCAAGCCACTCAGGTGAGCTAGTTGCTAGCCACTTTCAGCCCAGCCCAGCTCGTGGGAAATAATCCACCCGATCTCTGAAAAATCTTGTGACTGAATCTGACTCAACCATTCCCAGCTCTCCAGAAAACCTTTGGCTAAGTGGATGGATTGAAGGCTCCCAGACTGACCCTAAAGCCATTCAGCCCAGTGTCTCTGTCCAAAGAAGTGGGGAGACAGCAGACTAGCCATCTGGTACTCAGTAGCTGGGTCTGTGCTGAAACGAGGCAGCCTAGGTGAGCTAGCCAGCTAGCTAGAGCCCTTAACCTGCTGCCCAACTCGGCACTGTATGCACATAAACAAGTGACGGGAGCGATTTGCTCTTCACTCCTTGATTGAAACTTAAACTGGAGGTGCCTATGTGGAAAAGGGGAAAAAGGAAAAATGTTTGTTGTGAACCAGCAAAAGCAAGCCATTGAATTCCCTGAACAGGGAAAAGAGCAACTCTGAAAGCAGCAGAGCGCCTTCTGATCTAGCTGTGCTTGGAGAACCCACCAGCAACTCAATGGCTACCTCAGACACTTGGAGTGCCCCACCTCACGCCACAGCTGTCCTAATCCAGAGCACCCCCACCCCAGGTCAGTATAACCTGGACCCTGAGTGGACATGTAAATACAACAGCTGAATGACAGACAAAAACCTGAGGACCAGAGATTGGAGGGGAGCATCCAAAGATGACATCCACTATTCTCAGCAAGGAAGAAAAACTTAATTTTTTGTTAGTCTATTCCTCTTATATTGCCAATTTTTCTGCTTTTTTCATTTCTTTCCTACCTCTTCCTTAAAAGTTTTCTTGTGTTGGCAGATTGGCTCAAGTGGTAAGAGCACCTGCCTAACAAGCATGAGATCCCGAGTTCAAACCCCAGTACCACAAAAAACTAATCATTATCTAAAAGTTTTGTTCTTTTTTCTCCCACTCAACTAGTGATTTATTTTACCTCCTTTCTATCCTCCTGCAGTTCCTGACAATAGCACCATTCTCTACAACACCTGAACCACATTTCTGCTACTTTTTCTAAGGCTTTGTTTACCTGCAGCCCTCACACTTCACACCCCTCCCCATTTTTCTTCTCTCCTATCCCCATTCATGCTACCTAAGTATTAATTTCTATGCAAGCAAGTTTATTTTTCCAACCCCCGTCTGTTTGTGATAATACTGCCAAAGGGTTTTATACTTCATGTAAAAATCTGGTCTGGTATTGAATTGGTGAATTTGTTATTACTAAGTTATACCCTTAGGCCAGTGATCAGAAACAACACAACCACCTAGCTAATTTCAGGGCTTGAAGACAAAGTAGATATAATAGACAAAACATGAATACATAAAAAAATGAGTAAGAATGGAATAATCAAGAACTCTGCAGCTCCACAGAAGATTCTATTTGTTTGGCGATAGGTGCTACTAGGAGAGGGAGCGTGAACAGGGAGGCCAAAGAAAGGTGAATATGGTTGATAATACTTTAAATATTTTTATGAAGAAAGAACAATGAGACCTGTCAAAATCATTTTAAATAAAGTGGAGCACCGGTGATAAGGGAGAATGGTGGTGGGGATGAATCTAACCAAGGTACATCATAAGCCTATCTGGAAATATAATCCCCTCCCTGTACAACCAATATATGCTAATAAAATGTTTTTAAAAAACAACAAACGACATGATGCTTCATGCCTGTCATCCCAGTTACTTGGGAGGTGTAAATAGGATTGTGGTCCAAGGCGAGCTCAGGCCAGTGTGAGACCCTATCTTAAAAATATACTAAAGCAAAAAGGGTTGGGGACATGGTTTAAGTGACACGTCCAAGTGAGTTCAGATTCCAGTACCTCCAAAAAAAATCGAATTTACTGTAATATGCTCAAAGTCCTAAGTGGTTTAAAAAACGAAATGTAAGCATGGTAATAAGCATTGGTCCTGGAGCAGAAAAATAGATCCTGGGACACAGGGCAGGTCGGCCCTAGGTGCCTGGCTGCACTCTGGGAAGAGCTGCATGGTGTTCGGACAGGTGGAAGTGCTGGACAGAGGTCCGTAGAAGGAATGACAGACTGCCCTTCTGGTACCTGGAAGGCCCTCCTGACTATGTTGAGCTTCTTGTGGATGACTACAGAGAACTCCTCGTCTCCCTCCTCGCTGTGGTCAGAGATCACGTGATGGGTGAAAGTCAGCATGTCTGTGGAGATCCCGTGGGCCCTCCCGTAGTCTTGAAGCACAGCAATAAGAAAGCCTTTGGGGAAACATGGCAGCAGGTTCCTTGTGGGTCTGGGGGTTCTTGCGGTGGGGTTCACACTGCTGCCTCATTGGAGACAGAAAAGAGGGAAGTGTGGGAAGGGCACCAGGAAGGTGATGGGGAGCAGCCACTGGGCCTTGGTGCTGTTGGTTGGGCCTCTGTAGGTCCAGCCCTGACCTCCATATTCATTTTGGGGTGAGGGGCTACAAATTCTGGGACCCTAACTGCTTCTGAGCCCCTTCTTGGCTGATCATTGTACACCTCACCCTCTTGGGACCAAAGATGGGTCCCAGTGAGTACAGATCCAGTGTGCTAAGCCTTTCTCAGGTGATGGTGTGGACCTGAGGGGCAGGGAAGCCCTTCTTTGGGGTTGCTAAGCTGCCTGCAGCCCTCTGGCTCCTGTCACTCCATTGCAGCGGTCCCCTTGCCACAGGAGGATGGCAGCTCCCTACTGCGTCTTACCCAGCCCATGTTTTTCCAGCTTCACCCTACACCATTTTCCCTCCTGGGTCTTTTGCTGAAGCCATAATGCACACTTGGTTTCACTAATGTGCGTTGTGTTCTCACCTCAGGGCCCTTGGTTCCTAAGGTCAACAATGAAGATGCCATTCCCAGTTTAGGGCAATGACATTGTAAGCCAGGTGAAGTCCAAATCTTAGCTTAGTTACTATTTATTTACTTACCCAAAGATGTATAAAGGTGTATACTACTTATTAATTATATAACTTTGGGAAAACTTCTTATCTTGTCTGTGCCAACGTTTTCCTATCTAAAAAACAGGGTTGATTTAGTAATAAACTCCAAAGATTACCATGAGAATTGAGTGGCTTACTGAATTCAAGGCCTCAGGACAGGACCATGCTATGCAAGTGCTGTTCTTTCCCTCTGTCCTCCACTGCATAATACTTGACTGCTAACCAGCTTCAAGGCTCAGAACCATTTCCCCAGTGGCCTTCCCTGACCCTTAGTTAAGGTCCCTCTCTCATGCTCCCAAAGTATTGATCTCTTTCTGTATTCTTTGGGAAGGTCATTCATTCATTCCTTAAATATGTACAAAGAGCTTTGTTGGTGCTGGGGGCCGTATTAGGTGCTAGGGGCATGACAGAGATGAAAACATGCACCAGTCGCTGCCTCTGGAGCTTAGAGTCCACTGAGTTCCGTCCACCCCTCCACATGCCCTGCACATCCCTGACAAACGGTCTGGGGACTGGCAAATACTAAGTCACCAGGTCTTGTTTGCAGGACTCAGTGAATGAGTGTCAGGACAGTCATCTCTTGGTTAGCTGCCCACCTCCACCCCACACAGGGGTCTTTGGCATCATAGAACCTGTGGCCTAGAGACAAGAAAGTGGCCTGCCAAGGTGCACGAGGTCTGACAATGGTGAGTCCATTTCAGGTTGGGAGGGCTGGAGCAAGGGAGGGAAGTGAACGAACGGTGGGAAGGCAGAAGAGGCCCTGGTCCCTCAGGGGCACAGGCTCTGTGGCTTGGGCCTCTGACTTGAAAGCTGAGGCAGCCGGCAGGGGCAAACTTACAGGCTGGGTGTGGGCGAACCTGTTAGGAGCACTCACCTTGTGGGAAGAAGAAGGCTGGGAGCCAGTATCTTGCAGGAAATCCTTCAAAGAGACCCTCACTCTGCTCAGTGGGCCATTTGGACTTTCGGCTCGCAGTCTGCTTCCAGTGCGCGACTAATCTTATGTACCTAGAGGGGTACACAGGTTGGGTGGGTAAGGCCAGGTAACTGCATGCCTTCAGGTGATGGGCTGCTTCCTCCGCCCTCCAGGCCCTCCTCTCACCCCTGAGCACCAGCTACAGGAGGAAGCTGGTGGGGAAAGAGGAGACCAGGGATTTCACTGGGAGGCCATGATTCAGGTAACACGGCATGTTGTCACACTGGGAAGCCTGGCTGGGCCTTGTGGAATTTGTCACTTGTGTTTTGAGTTAGACTTCTCCAAAAGCCCCCAGCCATTTAGAGTTAAGTGGTACAAAGCTGGGTGCAGACCGGAACCGGGTTTTCTGAGCTTGAATCTCAGTACCTTTCTGTCTTCTGAAGCAGAATGGTGACCATGACTCTGTGTGTGCTTCACACCCAGGACTGTGTGAGAACCAAGTGAGTAGGTGAGCTGTGGCTCGGGAAGATTCCTGACCCTGGGGGCACCTGTTCATTGGTAGAGCTTTCAGGTCTTTCCCACTGCTTTCCCTGTGACCAAAACACATCTTAGGATGGCACATAACCAGTTCTTCCCCATGCAATTTCACATTTCAGCCTGCTAGTTTCCAGGGCCCAATGTTGACTATCGGAAAGAGAGATGTACTGGGTTCTAGGCCTTGTCTCTGGCTTTTAGGGTGGAGTAAGCATAGACGGGACTGGCTTCCCACGTCTCTCTTCTCTCATTGGAAATGGAAGATAAGCATCCCCTATAGAGACCAGGCATAGGAAATCAGTTCAGAAACTGTTAAGCTCTGAGCAGAAAACAGGACGGAAGGATGGGCTGCGTCTTCATACCGATGGTGGATTGCGGTGTAAGCCACTTTAGCCCAGGTGTTGAAGAAACTCAGTCGCTGGGTGAGGTCCGTCACCCAGGAGCTCAGGGGCCGGCACGACCTGTAAGCGTGTTTCTGTGGGAAGGTAGACTGTCAGTTTTGGAAGGTTTGTCTGTGAGTCTATTAGCACATTTCTGCAAACTTTGGTGATTGACTCAATGTCCAGGGAGAAAGGAGCTGGCAGATGTTATTTTCCCATTGAAAGTGCACAGTGAGAAGTCTAAGCCACCGCCAAGGAAAACAGCATTATCTTAACCCAGCGAGGGCAGCCCTGGGAGTTCATCCCCGCCTTCTCTCTCCTCCACTCCTCTCTGGGGACAGTGTCCTCATGTACCCTTGGGTCCTGGCCTCCCTGTGCAAAGCTCAAATCCCACCCACCAGCCAGCCCTTCACTCTGCTGGGGGTTCCCCTGGCTAGGAGCCCCAGGCCCCGTCCTCCATCCCTTAGTCTGTCAGTCAACACGCTTTCTGTCTGAAATACAGCAACGTGGGGTGGGAGGAGGTCCCTGTGCTTCCCTGGTAAGGGCATGGATGCTGGGCCTCTTCCCAATTCATGCTCATCACAGGTCACCATGGCTATATTGCAACCTGCCTGCCCACTGTCCTTGCTTCCTCCAGGCTGAGGGTATCAAATCCTGCGGCACATTGAACTCTTCCCTGCCCTCTGCCCTCCACCTGGAGGTCCCTGCAGTTCCTCATGCTCCCCCCATCCAGGCTTGTGCTGTTGACCCTCACACTGGACGCATGGCTTCCTGCCTGTGGACCCTGCTGGATACTTTCACCTGGTTACCTCAGGTCTGAACCGCCCCACTTGCAGCTACTTGCCGTGTGTCCTCCCCATCTCCGCCCAGCTGCCGAACCCCTGCCCTCACCCTGGCTGCCTCCATTTCCACATCTGCTCAGCAGGGGCTGCAGGGCAGGAGTCTTTCCCGAGGTTCCTCCCCACACCGCCCCTGTGAAGCCCATAGACTGTGCACTTCCATTTCTGTCTTGGTTTGTACTCAGTGTTAAATAATTGTAATTGTTGATTCCTCTGACCTGTCTCCATGTTTTCTACATAGGTTATTTTTTAAAAAGTAGCTTTAATGAGATGTAATTCATAAACCATAAAATTAGTCATTAATAAATATAAATTCAATTTTTTTATGATTGCACTGGGGTTTGAACTTAGGGTCTTGTGTTTGCTAGACAGGCCCGCTACTACTTGAGCCACACTGCCAGTGTATATAAAAATATGAATATGATAAAAAGTCAGTTTGCACAAGAAGCTGCAAAATATAAAATGTAAAATTAAAGCCTTCTCCACGCAGGCCCTCTGTCTCCTCACACGAGGCAGCAGCCACTGCTGCTGGGGCTTTTGCTTCCTGAATTGAAATCTCGTGCTTTTATGAGGAAACACCTACAGAGACACACGTGCTTTTGTGACCCTCAAGGTGTTCTTCTAAAACTTTGAAACAACTCAGCAAGACCTCTCAGTCCATCCATGGCAACACAGTGTGGACGGACTCCTATCTGCCATCACATTCCCGTTGTGGTGTCCAAATAGTTCAGACTTGTGCTGTTATCAACAGTTCTGTGATAGATATCACTAGGGTAAATTTAAGTGGAATTACCAGATTGCTCTCTAAGATGTCATATTAATATATACTTGTACCAAAAGTATGTCAGCATTTTTGATGGTTACATAATATTCCACCAAGTACTGTACTGTTAACTTGACCAGCCTGGAACCTGGATGTTTCTTTCAAGCAACCAATTAATGGGAAGTACTAACTGCTCACCTGCCACAGTGTGGGCACTTTCATCCTGAGAAAACAGTCATAGATCTCCTCCAGCTCCTGAGTGAGAATGTTCTCCCCTTTTATAGCCAGTTGAAGGTCTTTTAACGACTTGTGTATGACAGATAATAACTTATCAAACCGTTCTATCTCTTGGTTCAAAAGGGTTATCAAGACACACTGGATAAGGGGATCTTGGTCTGGATAAAGAAAGAGACAAAGCTTTGACATCACCTAGAATGAAAAGAGGCTTTGTACAGTGGCACAGGCTTTGAAAGCTCGAGGAATGTAACATCTCCACCAGACGCTTTCTGCACGCTTTGGGGTGCCTCATGGAGCCAACACCGTCACCCACACAAGCTGAGATGCCTCTGAGGTCACAAGGTGATGTCTCCTGCTCCATCAGTGACTTAAAGGTCATCACCTGGTGCACGACTGTATTTTGACGGAGTACCGCTTAACATTTGGTTCCAGCATGAATTTTTAAAAGGGTTAGAACATGGATGTTAAAATTTGACTTGGAAAATTCCTCTACTTCAGGAATGTAGCCCCTCAGATCTGGGTTGGAGCCCCCTCTGGGTGGCCCTAGGCTGGCATGGCCCCTCAGTCTAGAGGCCATCTGTGACCATGTGCACTGCGGGGTGGGGACAGCACCACCCTGTACTCTCCAGATGAGTGGCTGCTGTCTCATCCTTGATGCTCTTGTTTCTTCACGTTTGGGCCAGTGCCTGCCCACCTGGAGGCTGCTCCTCCTCAGCCAGCCTGCATCTCCCCCCTGGGAGGGCGTGCTCACCTTCTTTGTTTTGGAGGAGCACCTGCCAGATGGAGCTTGACACAAGTCCTTTCAGCGTGCTTGGGTGCCCAGACCCAGAAGACTCCTCCTTCTCCACTGTCAGTGGCAGCCGACTCAGTATGTCAGACACCATCTCCAGCACCAGTTCATCATTACTGTGCTCGGGACTGTGGAGGACAGGAGAACATGGGGTGCAAGCTGCCCTGTCTACAGCACCTTCTGTTTAGGCTTCCCAGACACCCCACCCTGCAGAAGACTGCATGTGCACCGTGTGGTCAATCACTTTACAGATGAGAGAACTGCCCCATGACTAGACATTCACAAGGAAATGTGGATTTTTAATGCTTTCTTGTAAAATATTCATTATCTGAACGTGTCTGCACAGAGATATGCCAAGACTGAGTGAAAGGAGTTGCTGGTTGGCTTGCTTCTATGTCATTTGGACAATTTAGCTTCTCTATCATTTAGACTGATTTTTTGTAACAATTTCCAACTCTTACCTGATCATGAGGGTGACAGGGGCCTCTCGTGGCTGCAGGGCAATGAGAGTGTCAATGAACTTCTGGGCCTGGGTCTCCCTGCAGCTCCTCGTGGCCTCAGGGTGGATTCCTAAGACCTCTGCAGAGTCGTCATCAGGCAGGGACTGGATGATGTGTATGTAGTCATTGAACCTTGCGGAGCTGGGCACTGTCTGGCATATTTGAAATTTAACCACTGTCTTAGCTTTTTTTTTTTGGTGGGACTGGGGTTTGAACTCAGGGCTTCGAATTAGCAAGGCAGGTGCTCTACCACTTGAGCCATACCTCCAGTACATTTTGCTCTGATTATTTTGGAGATGGAGGTCTTGTGAACTATTTGCCAGGGGTGGCTTCAAACCTTAATCCTCACAAGTAGCTAGGATTACAAGTGTGGCCGCTGGTGCTTGGCTACACTCTCTTAGTTTTTGCCTGAGTGAAATACCTACTTTCAGTAATGCAGGAAGACAATATTTTCCATGACCTTCTACACAAAGACACTTCTTAAAGCAAAAGCAACATCTGGGGGGGCTGTCATGTGCTCAGGTGGGGGAATCCCTGCCAAGCAAGCTTTGTCATTGAATGCCTGAATTCAAACCAGTACCACCAAAAAACAAAACAACAACAAAAACCCCAAAACCCCACATCTGGCCATGGTATTGTAGAATGCGTATGACACACATGTATCACTTTCTGACCACCCACTGCCTCGATGTCCTATACCCATAGATTAAAGGATGCAATAAAACTGAACAAATTGTCTCATTTAGTGAAACCTACAGGAGGGGTGTAAAAACACTGTTGTGTACCAGCCAGGGGTTCTACTGGGAGGGATGGAGCCTTTATGAGGCAAGGCCTAGCAGGAGGAAGTTGGGTCACTGCGTGGTGGCCTTGAAGGGGGATCGGGATGCTGGTCTCCTCTCTCTCTGCTTCCCGGCTGCCATGAGGTGAGCGCCTCCTCCACGGTGCCTCCCGTCACGATGTACTGTGCTGCCCTGGCCACAAACCCACGGGCTGAAACCTCTGAAACTGGAGCCAAAACCTTGCCTCCTTATGCACTCTTTACCTCAGGCTTTTGCCATGCTGACAGAAAGCTGCCTAATCCAAATGCTAAGCATAAATGACCACTGATAATAATCAGGAAAGAGTGGTGGCAGCTTTTCTGACATCCTCAAGGAAAACACTGAAGGATTAATGAGGGCCACAAGGAAACCTCAGCTAACAGAGTCACTGATAAAAGCTACTCTCTCTGCAGAAGGAGCTAAGACTGTGGCAGGGTGAGGCACAATGTGACAATGTTGGGATTCTCACAACATTTCCAGCATTTTAAAACAGCTAGACAAGTGAATGCTTGATTTCAGCCTAGTCAAGTAATCGAGTAATTTAAGAAGATAAATTTTTCTCTTACCTCTTCACCAGAGAAACTGAAGTCGCCCTTCAGCACCTTGGGGCTACAAAACTTGTAGAGAAGAGTCTTCAAGCATCGACTGTCCCAGATGTCTGTCAGCCGCCCCCCGTAGATCACGTCCCCGATCAGGTATTGCAGCGCCGGCCAGGGGATGTCCGGCTGTTTGCTCAAGGCGTTTCCCAGCACCTTTATGGACACCTAGAAAGATTCATTACTTCCTGACACTTCAACAACTCTCACGCAGCTACTTACATCCCTTTAAACACACACAGGATTACGTGTTTCCCCACTGGTTAGCTTTGTGTGTCCAACACTGAAACAATTTCTTCTTTTGCAGACAAAATGAGCATGTGGTGCCGAATTCAAAGGCACAAAAGGGTGAAGCAGGAGGTCAGTCTCCTTGGACCTGCTGTAGGTGTGTCCCCGGCCCCAGGGACACCAGCGTCTTGGGTGCCCTACGAGGCCACGCAAACCACATGCCTTCCCCGACCTGCACGCCCTCTCTTTTCTACCCTCCTCTGTCCCTTAGAGCTCTTCTTTTTTAAAAAAATGAGAAATCACTGCAAAATTGCTAATATCTTTCCTATCTGGAGAAGATCACAGTTAGGAGGATGAGCCATTCATGCAGTCCTAGAATAAACCCAACTTGGTCATAATGTACTATTATTTTGCTTCATTGCTGGAATCTAGTATTTGTATAGAACATCCATATCACAATCCCTATGAAATGAGCGGGCGGCTCTTACTTGTTAACTTTGTCAAGAATTTGTATCAAAGTCGCGCTGGTTTCATAAAATGAACTTGGGAGACTGTAATCTTTTTTGAAGGTCTGGAACACTTTACACGGTGTCCATTGCAGCTCAGAGTGAACTAGGCATGAAACCATCACACACGCATGCCATTTGAATGCCTTTCATGGCAACTGGCTTACCCAAAATTTCCATTTATTTTTAAATCAGTTTTGATAATTCTTATTTTCTAGAAAATCACTGACTTCATTTAGATTTAAAATTTTTAATCTATCTTATCAAAACTCAATTTTGGATTTCCTTTTTCTTCTATTGTTTTCTCATATTTTATTAATAGTGGCTTTTGTGATTATTCTTTTTTTTTTTTTTTTTTGGTAGTGCTGGGGATGGAGCCCAGGGCTTTGTGCATGCTAGGCAAGTGCCCTGCCACTGAGCTTCCAGTCCCTATAAGTATTCTTAGAAACCTTTTTTTTTTTTGCCAGCTGTGGGGTTTGAACTCAGGGCCTCACGCTTGCAAGGCAGCCTATAATTATTCTTTATTTGTTTTTGTGTTTTTCTAATTTCTTAAGGTAAATATTCACTTCCTACGTTCCTTCTTTAGTAATGAGCACAGATTTTGTACTGTCATGTCACTTTTTCAATGAAGTAGACTCATTTTCATTGTTTTAAAATACTTTATGATTTCCCTTTTACTATCTTCTTTAATAAAAAGTTATTTAGTGTCATGTTTCTTAACTTCCAAGTTGTTGAAATTTTGGGGGTCAAATTTTTACTATTTATTAGATTGTGATCAGAGAATGTAGCCCATGAAATCATTAAAGATTTTTCCCTTATGGCCAGGCTCTGATTTCTTGGATATCTGAAAAATATACAGTCTCCATTGGAGGGATGTTAGGCTCTGCATACATGAGTTGATCAAGTCTGTTGATGATATTCTTTGTCTTACATGTCCTTCCTAGAACTGTCTGATCTGATGTTTTAAAAATCTCCCACAATAATTATATACGCATACATATATATATATATGTGTGTGTGTGTGTGTCTGTATATATGCACACATACTACAATATCCTCTTGTCTAGTGAACATAGAGGCCATTAATTAGTGTGGTGTAATTGCTCCCTAAGGTATTAAAAATTATGCCTGACAGTAAGCACTCTATGAAATTTTTGGCAGTTCTGGGGAATGGAGCCTGCAGACTGCTCACGGCAGGCAGGTGCTCTGCCCTGAGCTACCTCCCAGCACCTTCCAGCACCCCTGCCCAGTGTCTACAGTCCGGTTCCATTTTGACTGATACTTTCCATATTGATTCCTGCTTTTTTGTTTGTTTTTGTTTCCTTGGAAGTGGCAAGGTTTGCTCATTAAGGGTTTCTCTTATAAACTGCATACACTGGACCTTGTCTTTTCCTTTAATGGGGGAATGTAGGCCATTTGCACTTAATACAATGACTGATAACATTCCTTTCATATTATTTCATGTTACTATTTATTTTACTCTATTGTTGCTCTCCCTCCCTCTTATTTTTGAGTTGGTTGATCAAGTTTTGTTTCTTATTTTCTTTTCTTTGTTAACTTAAGACAACTTGGGCTGAGGGTGTGGCTTTATGGGCATGGACTTAGCAGTGCAAAACCCTGGGTTCAATCCCCAACACTGGGGGGAATAAGAAGAAAATACATACTGCTTCTATTAAAGATTACTTTACTCTCTTGACGTCATTTCTTTGTTCAATTGAAAAGAAGATATCAATTATTTCCTGGCCAAAGTGTCTTAACAAATGATGTGAGAACAACCCCAGTATATTGCTTGCCTTTGGCCTGGACAGCAAAGCCCTTGAGCTCAGAGTTCTTGACGAGTCTCCAAAGTGCAGCTAGCTTGCTTTCTTTCTTCCTTTTCTTCTTTCATTTTTTTGGTGGGACTGGGGTTTGAACTCAGGGCTTCACACTTGCAAAGCAGGCTCTGTACTGCTTCAGCCAAACCTTTAGTACATTTTGCTCTGGCTAATTTGGAGACGGGGTCTCTGGAACTATTTGTCTAGGCTGGCCTCAAACTGTAATCCTCCCTACCTCAGCCTTCCAAGTAGCTAGGATTACAGGCATGAGCCATCAGTGTCTGACAGCAGCTCTCTCTCTCTCTTTTTAAATTATACCCTTGGTTAGTCACAGAAGCACCTCCACTTTGGACAGCTGAGCTGGCAGTAAGTGTGCAGTCTCGTGAAAATGGAAATGCCTGGTGATCACACAGAGAAGACAATCACCCAGTGTGGTCTGAGAGTCAGAATCGAGATGTTTCTAGGGAAGTTTAGAATGGCTGCTCTGATGGGTAAACATATGGACTGGAAGCACAATTCCAGAAAATTAATTTAGAAACATGTCAGCACGTGTTACCACCTGTCTACTTTAACAATAAAGAAAGCATCCTGCATGAACGGAAGGGCCTACATAGAGAATAATAGTAATAAAAAGCCTATTAAGCTACCCCCCCAACACACAGTGGGTCAACATATCTCTGTTGCTTTGAATGAGTAAGAAATTCAAGCTAGATAAGGTAGTTCACGCCTGTATTCCCAGCACTCAGGAGGCTGAGGCAGGAGGACTCCAGTTTGAGGACAGCCTGGGCTACATAGTGAGATTCTGTCTGAAAAAAACAGTACCTCCCCAAAAAATCAATCAAAAGAAAAGGGAAATTTGAAAACACTTTCGTAGTGGTTCATTTGTGTCGTGCACTGTTTTAAAGCACTTCACTTGTAGCAACAGTTGGCATCTTAGCAGGTCTCGTGGACCTGATGCTGATCTTCCTGCATTATTTCACCAAGGAAGAGAAGACCCAGGGCCTAATCAGCTGTCCCGAGAGACCAGACGCTGGGCGTGGGGCTGCCAGCCCAGAAACACTGGCTTCAGAGCCTGCGTTTCAAACGTCAGTCCTCACTGCCTGAGTCCAGTGTGTTTTCTTCCCACCTCGCAGAGACACACGTGACTCATGTGGCGTGTTCTCAGGAGCCCCCACTCACCTCCAAGTCTGAAGAGATGAAGTTGTAAGGGATATTCCAGCCTAGCGTTCCATAGTTGTTTCTTTCATTGATCACAGCATTGAAAAAAGAAAGGCTAAATAGAAGTTTTTTCCACCATGGTCCACAGTCAGACCTTTCAAATATCTCTTCTGTCACCAATCCACTCCCACCATATCCAAACGTCTGAAGTAAATTGCTCTTCAGTCCTTGGGGAGATTCCATGGCAATCTTTAAAGCAGACGTGAGGAACGGGCAAGTGAGTACAGATGGAACCTGACTAAAACACACCCCACCCCCAAGATTCGCTGGCAAATCAATCATCTTGTGTTATTCGATTGCCATCTGAAAACTTGTGTAAGAGGATTGTCCTAGAATTTCTACATTGTTCTAATTCCTGTTTTAAAGAGAGAAGTGCAGCTTTGTGACTGAACGTGCTCCTGTGTGTCTGAGCTTGTCACCCACCCCTGCACTTCTAGCAGGAGGTGCTTCTCCCCTCCCTTTCAATTTCTCCTTACTTTATCCTGTTAAACTTAAATAAACCCTAAAACCTCAAAAGAAAACATTCCTGTCTGCATTAGCACGGGGTTTGGAGTCCTGCATTTTGGGCAGTCGCTGAGTTTCCAGGTTCGGGAGTCTGTGCACCGACTGTCATTGCTCACGTTAATGAGAGTGATTGAGGTGCTGGGATTTAGGTTGTTTTGATCACATTGAGCATTCATTTGATTGACTTCTTCACTAGGAAAACTGAAATAAAGAGAGGCTGGGGGTGAGGCCAGGAGGGAACCAGGTGCTTGTGACGCTGTGTGTGCTGGTCTGAAATGTTCTCTTACCTGCTCAGTTTACATACACACACACACTTGCATGCACTCTACGAATGGAGCTGCTTTCAATATTCACTGGCAAATCAAACATGGTATTCTTGCTACACGTGTGGCTCTTAGCATGGTGCACACTCCAGTTTGCAGATGTGTGTGTGGCTCACCTGCTTCCATGCTGCCATGAGCAGTAGGAGCCAGGTGCATAGCACAGGAGAGCAACTCGAGGTCCTAACTAGGAGCTGACACAGTATGGCTGGCGCAGCAGCCCACACCCCTCCAGAGATGGAGAAAGGTCTCTCGTTTTTTTTGTTTTTTTTTTCTTTTCATTTCTTTTTAATTTCAATTTCTTTATTTTTGAGACAAGGCTCTCACCATGCAGCCTCGGCTGGCCCTGAACTCTGCTCTTCCGCCTCAGGCTGTACCACCAGCCCAGCATCAATTCTAGGTTTTTACAACCCCTGGAGTGAGGCGAATGCTTTAATTTTATTACAAAACCCTTTAAGTGGCTCCAGGAGATGGAGGACAAACTTTCTGCGGGTATTGCCCTGGAATGAGCGCGAACGGCCCCAGAACAGCCACAGCTGAGTCATTCTCTGTCTTCCAAGGCCCATGTGCCTTTCAAACATCCTTTAAAGCAGGCTGCCAGCAATTCTCATTCAGAAAGTTCTGACCACAGAAGTGAGAAAATATTCACAGAGCACTGTTTTGCACCCTGTATGACTGAATATTCTTTAAAGAAACTCCTCATTTCTCTAAAAGTAGACATCTGTCTACCCCCTAAGAAATATATCTGAAGGGGAAAGTGTGAGAGAAGAAAGGGAGAGACAGAGGAGGGAGGCTAACACTACATAAATGCAGCATGCTTTATTTGGCATTTCCTAGAAGCCGATCATTTGACCAATTCTCTCTCTCTAATGCTCATATCTGTACATAACACAGAACCTTCATTCCTGGCTTAATCTCCCTGATAGCACCTTGTCAGCACTGTGTGAGCAGTCATTTCATCCCCTCAGCAGCACTAACTACATCACAACTCTTTAATCATTGTCAGCTGGATGGTCTATCAAAGACTCCCACAGTTTCAGCTGGTGTTTCTTACATAGCTACAGGCTAAACTACTTTCTTTCATGTTTTTAACTGCTTGTGTCTTTTGCTCATTTTCATGGGATGTTAGTGTTCCTCATTATTTGCAGGTGCTCTCATTTACATGTTAGGAAAGTTGCATATGACACAGTTCCAGGAAGTTTCATACATGTACGAATTATAATCAATCACATTAAAAGTGACTGTGCTGATGGAGTAGACCTAATTAAAATAAAATAAAGACGTCTTGAAAGTCTCTGCGCCCTCTGCCTATACTCCTCAACCTCTGCTCTTGGTCCAAAGAAAAAGGCTGCTTTTGCCATTAAGCTGCAGGCCGGGGGAGAAGAGGGACCTCTTAGACTGAGCCCTGGATCTCTGCAGTTGGTTCTGCCTGTGCAGGGTGCAAATCAACACAGGAGCAAGGCAGCACTGGGGAGCGCTGTGGCAGGGGAGGGCTCTAGCTTCAGGCATGAATCTGATGGCTGGACTGGGCCTCACACACCTGATCTCTTCGTCCTGCCCAACTGAAGAGCTCATGTGTCTGGGCATCAGCTCCTCTGCTGTTGGGGCTCCATGTCTAGGGCAACTAGACTCTTGTTAACAGCCTCAATGAAATGTCAGAGATAATCCTTAATTAGGATTTTTCAGTAAATAGTTTTATTCTGCTGTCTGGCAAATTTTACAGAGAATTGATGAACTGTAAAACGGTTAAAGGAACCAGAAATAAGAAAATGTTATATTTAGCTGGGTGTGGTGGCCCCAGTGTTTGGGAGGCTGAGGTGGGGGGATCACCTGAGCCCAGGAGTTTGACAACAACCGTGCAGCATAGTGAGATCCTGTCAAAACAAACAAACAAACAAACAACACAAAGGAAAATATAAGCAAGTGTCTATTTTGTTCACAACAACTTGAAGCCTAGCATTCCTATTTGAGAGTTGGTTGAAAAGTACAGGGCTGGACACAGAGCAGTGAGTTCACTCTACAGAATCTGCACTCTTCTGACCCGAATAACAACTGCAGCCGACCTATATGCAGCCCGCCCCTCTGTTGGTCCTCACCTTTATACCCGTCTGAAGAATCGAAATTGGGAAAGAACTGTCTGATTTCGAGCTTAGCCACAGCCTAAACTCAGGGTGTAATGTCACATCTGGACTACTGAGTCTGCAAAATAAAAATTTGTAAATAGTTTGGTGTGAAAAGTTTAAACCACCTGTTCTTAGAGTCACAGCATTTCAATGTTTTAAGTGACCTTGGGAATAATTTTAACGCCAGTTTCTGTGACAGTGTCATCTTGGCAAGAATCTCCACAAGATTCATCAATTTCCATTTTCCCTCCCACAAGTTTACAGCAGTAGATAGTCACTACAAAAAACTGGGAAGCAATTATAAATTAAGAACAAAACGAAGGGCTGGTAAAGCACCTGCTTTACCAAAAAAAAAAAACCCAAACACCAAAAAGCAAACAAAAAAATGAGAGTTCTATTGGTCAAATGGTCAAATCCAGGGCAATTAAATATCAGAATAAAAGATGACAGTAAAAGGCTGAATCTACTGAATAAAACGGGAATTGATGAGTCCACGTGAGTATAAACAGATAAACGAATAAATAAAAAGAAGAGAAAAAAACACTTTTCATTCTAGTAGAACATCTTAAGTAAAATTTGATGTGTGTGTGGTGCTGGGGTTTGAATCCAGGATCTCTTCTTTGGGGGGCTGTATTGGGATTTGAACTCAGAGCCTCAGCACTTGCTAGGTATTCTATCACATGTCTCCTGCCCCAGAACCCAGGGTCTCACACATGCTAAGTGTGCACTCCACCCCCATTAAATAAATCTAGGAGGAACTGTAGAGTAAGAAAGGCATCATTTACAAATAATATTCAGCAAAATTATCCAGGAACGTTGAAACCACAGACGACACAGCAATGTATGTGCAAAGTCTGAAAGTTCACAAATTGCAGATATCCCTTGAATCACATGAGCAAACTAAGATGACGAGGAGTGAGGCCGATTGGCACTGTGTGTTCTACAAAGGACACACCTGCACTTCTGCCTACTTCTGCAGTGCTGTTCCCGATCTAACATGAGGAACCGGCAGAAAAGCTCAAATCAAGGGACTCTTTGCAACATAACTGGTTTGTGCTTTCCATCAATTTATGAAAGACAAAGACTGAATGATCCAGATTAACGGAGGTGTGAGAGGCATGTGCTCAACGCAGTGCTGAGCTGGAAAGGTGTTATGGAGACAACAGGCTAAATACGCCTAGAAAATCAGCACAACGCAGAAAATCAGCACAGTGAGTGTTGGGGACAGGTGGCATTGCATCAAGTGATTTGGAAGGAGTCAGACACACCTGCAGTAAGTGAGTGATGGGCAGAAGTGTGAGCACCTGGGGAATGCACAGGAAGGGCGGTGTTTGCACTCTTGTCAGAACTTTGTGTGAAATTGCTTTTTACTTTATTTTTGAATTATCACACATCAAGAATGTGAGGATTTCATTTTGAAAATTCCATATATGCATAAGGTGAACTTTGAAAAAATTCACCTGCTCCATTATGTCTGAAAGATTTAAAAAAAATCTACAAAAGTGAAAGAAAAAACTCCCCACTGAACACAAAATGAAACTGAAAAATGGAAGTCACATAATCTCCCTATAAGTAGGCTTTCGCTTTTTTCTTCTAATTCTCCTCATTTTACAAATTAAAATACTATACTGTACATATGGTTCCTAGCTCGATGCTTTTTCCTTCTGGCAATATACCATGAACACATTTCTTCAGCTTCTAAACTGAGGAAATTGTTCTCTCTCTCACTGTAGGTTCCTGAGTGTAGCCTTAAATATCTAAAGGCTTGGCTTAACAAGAAATGAATTTCTTTTAGTCACACTCTGATTATACTTTTTCCACGTATCATGGATTGAACTATTGAGACTTTGAAGTTCTGTTTATTTATTTGTGTAGTATGTCTCCTTCTCCCTTTCTTTCTTTTTAACATGTTGCTCTCTGCTTTTGCACTGCCTCCCTATCCTGAAGTTCTGTGATACTGCTGCAGTTTTTCCTGAACCATGGTCTGTCCCCAGTGCCTGGAACAACAGGTTTTAAGCTGCTAGAAGAGGAACAGGTGCTGATGCGGGATGCAGGTGTGGGATGGAGGTGCTGGATGGATGTCTGCTGTTTGGAATCATTAGGAACCATGGTACACATCGTTACATCAGTATCTGGCATGGATAAGAATGCATGTACACCTGTCTACTCGGAGTTTGAGGAGAGAGAGTAAATGATATGACAGAGAACAGGAATTAAAGAGGCCTTAACCCCCCCCCAAAAAACCGTGGGTTCTCCATGTAGTTTTCAAGTTTTGGGGGAAGAGAGCCACGCATGTCACATAGCTTAGTTTCCTCGGAGTGGCCCAACATGTTATTTTGTTTTTGTGCACAATATACATTGCTATTTCCTGTATTGCTTCATAGTTTTGATAATTAATCTGATTCTTACAAATAAACATAAAAGTCTTACGATTCCACTACAGCACAAAGCCGCGGCATGAAGGATGCAGCCAGGTGGCAGTTCTGCAGGAAGACCCACTGCTGCCCTTTGGCCAGCGCTGTGGCCATGAGCTCTTCAGCTTTGGCCGCCTGGCCTCGGCCCAAGGAAATCATGGTCACGTGCTTTGTCGTTCCTTTTAACTCTTGTGCAAATCTCAGGAGAATGCTGGTGAGGTCCACCCCTGTTTGGTAGTGTGGAGAGGTACGTAAAACTGTGAGCTCATTTAATTCCCGCTTTAAAAACACCACTCAGTGTAACCAGGACTACAAAAGGAGAAACCTTTTGGTGTAGCTGCTTGCATGCTGGCCAGTTCGCTCCGCTTGTTGATCATACTGACTGCTTTTCCGATCTTTGTCTACATGCTGGAGAGCCCAAGGTTAATTCCCTTTACTCTGCAACTAAACCAGGCCTTCTTCTACTCTTACCTCTCTCTAATCACTAGAGCAGTAAACCGTCAGCCAAGACACAAAGCTTCAGAGAAGTGGCACTGGACATTTGGAGAACTAAGGCCAGAGGCAAAGGTGAACATGTATCTGCTCACCCAGTCAAGCTGAGTGCCTGAACTTCCCTTTAAGAAAGCAGACATTTTCTCTCAGAAGTGGGATGGCAGTGCTTTAAGAGGTTGACTCTCCCTGTCCTCCTTTTCATCTGATGAATAATAAACCTTATTGCCCTTTCCTCAAAACCCTGCTCTCGTTATTTATAAATTGTCAGTTGGCATTGAGGTCAAGGGACCAGTTTTCCAGGGACAAAACTGGCAACTCCGATGGGACCCACAGGGGCTCCCCACTCTTTTGAGTGTTGAGGCCCCCTGGGGTGAACTGTGGCTGGATCTCAGCAGAGGTGCTGGTGAGTGAGGCTGGGGGAAGACCAGGGGACAATTCCCAGCAGCTTCTGGGGTAAGATTAACTCCAGGGAACTCCCACTGTGTTCTCCAAGAACCAGAACAGGACCTCTGGGTGTCTGATTGGCATCTGGGGAAGAGGAAAGAGGATGTATAGGAAGTCACAAGGGTTTGGTCAATACTTGGCTGGAGGACTGACTTTCCAGTAACATCAGAACTTTCTGAGCAGTGGTGGGGAAGGTGTAGCCATAGTGGGAAGACCACATAGAGCCTAGCCTTCAAATTTTGTCTCTGTTACTTCCTCACTGTGTGGCCTAGGCTTTCTAACACATGGGGACTGTGGCAGTACCAGCCAGCTGTCTGCTCTGCGTTTGTCTGTCCTGTCTTCCTCTGTAGCTGTACCCCAACTGGCTTAAGACTACCCTTTCATTCAATTCTGCAGCTAGGTGTAGGCATCTAAGCCTGGTGGACAGTTTGTGGCAGTAGAAATCTGTTAGAAAAGCTCTGTGTAAAATCTTGACTAGCTTCTTAAAGGGAAGAGGCGTAGCCTGCTTTCTTTAAAAAATTTTCATTAGCATAAATTGTACAAAAGGTTTCACTGTGATGGTTTACTTGCAGATGATGTACTTTGATCAAATTCACTCTGACCCTGCTTTCTTTCTTCTGTTCTATTGTTCAGGACATGAGGTGGTGGCAAGAGGCCCAGCCACCATCGTAGGCTGAGCCTCCAAGCAGTGACCAGCACTTGCTCTGTCTGTGCGTCAGGCACAGAGCCGGTCTTTACCTGGAAACACTCCAGGTGAGCAAGCCTCCAAGAGAGGAACTCTGGACAGGCATTCACCTGATGGAATCAAAGTTCCAAAATGATGAATTCTAGATGCATTTGATATGGAGACTATGAAGAGCAGAAGATAAAGAAAGAAAATGTTTTGTTTAGGAGGAAATGTTTTCCTTAAGAGCTAAGAGCAATGACAAGAAAAAGAAGAAAAAAGCATTTGGAGTTTCAAGGAATACATGCTCAGTTTCTGACAGTTAATTTTGTAACATATATTTTTACAAATCATTATGAACTAAACCAGCTAATAGCTGATAGTTGGCAACCCCAACTATCAGAAGAATTCCATGGGAAGATATATTCTTACACTGATAGGTTCTTCCATATTTGTGAAAGTTTTATTTTTCTTTGTTCTTTCACGTTTTTAGGTTCATTAGTTAAATAGTTTAATGTTTTAATCTGTTTTCCAAAATGTTTAAACAGGATTAGGGAGGTATTCTGAACACAGCACAGCCTGACACAGAGCTCCCCCCACAACCTTGCTTACCATCGGAGTGGATCAGGATTAGCGGAGTCTCTGCTGTGGATTCTCTGTACGACTCTTTCAGATTAACTGCGGTTTGGTGGATATATTCCTTTCCCATTTTTTCAGTTACAAAATTTCCCACCGAACTCTTTAAACGTTCTGGTCTAAGAATTTTTATCTGAAAAAGAAAATATAGAAGATAGGGCAAATTTAAAAATTGACCAGGAGAAATTCCCCATGATGAAATGAAAATAGAAAGCAGTCTGAGGCCAGCCCTAGTCAAAAATGTGAGACCCTATTCGAAAAATAACTGAAAAAAAAAAAAAAAAAAAAGGGCTGGGGCATGGCTCAAGTGGTAGAGTAAATCACAAGGCCCTGAGTTCAAACCCCAATATTGCCAAAAAAAAAAGCCAGTCCCAGGTACTTTGTTACTTTGTTACAGCAGCCCACTGTGACTAAGAGGGACCTCTTCTAAGGAAGGTCTTCACAGGTTCAGATCCATTGTTTTATGATAAACTGCACTTGAAAACAAAAATTGCAGGACAAAAGTCTAAAGCCAGATGTGCTTTTGCTACCTCTAAGTGAATTTTCAATTGTTGCAAATATAAAATTTGGGAAGGTGACGTGGTTTCCCAGAATGGCATGATGTGAGGTCAGGTCAAGGGAGGGAGGGACGAGGGTTTTTTCCTGCTCACCTGGAGGGTAAGTGCGAAAATAAAAAGACTTTTTAAGGTGATAGAAATGATTCTGGGATGGTTTATCTGTGAAGAGCACAGATGTTAGGGGCAAACTGAGAGTTGATCCTGCTTGGTTTCCTACTCTGTAAAACAGGAGACTGCTCCAGGATTAAGTGAAATTAAGGTACGTAAAGCACTTCACGCATACCCAAACTTTGACATCGTCAGCCTCATAAATGATACCTTGGTACAGCATGTTTCTGAGATGTCCCCAAAAGCCTAGGTGTTGAAGGCATGGTCCTCAGGGTGGTGCCATTGGGAAGTGATGGATCCTTTAGGAGGTCGTGGATCCCAGTGTGAGGAAGTGAGGTCATTGGGGGTGTGCCTTTGGGAGATATTGGGGCCCCAGCCCCTTTCTGTCTCTCTTCCTGGCCACCATGAGGGCAGCAGCTTCCTCTGCCATGGGCTCCCACCATGATGTGCTGCCTCATGTCATGATATGCTGGCCCAAAGGAATGGGGCCACCTGACCACGGACCGAAACGTTTGAACCTGTGACCCAAAATGAACCTTTTGCTCTTTTAAGATGATTACCTCAGGTGTTTAGTTACAGTAACAGAAAGCTGATTAATACACACAGATTTGCCTCCTTAATCTACCCCACAGCAATTATGATATAAAAGAGCCAGGAAAATGTCACCTTACAATAATGAGTGCCCTGGTGCTGAATGTGGTTAAGTGTGAAATGCCTAGTGTGTAAATCCTGGAATTGGATACACTTACCTGTCTTGAGCAGGCTGGGCAGGACTAGGGTCTGGTCCTGTGTAACTTACAGCATGGGGGCACAGGGGGCACAGAGAACGTGGGGAGCATGGGGGAGCATGGGGGCACAGGGGAGCACAGAGGAGTATATTTTGTTTACAAAAGGTTTAATTCTGAAGGGTTGAAATCACTAATTGAGTCTTTATATTTTCTCACAGCACATCTTACCAAAATGAGTCTTTGAAATGGAGTGAGGTTCTCCCAGGGAAAATTTATAGGATTATGCATTTCTTCACCTTCATCCCAAGGTTCTGCTAGATACCATTTAGAGAAAGAATCAAGTTAATGACCACCTGCTTCGTATCACTGAACCATGCCTCAAACAAATCTGTTATGCAATTGTGCAGACTGACTAAGGCAGTTTATTCCCACAGGATCTGGGTCATGACTGAGTCCTGAGAGGCGGGCATTAAGGTAGGTGAAGCTCCCAGTTGGTACGGCAGATGTGCGTGGACAGTCAGAGCCGGCGGTGGGCAGCTGCAGGGAAACACAGATGCAGGCGGAGCTGGCTGTGACCTGCTCCTGCCAACAAGGCCCTCAGTGAGTCAGTGAGTACAAGATAATATCTAAGGGTAGGGATTTCCATTCACAATGCCCACAACACGCAGGAAACGAGAAACCACTGAAAGTCAAACAGGATCATCAACGTACTTTTTCACACCGGCCCCTCCTGTGCCAGGACAGTCCTGCGGGATCACAGCCTCCTGAGAGGCGCTCAGCTCCTGCCTCCTCTCCAGCCATATCTGACCGCTGTCACTCCACCGGCCATGCTCTTCTATGGCACTGTCCCAGTGTCCAGCTTTATGTACAACTTGGCTTATTAACAAAGCATTTTTGGAGCCAGGCATGGTGGTTCACACCTATAATCCCAGCTACTTGGGAGGCAGATAGGAGGACTGCAGTTTGAGGCCTATCAGGGCAAAGTTAGGGAGACCCTGTCTCAAAAGCAAACTAAAGGCAAAAGGGCTGCGGGCATGGCTCAACTGGTGGGGCGCTCGCTTAGCAAGTCAAGGCTTGAGTTCAATCCCCAGTACAGAAACACACAAACAGACAAACAAATGTCTTTTCCTTCAAAGAAACAGAAGTACATACTCAACCCAGGTAAAATCCACTTCGAAGCAGCAGCTCGTTATTAACTCATGGCTTTCTGGAATGTTAAATGTTAACCTTGCCCTTTCCCTCATCTATAGTCAATCGAGATTGGGCTGTCCACCTGGTATGCTTGCTCACCAGACCTCTGTTGGTTGCACACCTTCTGCAGAAGTAAAACCATTTGGCTTGCTGACTGACTCCTGAGTCTTATTCATTAATCCAGAGACTTTTTCCAACACAAACAAAACACTATTTTTTTTAATGCATCTGATATTGGTGTGTTGATTTAAAACAAAAATAGTCCGTGGTACGTAAAACTCCAGTTACTAATGGATAAACTTGAGGTTATTAGCAAAATAGTCTTTTAAATAAAAATGGTTGACTCTTATTTTATATTAAAATGCATTATAGATCACACATTAATAACAAACACAACAAAATAAAGTAATGATGGCCCAGAGAGAACACTGTAGGTGAGAAGCTGTGAGGACACAGTGACTGTTACAGGAACACCCAAACATTTGCTCTGTACAGACACTACAAACAAACCCAACACACAGCGACATAAACCGTCATCTACAGCATTAGTAGGACCCTTACAGGGGGTCGAAGGATAAACAATGCAGTGGGAACGTGGTAGATCCATGTGATGGACACATATCTGAACGGACACCTCAAGTGCTACGGGTATTCTACATCTCTGATGGCATGGAGGGCACGGGAGCACAGGGGGACTTGGGGAGCACGGGAGAGCACGGTGGGCGAGAACACCAGTCATCAGACTTTAAAGGAGACCACCTGGCAGCAGGTATTAACATGAAAAGGAGTCCCTGTGTGAATTTCCCTTGTGGAATTCTACTTCCTATGGAAAGAAAAGCACAGGATTATCGTGAGGATTATATTGATAGGTGTGTGCTTAGAACACAGCCATGCTCTTCCTTCAGTTGTTACACGCACGCAAATGCCCAAGCTGGACGGAGCCGGCTTCCTTACTTTCCTCTGGCCGGGTCACACTCTCCTCCGGGGAAGCATTTTCTGCAGAGAAAGGCATGCTGACCAGGGAGTACACACTCATGCTGTCCCTGAAGGCATCCCACTGCCGGGCATTGGACAGCAGGGACTTGCAGAGGAGGGAGAAGGGCTCCAGGTGTGTGGCGACATATTGGCACTGCTTCCACTTCTGGGCTGACAGCCACTGCAGGTGTTCTTTCCTACGTGCTTCAAACACAGCTAAGGAGAGGAAAGATTCGTTACGAAGGGGGTGAGCAACACATACTTCTAGTTGTGGAAAGGAACAGTTTTTATAAAAATTAAGGAGGTCAGTTATTTTCACTGTATCACAGTAGCCATTCGAAGTAGACACCCGCCCCTGTTGTGAGCACAGCTCCCTCCCTCCCTCCCCATGCCCTAGTCCTGGTGACCCCACCCTGCTTCCCGGCTCCTCAGATGCCCATATGAGCACCTTTGTCCTTCTGACAGACTTACCTCATCCATGCCATAGCATGTGACAGAAGTTCCTGCTTTTTGAAGACAGTACATCTATGAACATTCTGTTTGTCTTTCCGTCCCTTGTGGATGGGTGGAGGAGAGGGGCAGCTTCCATCATCTCTCCCAGTCTCCCAATTTCAAGTTTTTGGATGCATTGCCAGGGTGGGATTGCTGGGCCACAGGGCAGTGCTACTGGAATTTTCTGAGCAAATTCCATTCTGTATTCTATCGCACCATCTTTCACCCCACTGGGCGCGTACAAGAGTCACGGTTTCTCCACTTCTCTGTCAGCACTTGTTACCTTCTTTGTTTTTTCATAGTAGCCACCATAATGGACCCAAGGAATACCACTATGGTTTTGGTTTGCATTTCTCTGATGACTGGTGAGGTTGTGCAGTTCCTGCACTTGTTAGTCATATGCATATCATCTTTGGAGGTGATACTCGTCTTTGGAGAAATGTCTACTCAAGTCCTTTGGCCATTTTTAAGTTGTGTTTTGTTGTTGAGCTGGAGGAGCTCTTTATTCTTTATACCAACTCCTTATCAGATGGGAGATTTGCAAATGTTCTCTAATTTTGCAGGTTGTCTTTCACTTTTCATAAAAGTGTTCAAGTTTGATATAGTCCATTAGTCTATTTTTGTTTTTGTGTCATAGCCAAGGAACAATTGGCGAGTCCAAAGTCACAAACCTTTTCCTTAATTTCTGCTACGACTTTTCACAGTTTTAGGTCTTTAATCCATTTAGGGTTAACTTTTGTATTTGGTATAAATAATGGTCTGACTGCATTCTTCTACAGTTTTCTCAAACATTCTTTGAGAAGACTGTCCTCTCCCCAGTCAGCGGAGCTGGAGCCATTTGGACATAAATGCGAGGGTGAATTTCTGGACTCTATTCTATGCCATTGATCTATTTGTCTATGTTAACACCACACCATTTTGATTAGTGTAGCTTTATCATGTTTTTAAGTCAGGAAGTATGAGATATCCACTTTGATCTTCTTTTTCAAGAGTGTTTTGGCTATTCAGGGTTTCCTGTAATTAAATACCAATTTTAGGAAAACATTTTCTACTTCTACCAAAAAAACCCTGCAATGACAATGAGTCATCGCTTTGAGTAGTGTGAATACCCTAGTAAAACCACATCTTCCAGTCCAGGAATATACAATGTCATTCCATGTATTTGTGTCTTCTTTAATTTCATTCAGAAATGCTTTGCAGCTTTTTTTTTTTTTTTTCCAGTACTGGGGTTTGAACTTAGCATTTGCTAAGCAGGTGCCTACCACCTGAGGTTACTCCCCCAGTCCTTTTTTTCTTTTAATTACTTTTTGGATATGGTCTCCACTTTTTGCCTGGGTTGGGATTAGAGATGTGTACCACAATGCCTGGCTTGTTAGTTGGGATGGGGGTCCCACTAACTCCTTCTCTGGGCTGGTCTTGAACCACCATCCTCCTGATTCAGCTTTCCACCTGGGATTACAGATACGCACCACCACACCTGGCCTATTTTGTAGTTTTTATTGTGCTAGTATTTTTCACCTCCTTGGATAGGTTTATTCCTAAGTATTTTCTTCTTTTTTTGATGGTATTGTAAATGGAATTGTCTTCTTAATTTCCTTTTTCAAATTGTTTATTGTTATTGTACAGAAACAGAATTGATTTTTGTGTGTGTTTTTTTGTATCTTTCAGCTTTGCTGTATGCATGTTTGAGCTCTGTTGCAGCCGGCTGAGCGTTTTCATCATGAAAAGGTGTGGAGTTCTGCGTCAGTTGAGATGGTCATGTGGCTTTTGTCATTCATCGTGTGATCGGTACATCACATCTACTGATTTAGTGTTAAACTACCCTTACTTTCCATGAGTTAAATCCCACGTGGTTAGAGTGTACTAATGTGCTCTCGATTTGCTTTGCTAGTAATTGTTTTTGCATCAAATTCATCAAGAATTTTGGTCTGATTTTCCTCCCTTCCTTCCTTTCTCTCCTTCTTAGGTTTTGCTGTGTTGCCCAGGCTGGTCTTGAACTCCTGGACTTCTCTTCTCAAGGGATTCTCCACCCAGCTCTCAGGTGCTGGGACTATATGCAGGCACCAGTACACCCACCCTTGCACTTTTCGTTTGCTGTAGTGCATTGCCTGGTTTTGGTATCAGATTAATACTGGTACCAAACTCATAGAGTGAGTTAGGGATTATTTTTTTCTCTTCAGTTTTGTTGGGAAGAGTTTTCAGGGGAATTTACATTAATTATTTAAAAATGTTTGGTAGAATTCTCCAGTGAAGCTATCTGGTCTTAGAGTTTTTTTTTTTTTTTTTCCTTAAAAAAATAAGAGTTTTGTTTACTGACTCAATCTCTTGTTATTGATCTGTCCGGATGTCCTGTTTCTTCATGATGCAGTTTTGCAGATGATGTGTTTTTAGGTTATCCGATTTGCTACCACAAAGCCATGTCATGCCTGCCTTTATTTCTGTGGCACGTATTTTAACGTCCCCTCTCTCATTCCTGACTGCAGCCATTTGAATATCATCTCTTTTTTTTTATTTAACTGAGCTACTGGTTTGCAAATTTTGTTGGTCTTTTCAAAATATCAACTCTTAGTTGTATTGATTTCTTTCTGAAATTTATCTGTCTATTTTAAAATTGCTTTAATTTTTATTAGTTCTCCTCCTACTAACTTTTTATGTAGCTTGTTCATTTTAGTTTCTTGATATTATATTGCTGACTTGAGATCTTTCTTCTTTTTGAAGATTTCCCTCTGAGCACCGCATCCCATAAATTTTGACATGCTGTATGGTTGTTGTCATTTGTCTCTAAGTATTCACAAATTTCCTTTGTGATGTCTTCTTGGCCCCACTGGCTATTTATGAGTGCTGTGGTTTAATTTCTACATTTGTGTGCTTTTCAGTTTTCCTTCTGCTATTGATCACTACTTCATTCCACTGTGTTTGGAAAAGACACTTGGTATGATTTCTTAAGACTTGTTTTGTGGCCACACACAGTCTATTGTGGAAAACGTCAAGTATCCTGAGAGGCACATTTCCTGCTGTTATTGGGGTACTGTCCCGAGTCATCTGTTTGGCCCCATTGTCTCCGATGTTGTGCACGTCCTCTACTTTCTTATTAATCTGTGCATGCTTGAAAGCAGGGCATTAACGTCCACCACCACTATCTGTCACCATTTGCTCTGTATATCTGGGAGCTCAGAGTTTGGTGCATAAATGTTATTACAGTTAGATCTTTTTGGCAAACCCTTTATCATATAATGTTTATCTCTTGTTAGAGGTTTTTTATTTTGAGTCAGCCACACCTGCTCTCCTCAGTTATCTCTCACGTGGAATTTCTTTTTTCCATCCCTTCACTCTGTCAGCTTACGTGTTTCCTTAGTTCTGAAAGTGAGTTTCTTATGTGGTTGGAGCCTGTGTTTTCCCATTCAGCTAATCTGTTTCATTTTTTAAAATTGGAGATTTAAACCCATTTACATTTAAAGTGATTACTCACAGGGAAGGACTCAATATTGTCATTTTGCTACTTGTTTCTGTATCTTTGTAATTTTCACCCCTCCCTTCATCATTTATTGCCTTTTAAAATCTTTTATTGATGTTGTTGAAGTGATGCTATTTTGATTCCCTTTGTATATATGCTATAGACATTTTATTCGCAGTTGACTTTGCATAAAACATCTTAATTTTACAGCATTCTCTTTTAAACTGGTAATAATTTAACTTTTGTCATATATAAGAACTCTCCTCCCACAGGGCTTAACTCCGAATCATTTGTGGAGGTCACAAATTACATCTTTATATATTGTGTACCCCTGAGCATAATTATACAATTAAAAAAACTGCTTTTGCTATTTAAATTACATGCACAAAGTTACAATAGTACACACTACTGCATTTTTGTTCACTTTATGCTGTGGCCTACTGTTCTTTTATTTCAGCTTGAAGGTTTCCTTTAGCACTTTTTGTAGGGCAAGTCTAGTTATAGTAGACTCTCTCAACTATTATTTATTATCTCAACTTCTCCTTCGTTTTTGAAAGGGTTTTGTCACATACAGCATTCTTGGTTGGCAGTTCTTTCTTCCTTTCAGCACTTTGCAATTCTGTCCTGTTCCCTGTGGCCTAAGCCACACAGGCACTCCTTGTAGTCACAAATCAATTCTCCCGTGCTGCTTTCATGGTTTTTCTGCTTAAAGCTGAAGTTAATAGTAGTCATTGGGTCTCATATTGGTGTTTGAATTTTTCCTTAGGTTTTAATTAAATACTGGAATCCTTTCTAAAATTGTTTATTTTTAAGTTATTGCTATAGCTTTCTTTCTTTTATACACAAAAGAATAAATAATAAGAATCAGTAAGATAATTTTTTGATCAAACATTCGTGCTTTGACATGAGGAAAAACAGGTGAAAACCTGAACAGAAGAGAGCTATCTACAATGCTTGTGTGTGCCACAGGAATACTTTTCATGTCTGCATTCTGGCTTCTTATTTGGCCAGCAGTCCCTAAACACTTGACAAAGTCTAATCCAGTGTCAATGTCACATTGCCTTTAATTTCTTATTTAATAACATAAAATGTATAGCATAGCACAGCACAGCCGTGTGAACATATTTCATACCACTTTAACGTATACTTAAAATGATTAAGATGGTAGAGTCTATGCATATTTGCCCACATGTAATACTTATCAAAGTGTACAACCCAGAAGAGGCTGAAAAGATTCCATAGCTGGGGGTTTTGCCTAAGCTTTTTGTATAGTTGTGCTTGTGTGGCTTGAGTTCTCACGAGAAGGTGAATGCAACTGCATTTAGCAGGGGAATGTCTCACTCCTGAAGGCCACCATTAGATATTCTGCCCCAGGTTAGATCACCATAACCACACTAAGTGCTACTGACTGACTGATTCACTGAAAAATTAGTGAGCTATGTGTGGTGCACAGGCCTGCAGTCTCAGCACTCAGGAGCCTGGGCCACTCACTGCCCGTCTGTGGCCCTGTGTCGACAATGCAGGGAAAGTGAAGAACGACGCGTGTGCGTTCACTTCAGTTGCAGGAGCGGTGGCTTGGAGTGTCTTAGAGGCCTTTTCACAGTTCACAGACAAACATTCTGAGTTTAGTAACCTTAGCAATTACTTTTACTTACCATCGAGCCCAGGCCTGGGTAGTACAGTTTTAATGTTTATCAATATTCCAGAGTACAGGAAGATGTTCCACTCTTTGTCTGGTAGGAACCCGATGTTGTCTGTGCTCACATTGCTGTCCGCATTGTGTTGCATGATTGTGGTGCAAAGCAAAAAGGAGAAACAAAGTTTATGCTGATTAAATAAAGCTGCAGCGACGACCTGCAAGGAGCACATAACTGTCACTGAACAGCTAGCGCGGGTAAGTATACAGAGTTCTCATCGAGGACTCAAAAACACTTACCTTAAAAACATTTCTGGTCAGCACCTCTATGGAGTTTTTAACATGATTGTCTACTAGATTCTCTCCACTTTCCAAGTTAGACTGACTTGAGACATTTGGAATCTCATCCACTTTTTCCAGAGGCATTGTGTCACTTTCCAAACCGCCCTCTTGTTCTTTTCTTTTGGAAAACTGATGAAACGAACACCTTACGAAACCAGTCCAGGGAGAACTGGTACATGTAGTTGACTTGTGTGAGACTGGCCACGAGGAAGTAGAGCAGGGTGCCCCGCGTAGCGATGGGGAGGTAGCTTTTACGCGTTGCCTGGAGTTCACTTTCTGCCTTTACTGTTGCTTTGATGCGTTTTGAGATCTCATTTGAAGTGATTTTAGATTTGCTTAAGGTATCAACAATTTCCTCATCATCTAATATGTATCCTAAAGACAAACAGAAAGTGAGCTGAAATAAAAACTGAGCAGCATTAAGTAGCAGTTTCCCCATTCTTTATGTATTTTCTACGTACGGCTTTTACTTTTCGTGGTTCACAGCATGGAGCTCCATGTCCGAGTCCCTCGTCTCTTCTTAATATGAACCCACAGAGTCTGTTGGTTCTATTTTTATTACAGACACACAGTAAGTCTGTAATAAACAGACTTCAGGAGTCTGAAGCATCTTAAGGAGTGCATTTACATCATGACCCATTATGTACCTAACATTAAAATGGAATTTCTAGAAAACAGCAAGCACTCCACTATTTCATGTGATATACTCTGATACTTTGTTTTTTTATTCCACTTTATTAAGCAAATAAAGATGATCACGACTGATGAGGGTGATTACTCAGATGTTGATAGGCTGCAATTCATCTTTTGTAAAGCTCTGCTTGGGACACACAGGTAACGATTCTACTCCCTCAGGTGTTTCAAGGCAGCTCTGGATTTCCATCATATGCTCTTCTATTTTATGGACTCAGCTTTCTCATTTTCTTCAGCTCCTTTGTTTTTAATGACACGGTTTTTGGAACTCTCACACCATCCTTGATGGTGGCCTTCAGAGCGATGTATGGGATCGTCATATAACACAATCTGGATTCTAGGTGAAGCTTTTGAAGGAGTGTCTGGACCTCGGCTGTGGGTCACCCCTCACACTCTGTTCTTTTTTTTTTTTTTTTTTTCATTTTTCTTTTATTATTCATATGTGCATACAAGGCTTGGTTCATTTCTCCCCCCTGCCCCCACCCCCTCCCTTACCACCCACTCCGCCCCCTCCCTCTCCCCCCCCCAATACCCAGCAGAAACTATTTTGCCCTTATCTCTAATTTTGTTGAAGAGAGAGTATAAGCACTAATAGGAAGGAACAAGGGGTTTTGCTGGTTGAGATAAGGATAGCTATACAGGGCATTGACTCACATTAATTTCCTGTGCGTGGGTCACACCCTGTTCTTACCACACCATTCCTCAGAGTCATATCAAAGAAAATATTTACATAGAGGTGATAAGGATTGCCAGTTTACTAAAACTAAGAATTAAGGAGTCTTTTCTTTTGTGGTGCTGGGGCTCTTGCATATGCTGAGCACACATGTGTACTACCAAGAGCTGTAACAGTAAAAAGGAGTGTTTAGATTTTTTTTAAGAAAAAACTTTTTAATTAAAAGCACTATTAGTAAAAGGTTGCAATCTTTTATAAAAGTAGCTCAGATTCTAATACAAGAAACAAAACAAGTGGTAGGGACTTCTTACTTGGCAAGATATCATCACTAAATAGCTTTTAAAATTAATTATGAATTAACTTATTAACTATTGTTTTGATTGTTGATAGTGTGACATTTATACATCACAGCAGGGCAGTTAGCATTTCTGTCTCTTTACACATTTATTTACTTATTTTTGTACCTTGTTTTATCACCAGCACTTATAAAACTGGACCTAGGCCTGGTGACACAGGCACGGTCTTAATATAGTGAGCGTTTGGCCTACCTTGATTATCGTAAAACCAGAACAGTGAGAATATTCACAGTTTTTTTTGAGTTTTTCTAGGCACAGGTAACTGTGTGTATTTATGGGGGAGTTTGATGCTCACCACACGTACATGAACCGTGACTCCACCGCCTGGTCAGCACTTTGCCGGGGCCTCACCTCGGCTCCTGCAGGTATCCGTGGCGTGACTTGGTGGACAACACTCTGACTTCAGAGCTGCCAAGCACCAGACTTTAGTCAGAGCCCCCGACTTTAATCCCCTGGGCTCATTCACACTGGAAACAGCCAGCATTGCCCCTGGGAACGGCACTCAAGCCCTATCAAACTGTTCTCTTCTTTTCAATAATTCAAGTCTCACTTACTACTATTGATACATTTTTACCTTTTTAAATAACCTGGTTTTTGGTTTGTTTTGCTAAAGTATTTGGTAAGGCTGTGGGCCTTTAGGTTAGACAAATGGTGCTTCTTCAGCAGTGCATATTAGAACTCTGAGGACAGCTTTAGAAGTAAATACAACTGGGTGTGGTGGTGCACGCCTATAATCCCAGCACTCAGGAGGCTAAGGCAGGAAGATGGAGAGTTCAAGGCCAGCCTAGTGGCTCACAGAGAAACCTTGTCTCAAAACAAAAGAAGAAGAAAGAAGTCTACATAAACCAAAGCCCCACCTGTGGAAGCTCAGATTCCCTGAGGCCGTGGTGGCGTGATATCATGGGAATTTGGATTAAAATAAAAGGGAAAAGAGCAATAAAATGTATGGATGACTCCCATATGTGACCTCCATCAAGAACTGAAGTGGCCCAGACAGACAGCCACTGCTGACAGACTCTTTTTCAAACTAAGGTATGTCCTTGTGACTTGCCCCTTTATTGCCACAAGGCGATGGCTTCTTAGATATCCTAATAGTCAGAGTGTAGATATCCTTCTGTGCACATTTTAATGGGATACAGGAGGCCCTGGAGCCTTTCCCTCAAAAGGTACTTTAGTCTGAATGCTTGGGTCAACCTTATCTTTTGGCTTCTGGCTGAGGCATGGAGCTTGCCAGCCTCCCTGAAGACGGATCCCAGGTCTATGACTTAATGAGCTAAAGCAAAGGGAGGTTGAGGAGCATCGGTTCACAATGGCTAGGTGGGTTTAGACATGGGTGGGTCACTTGTCACCTGCACGAGTCAGTCATGTGGAGGAAGTGGCACTCTGGCATTTGGACACCAGATTTGGAACACTTCTGGCAACCTTCCTTCCAACTGACCTTGCGCCCATCTGCATGGTCCCGGCAGCACTGAATCGCTTGACTCACCTTGTGCTTTCTGCAGTAGGGTCAGCGTCTTCTCCTCCAGCTCTTCAAGAGTTACAGCATCACGAGAAATGCTCTCCAGTAGCTGGCAGCGCTCATCTTCCAAATGAGGAACTTCGTGAGTCACTACTGTCGACAAGAGTTGATCTTGCAAACCGTGGAATGTAATGGTGAAATTGATCATAGTAACAAAGTTACAAACTGATGGAAGAAAATGGGGATTGTCTCTTTCTGTAGACAAGTATAACCTAAGCAAGGGAACGGAACCAGTTATTTAAAGAACAGAGGGAAAAAATGAAACAAGTTTTAAATAATGCAAAATGTATTTTCCCTAGAAGTAAACAAGATTTTTAGTGTTACTCAGCCTTGGACACAAAGTAGGTTCTCAATTAATAGTATGTGAATCATTTGTAATTTCAGACTTTAAAACTATAGCTGGTGCCAGTGGCTCACCCCTGTAATCCTAGCTACTTGGGAGGCTGAGATCAGGAGGATCGTGGTTCGAGGTCAGCTCAGGCAAATAGTACTCGAGAGCCCATTTCCAAAATAACCACAGCAAAAATGGACTGGAGGTGTGGCTCAAGTGCTAGAGCACATTCTTTGCAAGCATGAAGCCCTGAGTTCAAATCCTAGATCCACAAGAAGACTTTAAAACTACAGCCATAAATTACATCCATACTACATGTGGTTTAAGAACAAGGACAGAGGAAAAATGCTCAATAGTAGGAGTTTTGAGGCCCCTAGGTTGTCATAGGGACTGTGGTTTTCCCCCTGCATGGTGGTGATGTGGGGATGTGGGTGGGAGGGGAAGGCCTGACAGATGCTGTGGTACTGCTGAGGGCATCTTGTTTCCTTTTTACAGTAGCTAGAGGCAGGGCAGAAGTGAAGCTCTGACACGGCCAGAAAGGGATGGAGTCGGGCTCTGTCTGTCCTTTGAAACAGAGCCCTGCCCTACTCAGGCACACACATTTCCAATATGGGGGAAGGAGGAATGCAATTCAAAAACGTAGGTTCACCCTCCTGTACTCAGTCCTAGTGCAGCCAGGCGGGGAATGAGTGGGGTAGCCTGGGCTTTTCCAAGTGTTTTCTGCACAGCCCGGCTTTCTGGAGGGTGTCCCCAGGACAGGATTCGTCAGACCTTGTGAATGCCCTCCTGTTCTGAGTGACACCATCAAGTCGAGGATGCTGTGGTGAGGAGCACTGTTGGGAAAATGTTTTAGCAGAGGGGGAAGGAGACTGTAAAGAGTAGGAATGTGGTGTGCAAGGGCACCCTGCCTGCAGGTCTGTGTGGGTGGCTCGGAGGAAGGGAGCAGCGCTGCCATCTCAGTCTCCCAAGTCCCTTGCTGACCTACTGCCCCCGTCCTCCTGGCTTTGCCTACAGGGAGAGTGCATGTGTACAACAGCCCAGGTGGCTCATTTCCTTGGAGTCATATCTTTGTGGCAATCGAATGTGACTGCAACATCGGGTTTTGTGTCCGGGGCCAGCTCCTGCTGGGGACCCCAACATGGTGTCTATTTCCCTAGGCAAAGTCTTCTCTGCTTTGGATATTAAACACAGATTCTGTGTTTTGGAGCAGCAGAAGCCTGCCCTACCCAAATCCCAAGTCACACCAGTGGTCAAATCAGCCCCTCTGGACATGCAGCCAGGTTTCCTTCCTGTGCCCTGATGGGTTCTGGGCCTTTAAAAATACGGGACAGACAAAATCCGCTCCCTTTGTGCACGCTGATGAGGGCTGCTGCCCACACAGCAACAAAACAATCTTCCTTAGGGAGAGGCTCCAAAATACAAGGCCTTTGGAGATGATTTGTCTTAGAAAATATAGACATTTGACTCAATTTTAACTGCGAGAGACATTACCTGAATTTGACATTGTATTCAATCTCAGAATCATCAACTCTAATAAAGTATTGCCCTCTTCTCTGATAAATGTCCTTCTTCAAGATTGCTTTCAAGCCTGGAGAGAGGGTTTCAGGAAGATTCTGAAAAAAAAAAAGGACATAAATGAGAAGCATCACCTTAAGTAAATCAATTTCCACATCAAAAGCTCATTACATGTCTGGACCCCAGTGGAAGACAGTGCTCTTAGTGAAGTGAAAGCTCCTGGCACACGTGTGTGCGTGTATGGCTGTGTGTGCATTAACATAAATAAACAAGTTATTATACATGTGTGTAACTTTTTGTCTGTAAAGCTATCTGTCACCTGCAGTGGTTGTACTTTACCCTCAGTGCACAGGAGGTATCAGCACATGGGGACAGGGAGTTAGGCCTGTACCTGCAGGAGGATACTCATGCCTGTTTTCACAGCACTCTCGATCTTTTTGGGGTAGTTGCTGTCCTCGATGGACAGCTCATGCAGCCTGGGGCCTTCCATCTGGCGGATCCACTTGTAGGCCTGTTTGTGCGGGTCGATCAGCAGGGGCCACTGCTGGCCGTGCTTCATCAGGATGGCATTCTCTGTTGAGTGCTGGCCAAGCGGCAGCCCCTGGCTGTGCCACTGGCGAATCTGGAAAGAAACGTAAGTATTCTTACTGTTTCATGAACTTCCGCCATTTAGTATCCTACAGGTGATCTGACATGATTGTTGCCTTTAGAAAATCATCTTTTTTAAAAAATGTTTTTACCAGGAGGGGTTTGTTGTGACATTTCCATATACGTGTACAATATACTGTGGTTTGGTTCATCCCCTCCATTGTTCTCCTTTTCCCCCCCTCCACCATCTTAAAATTACATTGATGATTTCAGTGTTCCATATTCGTACATGTGTAGAAAATACATGGACCATGTTCTCCCTCCTTTACCCTCTCCTTCCCACTGGTGCCCTCCTCTTTGCATGACCTGTTTTACATTCCTGTCCTTCATTGCATTTCTGTTCATTGTTCAATGGGGTTTTACCCTGTGTTTTATCTGTAAATGTATTGTACTTTAATCAGTTTACCCCCTTTATTACTTTTCCCTACCCTTCCCCCACCCTGTAATGTTCAATAGTCTCAGTGCATTTCGTTGTGTCTTGTTCCTACCCAGATGCAGCGTGTCTCTATCACTCTTTTCTTTCCTTCCTCCCCAGTCTCCGCTAATAGTCTTGCTTAAAAAAAAATCTTTAAGAGGACTAAGGAACAATTTCAAAGCAACTTGGATTATACCCTATTGGCCAGGTGCGGTTGCTCAGGCCTGTTGTAATCTCAATTACTTTAGGAATGCCGAGATCAGGAGGATCAAGGTTCAAGGTTTGAGGCCAACCCAGGCAAAAAGTTAGTGAAACCTCATCTCATCCAAAAAACTGGGCATGGTGGTTCACGCCTGTCACCTAGCTACAAAGGAGGCACTGATAGGAGGATTGTAGATTGAGGCTGGCCCTAGCTGTCAGCATGCATTCCTATTTGAAAAATAAAGCAAAAGAGGACTCGGGGGTATGGCTGAAGTGGCAAAGCGACTTCCTGGTAAGTGCAAAGCCCTGAGTTTGAGTCTCAGTACGACAAAAAATCCAAACTTGGATATGAAACTTTTGTTATGGTAAGTAATTATTCATAGTTATACTTTTCTGTTCAGCAGCAGGACAGTGCAGTGCCCATCACAGCAAAGATGGTGGACAAAAAAGAAAGAAGAGAGGACCTGTTTTCAGGGCTCTTAGCACTGCTGCAGACAAGGAAACACGTACCACACAGAATCACACAGTTATGGTCAGAGCTGTGCTGTCTCACACTAGCACCTGCTCAGCACATGTGTGTGTCAGCTGGTTAAATGCCTATACACCCTGGGTCCTCAGCTGGGAAATGAGGCTGAGAGGCAGGCTCTGGCTGTGGCTGCATTGTCAACTGAGGAGGCGAGGGAGACTCCAGCTCTGGGAAGCTTTCTCCCCAGGTGGCCCCCTTTCCCTGTTACTCCTATTGGTGAAGGTGTCAGTGTGGTGGGAGAAAAAAGCCAAAGAAGCACGGGAGTGTGGTGGTGTGAGTGAGAGAAGGAGCAGGGTACCAGGGAGCTTCCGGTGGCAGGAGCAGGGACCCAAGGGAGAAGCCAGAACACTTTTCAGCTCTGGAATGGAGAGGAAAAGGCTTTTGTTTATGCTATGAAGAATTGCATGCTGTTGAGTTCTACCAAAAAGGAAACAGGGGCAATGTTGAGGAACCCTAAAAGGTGCAGGCATCCCTGTTGGTAGGCAGGCACTCTACCACTCGAGGCGCACCCCCAGCCACATTTAACTGGAATAATCTATTTACAGCTAATGTAATTAGTTTGGGTTTAAATTAGTTATTAGAATTACACAAAAAAATAGAAGCCAAAAAGAAAGAAAAAAAGAAAGAAAAGAAAAAGAAGAGGGCTGGTGCAGTGGCTCAAATGGTAAGAGTGCCTACCTAGCAAACATGAGGCCCTGAGTTCAAGCCCCAGTCCTGCCTCCCCCCCCAAAAAAAATATGAAGCCAATATATGCTTCTGAGATTTCAGAGGTTGGATGGTCCACTGAAGTAAAGTTATCAGTGAGAAAACAAATGTAAAATTACTAAGGGTTTTTAAAAAGTTGGCTTACTTCTTTTTTCTCTTCTGAACATCAGCACAGGATTTACATAAATAGATGAGAGATTATCTCTGATAGGCTCATACATGTAGGTCTGTATTTTTGACTATGGTTGCAAATGCCCCCTCAGTTCAGTTAGTGCCTCTGTACTAATGTTACTCAGGCAAGGAGTTTGGGGAGAGAAGTTGACTGTATTCACAAGTAGGGTTACAAAGGGAAAAATAATACTGTGTGAAGTTTTCTCAGAGGATGAGACAACTAATTGAGGCATTAGAGGTATAAGTCAAAAAAGAACGAATTAAAGCCCAAAGCAAACTTCAATATTTTCATTTATCAAAATAATTTAGAGAGGCCAGGTGCCTGTGGTTTACAACTGTAACCCTAGCTTCTTGAGGGGTGGAGATTGGGAAGGTTGTGGTTTGAGACCAGCCTGAACAAGTAGTTTGGGAGACCCCATCTCAACCACAGCTAGGCACAGTGATGCATGTCACCCCAAGCTATGCTGAGATTGTGAGGATCATGGTTCCAGGCCAGTGAGACCCCAACTCAATGCTGAAGAGCTGGGTTGGTGGCCTGCGCCTGTCATCCCAGGACGGTGGGAAGCTTAAAATAGAGAATCACTATCCAGGCTGGCGTGGGTAAAAAGCATGACCTTACCTCCAGACAAACCAGAGCAAAAGGGTTGGATGAATGGCTCAAGCGGTGGCCTGCCTGCCTAACCCTGAGTTCAAACCCCCGTCCCACCAAAAGAAAAAAATCCAAGACAAATACCATCTTACCAACCCAATCGACAGTAACTGTCACTTTACTGGGCATCAGGAATATGTAACTACCTCATTTTTCTCTGCCATCACTTCTATCAAGGAAAATCTGGAAGATAAGGAGATTTTGTTTTCCATGCACAGACTCTCCCACTTGGTCACCATCAGCTGGCGGAATTCTGGCGTCAGCACCCCACTGTAGACGATGCAGGCCGCTGAGAGAAGGATATCCCCCAAGACCCCTTCCAGCTTGCTGTCGATTTGGTTGATTGTTTCTTGCCATCTTGTCTAAATGGCAAAATAAAGATGAGTTATTTGATCTTATGAGACATTTGTAAAACTAGTGGCCTCCAAGTTGGATCTATTGTTGCTGTCACTATCAGTGTCCTGAGCTGTGGTTGGTGTACAGTTAATAATGGAACTTTAGGAACAAAATGCTTCCTCACAGGATTACTTAGGATCACCAATTCAAATCGTTTGTGTAATGAAGCAAGGTAGTTTAAAAACATCCATTCAAGCCAGGTGGAATCACAAGCCTGTGATTCTAGCACTCAGGAGGCTGGGGCATGAGGACTGAGAGTTTGTGGCCAGCCTGGGAGACCCTGTCTCCAAAAACAAAGACAAAACCTACCCCCCTCCCCGACCCCATTCATTATATTATTAATTAATGGTGTCACCACTACTTGCTGAATCTTTACTCATCTGTCTGGCACTTTACTTTGAAAATCTTCCTCCTTAGCAGACACCCTGACTTCATGCTGAAGTGTGGGGAAGATGGGCACAGCTGGGGTCTGGACTCCTGTCCTTTGGCTGCTCAGCTCCTCTTCAATCCCACATGTGCTTGCTTGGTCACTGAGAGAGCATGGCAGGCAAGAACCCTCTCTCTTTCTCTCTAATTCTCTCTCTCTCTCTCTCTAATACTCTCTCTCTCCCTGTGTGTTGCGCTGATGCCCCACTGCCTTTCTGTACCCGTGTGCCTTCAGGGACAAAAGTCCACTGTTGAAGTTGGTATGATTCATATAATACAGCTTCTCCCTGACCTGGAAGAATCTTCCATGATATGTACTTATTTAGATAATTAAATAATCTTGAGAATGTTGTGACATGCTTTGAGATGGATGATGGATAATTAAACCAAGATTTCTATCCAGTTTACTTGGAGTCAGATATAGAGAAAGCACAGGAATTAGAGGAGGAATTAAAAACAAAACTTTCATTTTCCATCTGGATGGCGGCTCCTCTCTTTTGGCCTCACCCATGCTTCATGCATTCAGCCTGACTTGTTCCAGGGCTGGGGAAGGAAAACTCACGATGTGTTCATCAAAGTTTCCTTTGAGCCTCATCAGACAAAAATGTGCTGATGTCTTAGGGGCAAGGGAAAAGAGCCTCAGCTCTTCTGTGTTAAGGCAGTCAGGGTTCCTTGATTTCATCTGAGTAAGGCTCTCTCTAGATACCAGGGAGAAATTGGATAGTGACATAGTTTTAGGAAGCATTTGAGATAACATCTTGGGGTGAAGTTAACACAGGAGGTGTCAAAGAGCACATGCCTTCTCTGTTCCCAGGACACTCAGCAGGACGGACGCGCACTGCAGGCGCCTGGTAGCCACTTTTCTCCGGTTTGCTAACTGTTGCTTCTCAGCTATGGTATCTTTGTAGGCGGTCTGCAAAAACAGCAGATGCTCTTCAACCTGAAAGACAATGACAAGAGAATCTTACTCTCGTTGTGCTTCAAGGGTTTATCTGTCACGTCTTAGGAAAGTGTGCCAGTAATTTGCTGTCACATCCTGGAGAACCTTCCTGCATCCAGGAAGGAAGGTTCCTCACCATTTGAAGTACTGAAGTGTGTGATTTATCCCAAATACCATCTTCCTTCCTCAAAAGCCATCCTGACATTTCAAGACTCCCCATTATCTGATTTTTTTTCACAAAGAAGTTTTTTTTTTTTTTTTTGTGGTACTGGGGTTTGAACTCAGGGCCTTGTGCTTGCTAAGAAGGCACTCTGCTACTTGAGCCACGCACCCAGACCCACAAAGACAATTTTATGTCACATCTAGGTTCTTCTCTAAGAACATGGATGAATTTTTTTCACACCAAATGCACTGAGCACTCAGGCCAGAGAAATGAGCTTTTGAAGTTAGGATGAGAGGTGGAGCAGCTGCTCAAATACTGCACGGTGTTTGTAGAAAACACGCCTTCATGAAGAGCTAATGAAGTAATTTTCTTAACTTACTATTCGTCTCAATAGCACCCTTGCTCAAAGGAATTCGGCAAATTCTTATGACTAAGGATGAAGCCTGAAGTTCTGGCCCTTTCACATACAACGTTCCATCCCAATTTCACCTCCTTTGTTATTCCTTCTCAATTATATAACAAGCTCCACATCTTTCAGGCATTCCTGGAGTCTCCTTGTCACTGGGGTTGGGCAAACGCTAGGCATTGCTCAAACCCTGCTCAGTGCCCAGCCTTGTCAAATCTACAGTCATGTACTGCTTATAACAGTTGTAGTGGCAATTACCAATTGTCTGATACTATCTCTGGAGTGGTGGTCTTAGAGTCTTACTAACCCTTACACTGCTATTTATATTTTTGAAAGATCTTATGTCTTCTCAAAATCTTTGAAAACAGGTCCAGTTTGGATCTGAAATGCCCCCCAAAGACCCATGTATTGAAGGCTTGCTCCCTAGTCTGTGACACTGTTGGGAGGTGGTAGAACCTTTAGGAGATGGGGTCTCGTGGAAGGAAGTAAGATCATTGGGTGCCCTTGGAACCCTGACCCCTTTCTTGCTCTCTCTTTGCTTTCTGGCCACCATGAGTTGAACAAGCTTCCTCTGCTATGTGCTCCCTCCGTGATGCACTGTACTCACCAAAGCAACAAGGCCAAGTGACCATAGACTGAAACCATGGAGACCCTGAGCCAAAATTAACTTTTTTGCTTATTAATTTGATTATATCAGGTATGTTGTTACAGTAACAGCTGACGAACACACTGGGGTTAGCATGGAGACTTATACATACCCCCCCCCAACTTTGGCATGCCTTCTGCAATGATTCAGACTCACTCTGACTTGCTCATGCTCATGAGCCAGTTGTCTGTGCATTCACATAGTGTGTGTGTGCGTGCACGTGTGTGCGTGTGCATATGTGCGTGTGTATGTGTGCGCACGCGTGTGCATGTGTGCGTGTTAGTGTGCGTGTGTACGTGTGTGTGTGCATGTGTGTGCGTATACGTGTTGCTCAGCCCCTCGTTTGGAGTGCAGAGGAAACTCCTCCCATGGTACAACTTCATACGGCATTAAAGCTAGCACCTATCCGGCACAGACACCTGAGCTGTCTATATTTGCTAGGCTCTGTGACTTGTGCCATGACTCCAGCCCCTTTTGCTTTTAGTTAGGGCTTCATGCTTTTTTGCCCAGGCCAGCATTGGACCAGGATCTTCCTACCTACACTTCCCAAGAGGCTGGGATTACAGATGTGCACCAATAAATCTGATCTGTTCTTTAAGATCTTGCTAACGTTTTTTGTCTGTGCTGGCCTTGATCCATGATCCTCCAATCTTCACCTCCCAAGCTGGGATTACAGATGTGAGCCACTGCACCCAGCTCCAGGAACTATTTCTTTTTCCCAAGTTCCCTAAATTTTTCAGAAATATATTTTACATTGGGGCCAAGATGGACAAAATGCCTGTTTTTAAAATGGAAGAAAATACACAGAAGAGTGAGGAGAGTATTCCCACAAATGTCACATACCAATGGAGTGCCTGCTGCTCAGATGGCAGGAGTGACCTTTGCACTTGGGGAATGAGTGGGCTCTTTGCTCAGGGCTTGGCCCACTATGCAACTGGCAGAATCCGGTGCCTGCTGCATTTCGGTGGGGTCAGACTGTCCGGGCACTGACATTTGCCACCACTGACAAGTCCACACCTCATTCGTTAAGTGGGGGGTCACCATAACACTCATCTCAGAGTTGGTGTTAGGACTGAATTGACTAATAATAGGTAAAAATGCATGGCATAGTGCATGGCCATGCCAGGTGTTCATGAAGTCTGCAGTCACTGTGGTAGCTGTTGCTCTTCTGTTGTAAAAGACAGTGGCGGGGCTTTGTCTGCACCAGACGCTGCACACGTGGCCACATCTGTGAGCAGTTCTCCTTTCTGAGCCTGAGATGCCTGTTTCTATTTGGTGATAACTTTTTCTGTCAAGCCATTCATTTTCTGTTTGAACATATTATAAATTATGAGACTATATCTGATATATACATACTTGTAAATATTTTCCCCACCTTGATCTTTGTCTTTATTTTGTGCTTGGAGGTTTTTGTTAAATTTATTTATTACATTCATAGCATTATTTTGAAAATTTCCAAAAAGAATCTGCTGGCATTTTAATTGTAATTACACCAAGTTCATGAACTAATTTAGGGAAACTGACAACTTTAGAATATTGTTTTGACAACTTTAGAATATTGTTTTGACAACTTTAGAATATTTATTGTATTGAAGAACATCTTTTATTAAGTACAACTTTATAGTTTGTTTTGCACTAATACTGTATATTTAAAAAAATTTATTCCTAGATAGTTTATATTCTTGGTTTCTATAATAAATGAAATATTTTCTTCCAGTGTGTTTCTTAATTGGTGTCTGTTTGTGAATAGGAAAACTACTGGGTATTGAATATTAATTTTTTTTTTTTTTTTGCAGTACTGGGCTTGAACTCAGGGTCTTCATCTTGAGCCACTCCACCAGCTCTATTTTTGTGAAGGGTTTTTCCGAGATAGGGTCTTGTAGAACTATTTGCTTGTGCTGGCTTCAAACCGTGATCCTTGTGATATCTGCCTCCTGAGAAGCTAGGATTATAGGTGTGAGCCAATGGTGCCCAGCTTGAATATTAATTTTGAAAGTGTACATTTTAGCAAAATCTTACTGCTTACAAAAATGCTTAAAATCTCTTGAGTTTTCCAGGTATGTAACAATTGCAATAGCCTGAATGTTTGTGCTTTCCCCAAATCCCTATGTTGAAATTGTAACCCCGAATGCAATGATAGCATTAGGAGGTCAGGAGGGCAGAGCTTCTTGATTGGCATTGGTGCCCTCGGACCAGAGGTGCAAGACAGCCTCTCATCCTTTCTGCCACATGAAAACCTGTGAGCAGGAAGCAGGCCCTCATCAGATATGGAATCTCCTGCACTTCGACCTTGGCCTTCCTAGTCTCCAGAAGGATGAGAAATAAATACCTGCTACTAATAGGCCACCTGCTTTATGGTGTTTTTATTACAGTGGCCCAAACAGACAAGATCAAAGTATTTCCTCTTCAAATTTTTGTAAGAGTTTGAGAGAGCCTGGTGTTAGTCCTTTAAATGTTTAGTAAAAGTGTTTGGTAAAGCCATCTGACCCATGATGTCTTTGCTGGGGAGCTTCTGATTACTGATCCAATCTCTTGTTTATGACTGTCAAGATTTTCTTCTGGATTCACTTTAGATAATGTGGGTGTTTCAAGGAATCTGTCCATTTTTCCTGGTTTATCTGATTTTTTTGATGTATAATTGTTCACAGTACTCTTTCAATAATACTCTCTTACAAGGTTAGTGATATCCCCACTCTCACTTCTGGTTTTAGTTATTTGTATCCTTCTTCTCCCTCTCTCTCCTTTCCTCTCCCTCTCTGTCTCTCTTTGTCTAAAATAGAGGTTTGTTATTTTTGATATTGAGAAAAACTCAACTTTTGGTTTCACTGATTTTCTTTATTGTTTTTCTGTTCTACTTTATCTCTGTTCTAGTCTTTATTTCTTTTCTTATAGTTGCTTTTTTTCCAGTTCCTTAAGGTTTCAGGTTATTGACTTGAGCTCTTTCCTTTTTTAATATAGGTATCTGCCACTGTAAGTTTCTCTGTGACCACTTCCTTTGCTGTGTCCTGTAAGTTTTAGTGCGTTATGTTTCCATTTTCATTCGTTTCTATGTATTTTCTAATTTCTCTTCTGATTTTTAACACGACATACTGATTAAGATGCATTATTTAACTTCTATATACTTGTGAGTTTTCCATTTTCCTCTGTTGCTGATTTCAGTCTCCAGCCTACGTGGTCAGGCAGATACTGTATGCGATAGCCACCTTTTAAAGACTACTGAGACTCATTTTGTAGCCTCACATGTGGTCTGTTCTGGAGACTTCTTAGGAGCACCTAGAAGAGAAAGTGCTCTGCTGCTATGGGTGGAGCATTCTGCGTATGTCTCTTACACCTACTGATTCCTTGTGTTAAGTAAGAATGCTAGTTACTGCTGCAGGCTGGGGACATCTCCACCCCGCACAGCTACCTAGGCCCCAAGCCTTAAGTGGCTCACAGCTAGTGTCCATTCTGACATGTTTATAAATCTCCCACAGCATCCTGGATACAAGAATTTTAAGTGCCATAGTTAAACACAGGGCTCCGAGCCGGAGAGACCTGCATTACAGTGTGGACGCCATCACTTTAGTGGCTTGAGATCATGAACAGATTTGCTAAATCTTTCAAGTTCACTTTTCTCATTTGTAAAAATCTACTTGTAAGTATTGTTTTGAGGATTAAATGAGAAAAATGCACATAAAGCACTAGCACAGTGCTTGGCATAGGAACACGGTAAACATTCAATGTTACCAGCATCTTTCAGGATAAAACTACATAGGTCATAAGCTATGATAAAATGTCATCATAAGATTCAGCCCAGTATGTTTATGCCAGTGTGGTTTCTGTGTCTGAGTTCGAGAAACGCCGTGGGCCAGCAGGCAACACGTGCTTGAGGCGGGTGGGGGGTGACTGTAGCCAAGTAGGAACCGTTTGGGCCCGGTTGCCAGACTTTCTGACTTGTCAAGAGAAGATGGAGATTTGGATTTCAAAACAAAACACAAGAGTTTGAAATGCTGGTAATTACATCAAAACGTGTGTGTGTGTGTGTGTGTGTGTGTGTGTGTGTGTGTGTGCATGCGTGCAGGGGACTGTCCAGGTCACAAGATGTCAGTGGGCCTGGTTTGCCTGCCTTGTATCATTTATACACTCTCAGAATCATGTGAGACAAGTAGACAGCACTGACTGTCTTGGTTCTAGTTCTAGTGCTCATAATGGAAACTAACACTTAAGAAACTGCCATACTTTTACAAAGTGACAAAGTGATTGATATAAACAGGTAAAAGGCAGAATTTTAAGAATACAGGTTGATTTGGTTAAGTCTTTCATACATTGAAGTTATAAAGATCTCTTGGGAGAAATTTGATGAAATGGAAAATTAAAATATTGAGACAATAATTAACATTATTTTATTATGTAGCAAATACTAAGAACTTTGTACATGATACCGATACTATTTATCTCTTCATTTTAACTTTGACTAGTAAACTCTACTTAGATGGCTTTTGGGGGGCAGTGCTGGGATGGAACCCAGGACCTCTGTGTATTTTAGGTAAGTGATCCACAGCTCAGCGACGCCCTTACCCCTGAGGCAATGACTCTTTCTTGATATTTTTGTATAGTACATAAAAGTATTGAGAATTTAACAAGTTAAAAAAAATTCTTACCATCTGTACGCCTCTTTGTTTTTCAGCCAATCTTTGCTTTGCAATTTTAAGGACATTTTGAGCTTCGGCTACTTGGACTTGTTTAGGGCCCACCAACTTAAAGAGAAAGACAGGGCATTCAAGTGTTAAAAAGTCAGATTTCTGTTAGAATGTCTCTTATGTTTGAGAGTCATTTATGAGGGTCAAGCATTAAAGTAAACTCTCCTGGTATTTTGTATGTGTACAGGAATATAAGGTAGCTTATTATGGTTAAAATATTAGAAGAAATGAAAAAACATAGCATAGTTGTCACAGAAGGTTGTAATAGGAAGAGCTGACATCTGTGTGAGCTAGCACAATTATTTGATTCAAGTGTCTTTCACTATGTCTTTCCACAGAAGCTCCCTTCAACATTATCAAATAAAAATTTCTTCTAGGACTTTGATGTATCCCTTCCAACTCATAGAGATTTAGGGGGGCCTACCTTCTGCACATCGTGATAGTTGTTCAAAGCTATAACCCACTGGCACATTGAGCAACAAGCAACAGAGACCAGAGCAACTTTGTTTGGGTTGAAATCAGGCAAGTTTAAAATTCTTTTCAGCTTCAGAAAAACCTAGAGAGAATTAGTGTTCTATGAGAAAAATATTGATCTGAAGTTTTCTTTAACACACATTAGAATGAAGTTTTATTTCAAGACTCAATTACTTTTTTTTGGTGGTACTAGGGTTTTAACTCAGGGCCTCATGCTTGCTAGACAGGCACTCCACCAGCCCTTCAATTAATTTTTAATAGCCAAATTAAAGATACTTGCATCTGGGGTGCAAGATGACCCCAGACCAGGATGCGGAAAAGCCTCTGCTACTATGATCATTGAGGCAGCTTTGCTATAGTGTCCACAGAGGAACTCTAGCTTGGGAAAGCCTGGCTGTAGCTTAAGGCGGTCCCAAGCGCCGTGGAGCATCTCATGGCCCCCAGCACCCCGAGTGGCATATTAGCAGGCACAGTCCATATTCAGTCATCTGCCTACTTAGCATGGTGGTGTGGCCTGGAACACACGGGGGTTCCCTGAGGACAATCACATGTCCAGAGATCTACCTCAGCTGAATGTACTACCGAATTTGAGTTAGATATACAGAATTTCCCATCTATTTTTGGGAGCCACAATTAGATTGAAGTCTTTCTCAGACAGAGACTCCATTTCCCCTTTCCATCCAGGCCTCTCCTCTCTTGCCTGAAAGAACAGAACCAATTAAGAATAACTTAGATGGTCTACTCTCACCTTACTGGTGTGCTCTTACTATCATTTAAAATACTGCTTTTAATTGACTCTTTAGTTTAGTTATTAGTTACTTTTAGCTTGAAAGATCTGTTCAAACAAAACAGGGAATAATATTTGCTAAGTGTTCTTCAGAGACAGTCATTGTTGCATTAATTCATGAATAATATGGATATCAACTCCAGCATTCTGCTACAGAGTTGGCCTTGTTCATATACAACCCTGGCTTTGCACAGATCATCATGGTCTAATGAGTTGTTCAATGTCTTCCCTGTTATAAGGCATGTGTTGGCCTTATAAACCACTCTCACAAGGACGCATTGTAATCACATACTTATTAAGTGAGTTAATGAGTACTCACCCCTTCATTCTAGGACAGTGCCATTCATATGTCTACAAACCCACGACCCTGCCTCTGAGCTCAGTTCTCAACTCAGCTCCTATATAATATCCCAGTTTGGATATTCTCCTAGCCCTGCTCATCCAATTCCATATTTTTAGGTGTTTGTCACAGCAGTAACCACTTCCTAGTACCAAAGTGTGTACAGTGTCCTGTGAGTGGCTGTAACAAATTACTACAAACTGGGAGACGTCAAACAACAGCAGTTTATTCTCTCAGAATTTGGGAAACAGAATCCTAAAATGGAGGTGTAGCTAGGGCTGTGTTCCCCCTTTCCTTGTGGGGGCTCTAGTGGCTCCAGGCATCACTTGACTGTGTCTAGATCTGAGGCATTTGGCCTTTTTTTAGTGGGCTGGTTCAGGCCTTTGTAACAGGACTCACCTGTGTGTCCTGCTTCACTTGACTGAGGTCTGAAAATTGGCAATTTGTCCAGAATTTTAGACTTGTTCCTTATTCCTTGAGGCTCTATAGCAAATCTATATTCTTCTGAATTAAGTCTGCTCCAGCAGAGCCCTGCATTACTTTCCAGGGTACTTTATCTTCTTTAATGTTTTTTCTGTGCCTTGATCTTTCCCCCATCTGCTCCCACATGAGTCAATATTTATAAAGAACTCAGAACAATGTCTGACCCATGCTGTTACATGTACATTTATTACACAAATAAAAGTAAATTTCAGACATCTTTATGCATTCATCGTGTGTTCACAGTGTGCTGCAAGTCACCCAAGAGTTTCTCAACTGCTGTCCTCTCACTGTGTTAGTCCCCATAATTTTAAAAGACTCAGACATGCTGCTTTTTCTGGACACATACCTCCAAGAAACCTGCTAAGTTTGAATATGCAGCTTGCTCTCTGATCTTTTAGCTATTCCCATTGTCTTCCCCTTCGAATCTATTTCTTCCTGTTATTTTTAATTCCAATTCTAGTGTGGTGTTTGACTCCATGGATCATAATATGTACGTATCTCTGCACACCAACTGGGGATCAATGCTCACCTTATCGGGGATGCTGTCCTTGTCAAGGTTGATCAACTTCTTTAGGAAACCAGTCTCTGAAAGCAGCAGCTTTGCAGTGGCCCAGTTAGGCTTCTTTTGCAGCAGGATACACACTGCATTCATGACGGTCAGTATGAGGAAGGGTGGCCGTGTGTACACTCTGGGACAGACATGAAAATCTAGTCAGTGTCATGGTGGAAGGTACATGCATTGTGAACCACTCTAGAACACAACACACACAGACAACACTTTCATGAGGAGATCTATTTGTCAAACATGGACAGCTTTTTAAAATTTGTGTCTTTAACATGTGGTCATGGCTGCTTTAGGAAACAAAATGCACAAAATCTAAATATGTAGAATATCTGAGTGGCAGGCTAACTCATTATTTTAGAGTAGGAGCCCTACTTCATTCTAGCTGACTCACTGTCGACTACCTGCGTGTGTGTGTGTGCGCGTGTGTGCGCGTGTGTGCGTGTCCAATCTTCAGATGGTTCCTCCTCAGATAATCTTTCCTGAGAAGGTCCAGTCCTCAGAGTATTTCCTCCTCAGGTGACCCCTCCTCAGATGGTCCCTTCACAGAAAAACCCTCCTCACATGGTCCTCTCCCAGATGTCTTCAGTGGTCAGATGGCCCCTCCTCATATGGTTCCTCCCTAGAAGGCTACCTCCTCACACTATCCCTCCTTAGAGGGTCCCTTCCTCAGACAGTCCCTCACCAGAAGCCCCTCCTTCACGTGGTCCCTCCCAGAAGTTCATCTCCTAACAAGGTCCTTCCTCATCAGACAGCCCATCATGAGATAGTCCCTCCTCACGCAGTCCTGCCCCAGAAGGCCACCTCCTCATGCTGTCCCCCTCAGATGGTCCCTGTGGAGAGGCCCTGCTGAGGTGAGCAGGGTGTGACCTCTGACCTCTGACCCCGGAGGAGGCTGGGGTCAAGGGTGCTCCACTGACTCGTGTGAGGGAGGCAGGGGGACACAGCCCCAAGGTCCTCCTTGCCTTTCAACTTTGGGTGGACTAATGTCCACTCATTATTGTTAACACATCCATATAAGAAATACATAAAACATGAATGCATTGATGAGCAACCCTGCTGCTCTCTGTCCTTATTCTAGGTATTAGTGATGTGTCATGAATATGACAGTAGGTTTGCTCCCGTTTCCACTTGTACAGAAATAGCTCTTTCTAAGAACAATGAAAGACAGCACACTCCAAGGTACAATCTGGTTCTCAGTTGAGCCAGAGCTACAAGGTCAGTGTGTACACAGTCCTCAGAGGACCGGCAAGCCTCAGCGCTGCCCTGTGTGGTACTCCAGCTGTTGGTCTGGTGTTGGTGGAGGGCAGCTCAGGCCCACTGTGCTCCATCAGGTATAAGGCAAGTTTTACGTGTAGGTTCCAGAGGCCTGGTCAGTTCATGACAAGTGGCACATCATAGTTTATCAACCGTATCTGAAGAAAAGTTCAACTGACAACATCACAAAACGTAAACCACACGTAATGAAACATGCAGAGTAACCAAGTGGGTAAAATGGGGTACAGAGGTGGTGACTCTCCGCGTGCATTGTGGGAGCATTACTTACCTTAATTCGGACACATCGGCCTTATCCAGGGCGTTTAGAGCTACGATGGCCTTTTCTAGAGCTGGCAGCACATTTCTCAGCTCACTGGCAGCTTTCTGTAACAGAAGCATAAGCCCGCCCCGCCCACACAGGGATCAGCTCAGCCGCCCATTTAAGACCTTTATATGTTGGTGTTTTCACCATGCACGCACACCCGTGCGACTGTGTGTGTGCACACGTGATACCTGCCCCTGCCGCAAAGCGAGCTCGCCGGTAGCTTCTGCTTCTCTTTCAGGCTAGTGTAGAACTTGTGCCCTTGAGGAGGGGCCCAGTTACAGGGGCTTACCATGACCCCATGAAGCTCATGTACCCACAATGTTTGCGGGGTTACATGTTTTCATAAAACTTGTAAAAGTATGCTTTTTTTAGCACAGTCAGTCAGCACCAATCTCTCTCTACATGCAATCTCTCTTTTGTCAGGTTTCCTACCAGGGCAGGAGGTGCTGGAGTGTCTGTGGAGCTGAGGTAGGATTTACAGTCCTACTGTCCACCTCACTTCACCGCATAACGAAGCAGTTCTGGTTGCTCTGGTCCACAGTTCCGACTCTGCTGGCCATGTGCTGGGAAGGCAGAGTCACATCACCTGGCTGTGTGCACTTGTACCCAGTGCCACTGGGGGCCCATGGCAGTGAGGGAAGCAAGTTTGCAAGTGTGTGATCCAGAAGGCGGCCTGCGGAACCTCTCCGTACAACTGTACACAGAGAATTGATTTTCATCTAAATCTACCACACATGGGGGTCGTGTAAAGTAGAATTCGTAAGAAAGTCTAGGTTTTTAAGTAACAATTACTGCATTTGGAAAAATGTCTTGGAATGTTTCAATGAAGTGAAAAATTACAAGTTCCTTATATAGAACTGCAAAAAGCATCTTTTACTGCAAAATTTCAAATTTTATTTACAGATACATGATTAAGACAAAAATCTGTGGAGAATGAAGTAAAAGTGATTGGCTGATAAATCACTAGTGATTATCCTGATATTGAGAAACAAATCATGAGAATTTCGTATCATACCAAAGTCTATAATTTATTAAGAGGAAAAGGTAAATATGGAATAGAAGTAATGAAGAGTCTCTGGTTTGTTTAATGATCCAATCAACGAAGAATAAATCACACGATCAATACCAGTAAATCATGTGGGTGTAATGCACACCTGTAATCCCAGCACATGGGAGGCTGAGACAGGAGGACCATAAGTTTGAGGCCAGCTTGAGCTACATAGGGAGTTTCAGGTCAGCCTAAGCTATATAGACCCTGTCTCAGGTTGGTGGAATGGCGAATGGCTCAAGTGGAAGAGTGACTGACTAGTAAGTGTGAGGCCCTGAGTTCAAACCCCAGTATCTAAAAAAACGACAAAAAAGGAGAGACCTTGTCTCAAAAAACCAAGGGCTGGGGTGGACTGGATCTCAGTGGTAGAGCACTTGCCTAGCAAATGCAATACCCTGAGTTTGGTCTCCAACAACATGAAAAAAAAATCACATGATCGTGTTGGGAACATTTTTCATTTTTTGCTAAGTTTGCAATTAACAAAAACAACATAAATATCAGAATACATGTCTGTAATGAGGATATTGATAGAAATCGGCTAATGAATATAGTCAACTTGAATGGTATTTAAAATTAATCACTATGCAAGAAACCTTGAAATGCCATTGCTGCTCATCTAAGTTGGATAATTTAAAGAATGTGCAATGACGTTGTCAGTAATGAGTTATGAAGTTGAAAGAAAAATGGGAAGGTAGCTTGAAAAGATTTCTGCGAGGAAACTGGGCTGGAAGTAAATGTGGAAGGTCAGGAGAATAATTACAAGGCAGACATGGTGTGGACTTTTCTTCAGTCATGTCCCAAAGTAAAAACACCGAGCTGAGCTCATCAGACCCAACAACAGCAGACAGAAATTACCAGACTCGTGATCGGAAATAGGTTTTCACATTCACGAGGGCTCACGATAAGCCTTGCCCTAGGTACTTACTGTGTGCTTTGGGATATTAGCCAGTAATTACATATCATACATATAACTTGTGATTACACGCATATGGGGGACGTATACACATATGTGCACATGGGTGGGTATTTGTACACACACATGTACATGCATGTTCCAGAGGGGAACGGCCAGCGTAAGAAGTAAACACAAGTGACACACACCAGTTGGCCCTCAGAGTTAGCTGGCTCCTTGTGCACGCTTCTCTTGGAGACCAAGTACATCGCTGACATGGTCTGGGCCCCCTACGACTGTAGATGTCTTAGGCGGGGGGCCTGGCATCTTTGTACTTCCTACTTCTAAGAGTGCCTTGTGCCCCATGGGATCAACAAACATGCGTTGGGATAGACAGTATCCACAGTTGGGCACTATACATTATGCACAGTCTGCCCTACATTTGGAGGCTCGGACATCATTCTGCAAATCTCAAATGTTCTTATTCACACGATTTCACCTTTACCTGAGCATAGTCTTCCACGATTCTTACTTCTTCTGCCATAATTTCTTCATCCTGCTTAACAAGCATCTGAACTCTCTCGACTACTTGTGAATCTTTCTGCAGCTTTTCCATCAGGAGTTCTGTTTCCTAATGAAGCAAACAATTCTTCTTAGCATGAATTTTGAGCCAAATAGCTTGCAGACACTTCTGTTCACTACTATAAAATTTATCCAAACCAGCCTAAAATATGTTTGCTTAATAGACTAATTAGGATGTCTACAAGGCACCTGAAGAAAGATGCAACATGTATCTCAGTGTAGGGCATGTGCCTAGCATGGCATACTGACCCCCGGCTTTCATCCCCAGCACCACACACACACACACACACACGAAAGACAAGTTATGATTTTTAGAATACTTGGCAGACTGCAGGTTCCTGCAGCATACTGCAGATGGATTTAACTAGCTAGCGAGACTTTCTGTGTAAGCTTAAGCTTCTACAGTGAATTATATACCTAGAGTCTCATTTGGCTATTAGATGTAATTATACTACAGTTTTTCTGTCATCTCATTTTACAGAGAAGAAAATCTGGACTGAAGAGGTTAAGTGATTTCTTCAAGGTTGCACAGCTACATGGATGGTAGCAAAGCTAGAATCAGAAACCACCTCTGTCAGGTAACAGAGCCTGACTTTCCAACTTGGTTCTACAGCAGATTATAAAGCCTTCAAAAGAGATTTCAAACTGAACGTACCCTTGTTTTTTGCTCTATTTGAGGACCAAGAATCAAGAGCTCCTCCTGCATTTCTGTGACTAGTGTGGTTGCTTCCAGGATCTTGGACAGACCCATGTAGAAACGGTTCCTGCAGGAAAGGAAAGCACAAGCTGACTCACCAGTATCCCAAATGTGCAGGACCCAAAGTTTCAGACTTTGGGTTTTTTTCAAATTTTTGAATATTGTATAGACTCTTCTGAGTTGAGCATTCCTAATATGAAAACCTGAAATCCATAATGCTCCAAAATGTGAAGCCTCTTGAGTGTCACGTTGATGCTCAAACAAGGTTTGGATTTTGGATTAGGGATACTAATCATGCATTTAAGAATGTATAAGATAAAACAAAACATTAGCAGATATAATTGGATAGAAATTAAAAGAATTATACATCATGGTCAAATGAAGTTTATTCCACGGATTGGTGGAATAAGACTGGTTCAGTATTTGAAAGTTAATCAATTTAATTCACTATATTAGAAGGCCAAAGAAGAAAAATCACATGATCAAATTACTTGAAAATGCAGAAAAAGCATTTGATATGATTCCTGGTAAGAATTTTTATAAAACTAGAGTCAAGGGAAAATGTCTTTGAGGTGTTTAAAGAACAGGTCATCCTGCTCTATGGACTCTGATGAAAAATGGTAAAGGTCAGTGAACACTGGAGCTCAGCTCCCCATGGCGCACACATGTAAGACAGGCACACTGGGCTTTAAACTCCTCTCTCAAGTCTCATCTGCACAACTGTGCTGGCTGCACTTGGTAGATGTGGGCAGTTTTAGATATTGATGATAAGGGATCATGCACATGAAGTGATAGCCCTCAAAGAGATCCTGGTAGGAGATGTCCTAGGGCAGTTCCAGGAACAGAAAGAACTGTTGAGCTACCTGGACATGTATGATAAAAATGAGGAAGACTGGAAAAGGTTGAAGAGGGTGTGGAAGGGTCTGGTGACACCGACCGCATGGGTGTGACCGGACAGCAGCAACCCAGGGTGTAAGGAGGAACATCTCAGATCCCAGGAGTGAAGAAAGGCCTGCCAATCTTGACTCATCTGTAGGGCATCTGGCCAATTGACCCAGGCTGTTGCCATCACCTTCAATTTAACTGGTGAGAAGAGCTGCCAGTTGTAGGAGTGCACAGTCTTCACTTGAAGAGGAGAATGAGACCGACTACGAACTCTGATGTGACTCTTCAGCCTAAATGTATTCACAGATTATCTCAACTCCTCTAAATTCACTGATGTAGAGTCTGTCATGCCCACCTGACCTTGCTAACAAAAACTTAATAAAATTAGATGTTGACTCCATATTTGCCAAATGCTCCTACTAAGGCTACTACTACTTCCTATACAAACACCAGGCCTTTCCTTGTCTGTCATAGGCAAAGTAGTCTGAGCTTCTCAGCTGAGTGGTGAGGCTGTGTCACACTGCTTGCCCTTGCTGCTGGCCAGGTGGGGCAGAATGTGTCCAGGGCCAGCACTTCTCCATGTGTTGTATGTATGACATTTTTAATGGCCTCGGGTACTATCCTCCCAGTGGGAGTCATGTTCACGGCCGCTCTCATTCAACACTTCCTAAAACAAACAGAATGGATTCAGTCCAAGCCCTTATTCGAACAAGCTGGATGCACAATAGGTCTGGGATGGACTTATGGAGGATGGTTCTGCGACAGTTCCTGGGAAACCTTTCATGTCTCCATGTGGGTCATCAAGGCAAGGCTCAGCTGCACCTTACCTAAGTCTGGGCCCTAAGAGGTCCCCGGATCATCCCAGGATGAGCACATGGCATGTTTGTGACAGATGCAGCAAAACCCTGTCTTACTAGGAGGTGGTCACGAGGCAGCTTCTTCACGTTCTGATTAGTATGAGGGGTGGAATGCTTGCCTAGCATGCTTGAGGCCTTGGGCTTGATCCTCAGCACCATAAAACAGTCATGTAGGAATGCCTTGGGTACAGCAGCCAGCTGCACAAGGCTCAGCTGTGGTGTGGCACACGCTCCTCAGCAACAGGGGGTCTCCACTATCTGTGCAGCAGTCTCTTAATCCCTGTTCTTTTGGTGTCATCTCATTGGACAGGAGCGTGAGGAGGGCACCTCTAGCCAATATCTGTGTATGTAGACATTGTGCTTGCTTTTACTGCCTATGTAATAGTGTCTAAATCTAACAAGGGCTCGTTATTTACTGACCAAATCTGCCAGCCCTGACTTGATGGAGGCAGCCTCTGAATGCACACAGGAGAAATAGCCATCAAATCTCTTTAATCTTCTGCAGTGTTCTCCCCCACCCCCATGTGCCACCATGGAAAAGGTAGATTTGGGCTTATCATTTTGCATTTGTGTGTTTTTTTAGACTACTAGCTGGGCATGGTGGAGCACACCTATAATCCCAGCACTTGGGAGGTTGAGTGTTTGAGGCCAGCCTCGGCTATATAGATAGACCCTGTCTTAAAATAAAAACAGAAACAAAAATCAAACAAGAACCTCAATAAAAGGACCAATATAAAATGTGTGTTTCTATTTTGGTCTCAAAGTCTTACCTCTTCATTTTCATCTCCTCCTCTCGTGACCTCAAAATGTGTACAAATGTTTCCATGAATTGTAAGTAGTTGCTGGGAGTAACATAGCAATGCCTTCTAGTTTCTTGAAAGTATTTCATACTCAAGTCTTTCATACTTTCGTGGATTTGAACACATGTTGGGGCAAAATTTTCTTTTAAGCTCTAAAAAATAATTTTTTAAGAATTAAAAGACAGAAGTCTGAATATATGCTAAAAAAGAGAAGATGGACCACTGTGAAGAGCTTGAAATAGTTTATTGGTTCTGAGATACAGGTCCTGGATGAAGGGGACCATGGCCAAGGCAGGTTCAGTGACTGGGAGGTCCAGAGGGTAAAGGTGCACAGGATTTACCTGGTGTCTGCTGCATCCACCAGGGACTCGGGGCACCAGCATCAATGGCCAAGGCTATGGTGCTTTCTTTATCTCTCTGTTCCTTTTTAAAAGTGCTTATCAATAACAAGACACTTGAGAAAGTTTCCTTGAGTCAAATAAGGCTACAAAAACCCAAGGGCCCTGAGCAGAAAGAGTGCCTGTGGCTTGGACTGGGAGAGGATTCAGGTTTAAACATAATCAGTCCTGGTTACTTGTCTGCAGTCCACTAAGCTCAGCTGGTCACTTTTAACCTAGATGTACCTTCTTTCTGGTTCTACCCTGTATCTGCCCTAGTTGACCCTGCTTTTCTTGGACACCTGCTCTAAGGCCCACCTGCAGCCTTGGGCCTTGAGGCATCTTGTTAGCAAATTCCCCTTCTCTGTCAGCTGTGTCCTAGGGGACCTGCACTCTACCCACCCCGAGTCCGTTCCCTGAGTCATTTATGAGTCAGTCAACATAATCTGAGTTCATAAATTCTGAGCTCAGATTATGTTGTAGCTCATGTCTTCATTTCTTTCCAGCCTTGCTGTTGTAGTCAGGCCAGAGTAGTTTACCAGGCAGGATCCTCGCCAGAGAATTTGCTGTGTGGAATTTATTCCCTCACAGAAGCCTGTGGTTCCCATGGGGCAGAACAGCAAGGAGACCAGCCAGTGCAGAATCTGGGTACCTTTGAAGTAGGTTGGATTAGAGGGCAAAAGATGGGGAACTGGCAGGAGTCAAGACAAACAACTGGCCCATCTCATAACCTGTCTTTGCCTATTTGGGGTCCATTACTATCCACACACTACCGTTAGATGCTACTACTAAAGCCAGACCTCCACTGGAGCAGACATTTACCTCTCTGTTCTCTAGATTCACCTTCTCTCCTAAGTAGGAGTTGGCCACAACAAACAGAGCTTCTTCCGGCCACCGATGGTAGAAGTCAATTGTGCAGGAGCTAATCATGGAAGGATATGCTCTGCAGGTTTGGCGGAAGTCAGATCCTACCGGACTCATGATCATAAAAATGTGGAAACTTTTATATATTCTCTGAAAGTTAATGAAAATATAAGATTTAAAAAATGTAATCCACCTTTTTGAAAAAATTTTGTACTGCAAGTTCTATTTAAAGTCTGTTTCAACCCCTTCCTCAATGGGTAGTTTAGAGACTGACCAATCGTGCACTGAGTATCTGCCATCAACAGAGCCCTTGAGCCCTTGCAAGGGAAGCTGAGAGCTCCCAGGGCCCTTGAGAGGAAAGCAGTCACATCTGCTGCAGGTGACCCCACTCTGTTGGCTTGAGCTAGATGGACTTGGTGAGGGGGGCACAGGACCCAGAACCAGCTCTTATGAAGGGGTTTGGCACTGGATTTTTGTCCAGTGAGGATCTTATATCAGATGGTGATGGGTCTGAGGTGATGTGCCTTTCCAGACTCACAGAAACTCAGAGTGAGAAAATGGTCAGATGGATTCCAGCTGAAAGACACAGAAATAAGCGACCCACAGAATGGGTACAGCACCAGAGGAGGTATCGATAAACTTCCAAAGCTGCGGGTTATGGCTAAGCAATATTAGGTATTGTATAGTTTTTACAGGTCCTAGGATAACTGCTAGTCAGGCTGTGTCCCTTTTCCTCCCAAGGCCTGGCTATGCTGCCCTGTTCCTGGGTTCTTGGCAAGATTGGCCATGGGGTCCAGATTCTCCCTTCTTGTCTCCATGTCACTTTATATCCACATTACTGAAAGAGCCTCAGCAGGGAAGCATTCCCTTTAACTCAGACTCCAACTTGTACAAGTGATAACATCTTCAAGTAACAAGCAATCTATTTTGCCCAATAAGCATGATAAAACTGAGAAAAGACTGAAGGTTAAGAAAACAAATTTTCTTAATGCAAAATTCACACAGCACAGAAATATGGCAAAGTGCTTTAGCAGCCCGCTCCTGCCTGTATACACCCATGTTAACAGTCTGCACTTTGCCTTTGTCATTGTTACAGAAGGTGCAGCAGCTGGTTGTTGGAGGTATAATAACATATGAATAATTAACTTAAACATTAAAACTGATTTCTAACTGGGATTCTTGGTTTTATTATTTTTGGAGCATATGCTTCACCACACCCCAAATCAGAATTTCTTGGTTCTCATGCATCACTCACAATCGTTCAATAAAGCAATTGCAGCAAGGCACCAGAGAGGTAAAACTTATCAAGACCAACGCTATCCTTCTTTACCATGGCATTCTAAAATGTAGCTCAATCCTAGAGTCAACTCTTCCCATTTGTTCTTTATTGATTGAGGATTCCATTTCTGGAATTATTTTTAAATCTTTTTCTGACAGGAATAGTTGCTGGCCAGGTTCAACTTTTAAGTGACCCTAAGACAGACAAGAAACTGGCACCAAAAAAAAAGCTAACCTGTGTCCCTGCTTCCATGAACACTTTGGTTTTGGGAGTCATGGCTACCTAGTCACTGAGCCTGATGGCTGTCATGCCTGAAAGATGCAGAACACCCAGTTCAACCATCCAATCCACATCTCTCATCTAACTTGATTTTTCACAGGCTCTACTGTGAGTTCTCTTTGGCCAGTTTCTTTCTGTATTCATCTCCTTCTGATCAAGTCAAGGCTGTTTAAAGTTTGACGAATTATAATTTCTTTTCTTTCCTGACTTGTTACCAACATAACTAGAATGAAAACCTCATTAACCAGAAAGGAATCTCAGTGTAATAAATAATTTTGGGATTTTTTTTTTCATTTTATTGTCTATAGCTGTTATGATGACTATTATTATTTTTTTAAAATTATTGATAGCCAGTCAGGCTCAGAGTTTTGTTAATCTTTGGCCTACCTAGGGTATGGTGTGTCCATGTGTTGGGATGGTAGTCATTATTTTAGCTTTAAGAACTCATCTAAAGAACTAAAGAAATTATATCCAACTTGAAAATCATATATTATGAAATGAAAATTATAAATGTGGTCTGTTTTTAATTTAACATGACAATTTGATAAAGCTGACCCACAAAAAAATACCTTTTGGAAGAATGAAAGTAAAGATTGTCTATTATCCATATAGCCAGACTGTTCAGCAACAGATCTAATCCTCATTGCAACAGAATCTAGTTCCTCATTTTCAAACAATTCAATTATTTTTCCTGCATTGATAATGAAGCTCAAATCTTCCAAAAATGATTCCTTAGGGGAAACATACATTTAATTGGGAATGAGTAATATAATCACATATAATAACAACACTATATCATAATATATAACATTATACACATAATAATAATACATAATGATATTTAAGGGAACTGAGAATATTTTAAAAAGTATCTTCTTTATTCAAACCCAGCAAAAATACTTTTTCCAAGTTAAGATGAACTTCACTCATCCACTCATTTATTCAGCCATTAGAGAAACATATATTTAGTCTTGACATTATGCCAAAATCCTGAGTTAGGGAGCAGGTACAGTGAGGCACTGGGCAGGGACCCTGTGTCATACAGTTCACAGAAGCCTTCAACACAAGTGTATATGTGTCTGAAGAGGAGGGAACTAGAGATAACATGGTGTGTGTGTCGGGAGGGTATTTTAATGTAACAAACTTCATCTCTCTGGCTCTCTCTTTGAGACAGGGTCTCACGGTATAGCCCAGACAGGCCTGGGACTATGGGTCCTCCTGAGTGCTGGGATCACAGGCATGGCTCCCATGCCTGGCTTTAACCAAATTCATCCCCAAATCTATTGGGAAAGGTAAAGAGGAGGGCAAGCAGGGAAAGAAGGTCTCCTAGAAGTGTTGTCATAAAGGCATGATCATTTTGCTCTTGAGAGTAAATCCAAGCTAGGTAGGAAGGAGGGAAGGAAGGAAGGAAGAAAGGAAAGAAAGAAGGAAGAAAGGAAGGAAGGAAGGAAGGAAAGAAGGAAGGAAGGAAGGAAGGAGGAAGGAAGGGAAAAGAAGAGAAGAAAGCCTGACTCTTTTCAGGGCCCTCTGCAGACATCCATAGGCTTGTGGTGTTTTGGGTCAGGTAGGACCACAGAGGTCCACAGTGGGACCCTGGCTAACTGATTTCCTGCCTTAGCCAAGCCATGATGGAGGACTGACAAAGCATCCTAAGCACAGGGACAGTAGTGGCAAGGCAGAGGAGACCTGGAAGAAGACCCTCGGTAGCCAAGTCCTAGTGGTATGGGAGTGCAGGAGTCATGTCTAGCTCAGCTTGGCCCAAAATCATTTTCTGAAAATGTTCTGTTAAATTACAGCAATGCAACTGGCATGGGAAATGTCTCATCTGAACCTAGAAAGGAAGTGTGTGGCAGAGACTGCAACTGGGTCAGTAGGGTGGGGAAGGGAGGGAGACTGCATAGATAAGAGACTGCAGGAAAAGCGGATGTTGTGGAATACAGCAGACACAACATAGCACTTGAATTTACTCTCAAAATATGGCCTGAAAGAAAAAAAAAATAACTCTGGTAGAGAGAGGTGGAGCATTAGGAAAAAAAATCAGAATGAGAGTTTGAAGCAATACTTGTAACTATATATGTCAAATCACAAATAATAAACAATGTTGCCTTGAATTTTGTAGCAAAGAAGTAAATATGCTCTGAAGTGCCACTCCATATGTTTTGGCTATGGAAGGGCATAATTTGTATAAGATAACAGAGGCTAAAAAAGAGCCCAGTGGATGATTAGTGTTTTTTGCTTGTATGTATAAAAAGTATTTCCTGCAAGAGAAACCCTAACCCTGACAATGGAGGAAGAGAGGGGTGGACCCTTATGGCCATCTTGCAGTGCGCTGTAGGTAACACACAACCATGAGAACATGCAGTGGGTATAGATGACAGCGTTTTGAAAATACATATTATAAAACGAGCTTGGATGTAAAATCAGTGACTCCAGCTACATAGACAAATTACTTCTAATTTGTCTATTAAAATAAAAATGATAAAAGAAAATATTTACTAAAAACTACAGCATGATTACACATACATGAAATCTTTGGACTATGATGGGATGAGAGCAGAGAATCATGAAAAGAAGTTTGGCAGTAATAGGATCTGAGAAATAGTTCTTCTCAGATATTAGACTCATTAAACTTAGCAAATGATACAGCTGGAAGCACTCACTTGTTCTCGGTATAAGCTGGTGAGCATCAGGACAGAAGGGCTCCCTTCTAATCCTGCTTGAATGAGCACGTTTTTAAGCATCTCCTTGAACTCTGTGTAGGCATAGTTGTAAGACTCAGGCACCAGGTGTAGTTCGTGATCTGCCAAGTAACAGGCCAAGGTCGCACAAGTTTCTTTTCCACATCCATCCATTCCAAGCTTTGAAAGAAGAAAAATCCAATGTATGATTCCTATATAACTTAGTGCACTGAGTAGTATGTTATTGTACGGACGGATCATGGTTTGTTTGTCAGTCGCCATTTGTTGATGGACATCTGCACTATCTGGAATAATGCTGCTAAGAGCATTTGCATACAAATCTTTGGGTGGATATTTGTTTTACTAGTATAGATATACAGGAATGGCAGGACAGTATAGTGACAGGATCGAGGTACCTGGGGTGTGGCTCAGGAGCCAAGTATTTGCCCACATGCCCAGGGCCCCATGCCAGATAGAGGAAAAGGAGCTGGAGTCTCTTGCAGTTCCTACTGCACAGGCTGAGGGTATATGTGGGCTGGGATGGGGCAGCCAAAGGTCAGCCGCCCGCTTCTGGGCTGCTTTCACTTTAGAAGCTTTATGTATGAAGACTGTAACCTGTGTGCTACACAGGTTTCCCATTTGCTCCACAATTCCCCAGTTTGTGTCCCCAAGGGTCCCCAAAGGCAGCAAGCATCCAAGGCTAGGGGTATCCCCTGATTGTGTTGGAGAGTAGGGGAAGCAGGCAAGCCCCAAAGGGCTCAGACACTCTGGCAGCCAGATTCAGTGCTTTCAGAAGTGCCCAGCAGATCAGCACCACGTGGGAGGGAGGAGGCTGGGGGAAAGTCACGTGGTCTGCAGGTCCTGAGCTCAGAGCGCTCAGTCCCTCTGGAAATAAAAGAATCCCAGAGGCCAAGCACTTCGCCAGCATGGGCTTGGTGCTCTGTTTCTGCAAAGACCCTCAGGGGATGGGACTTGTTCCTGTCCAGATAGGGTGGGTCCAGCCACAACTGCCCGAGCTCCCTGCTGTTTAATCTTCTCAGCAGGTTCACATCAGTCCCTCTCCCTCTCCACGGCCACCAGCCAGACACTGTGGCAGGTGTCCTAAGACTCCCTGAACTGTGGTTTTCTGTTTTCAAGTCCCCAGAATGGCTTGGCCTTAAAGCATAAGCCTTCTCTCCAGGTGGTATCACCTGGATAGCTTTCTGGGTAAGAGGCATGGTGAACGTATTTCCTCTCTGAAGCTAGCCCGCTACAGCAGTCCCTGAACTTCCTGCAGGAGGTGTGGGCTGACCCTGCATCTACAAGCGCCAGCGTGCTGCTGGTCGTCCTACTTGGTGGTGGTGTTTGGCTCCTCTGCCTTCCGAGGAACTAGAGTGAGAGCTGCACATTGCTTCCCACTTTTCTCATGGCTTTTCTGTTTCTCCAGGCTTTTCAGCTGTCCTGTCACCTTATTTGGATTCCTGCTGCTCTTCCTCTGTCTCTTTTTTGTTAACGTGACTCTTCGCCTTTATAGTCAAATGGAGGACACTTCTAATCCAACATCTTGTCCCATCACCCTCGCTGATTTTACAGTTTTAATGATTTGAGTCTCTTTTTCTTTTCTTGGTCAGGTTAGCTACGGGGGCTTTGTTGGTCATTTCAAAGAACCAATTTTTGGCTTTATCAATATTCTCTGTTATTTGCCTATTGTATATTTTCTGCTCCCACCCATCTTTATTATTTTCTTCCTTTTGCTTGCATTGGGTTTGGTTTTCTTTCCTTTGTATAGTTTCCTGAGGTAGAAGTTTAGGTTATTGATTTGAAGTTTTTCTTCTTTTTAAATATGGGTATTAAGAGCTATAGACTTACTTCTAAGAACTGCTTTAGCATTTTGTGCCTTTGTTTTGATCTTTCTCAAAGCATTTTCTAATTTCCCTGTGACTTCTTTCACTGTTGGTTAATTAGGAGCGTGTTGTAAAAGTTCCATATACTGGCGATTATCCCCTAAATAAGTTTTCATCAGTGATTTCTAATCTAATTCTGTTGTGGCCCGGGAGCATACGTGGTATGGTTTCAGTCCGTTTCACTGAGGCTGTTTATGGTCTGCATTATGGCCTGTCCTTTGGGATGTTCCATTTTTTGCTCCAGAAGGTCATATTTTGCTGTTGTTAGGTGGGGTTTGTATAATGTCAGTTAAGTAAGTTGTCTATTGAAGTCTTTCACTCTTTCTGATTTAATGTCTAGTTTCTTTGACAAATTTATTGCTGATGATAGTCCTGAAGTCTCTATTAGCATTATGAACTGATTTTTTTCTCTTTTAATATTGTCAGTTTTGGCTCCATGTATTTCAGTGTATTTCATCTCTAGGTGTGTAATGTTTTTTTGGAACTTAGGGCATCATGCTTGCTAGGCAGGCACTCCACCACTTGAGCCATCCTGCCAGCCGTCAGCCATTCTGTTTTTGTGTTGGGTATTTTCCAAGATGGGGTCTTGAAAACTATTTGCTCAGGCTGACTTTGAACCTCAATCTTCTTGATTTCTGCCTCCCAAGTAGCCAGGATTACAGGTGTGAGCCATTGGTACCTGGCTAGGTGTGTATGTTTGTAAGTGTAATATCATGCGGACCCTTGTTATTGTTATATCTGCTCTTTTTGGTCTCAGACATTTTTTAAAAATGCCTACTTTGATATTAATATGTCCACTTCAGCTCTCTAGTGGTAATTGTTTGCATGAGTTATCTTTTTCTATTCTTTCATTTTCAACCATTTTGTATCTTTGAATCTAAAATGTGACTCTTGTTGACAGTCTATTAGTTGTATTTTGTTCTTTTTAAGATCTAGTCTTAAAATCTCTGCCTTTATGGTAGCACTGGGGTTTGAACTCAGGGTCTCATGCTTGCAAAGCAGGCACTCTGCCATATGAGCCACACCTCCAGCCTAAAACCACTGCCTTTTTGGACTGTAAAATAGGTATAGTGTGTGTGTAGGGGTACTTGTGGGAGACAGGAGCGTGAACAAAGGAGAGTAAGGTGAGGGAATGTGCTCAGTTGATGGACTTCTTAAACTTACACAAAATAGCACAATAACACCTCTTGCAATTGCTTTAAGTGGGGTGGGAAGGGGCCAATGGGGAGAGATAATGGGGGTAATCGAACCAATATACAATGTCAGCCTATTTGGAATTGTCACAATGAATTCCCCTTCCCCTGTACAACAAATATATCCCAATTAAAAAATGAAAATCCTCGGCCTCTCTGAGTACCTAATGCATTTACACTATGTCATGATTGGTATGGTTTGACTTTGTTCACCACATTGCTATCTCCTGTGTGTGCCTGGCTAGAGCTGTGCACGCTGTGATGGCATCTATGATGCAAAGTTGGAGCTTTGCATGTTTCTTGATTCTATTTCCTAATTCTTTTATTCCTTTTAATTAATCTTGTTGCACATGTCTATTTAAATAAAAGAGATTTATTTTATTTTATTATCTTAGCACTGGCAATGGAACACAAGGCCCTATACCTCCTGGGCAAGTGCTCTACCACTTGAGTTTTACCCCCAGTCCTTTTTCTTTTTCTTTTGTTTTTGAGATAGGGTCTTGTTAACTGGATGAGTATTTAAATGAAGCTCTAGTACAAGGAAAAGTCCTTTTTGGAAAAAAAAAGACATAAATAAATAGTTATACATAAGGTATAAAATAAAATAGTATGCACAAATACTAAATAGTTATAAATAAAATGCCTTACATAATTGGCTAACTATGTTGGATTTTTTTTTAGCTTTTCAGAACCTCTTCTGAATTCAAACTCTTTGGGAATTTTCCAAGAGTTTCGCTCCCACTGGCTAACTTTGTGTAGTGCTCACATCTCTAAGTCACTGTTGACGTCAGTGTACTATTGCTGAAGTCAGGTGCCACCTGCACAGGCATGACATTATTGCCAGGGGATACCACATGTGCCACCACACCCATCACTTTTATTCACAGCAAATTCTTTCCAGAAACAAGTAACTTCTGCAAATTGGTGAGGACAGGCCCTCTCCTAAGACTCAATTACTGTGAGTAATTTTTTTCATAAAAGTAATATAAATAAAACTTCTATAAGTAGCTTTTATTGGAGTTTCTTAATTTTTATTTTGCAAAGTTAAAAACATTTGAAAAATTTAAATTCCTACCAGTAACATGTGGCTCCCTGGTTGTCGAAGGACTCTTGTAGCTCTGGTAATGTGTTCTATGGCTTCCTTGAAAAGCACCATGGAATGAGAAATCTAGCAGAAGACATGTGACAAGTGATTACAGGTATGGAAAAGTTGAGTGTGTGCTGGGGTTTTACACAGGAGATAACAGGAGTGAGATCCAGATCCCCTCAGATGGTTTGTGTCAACATTGAGGAAAAGCAAATGTTCACTGTGAACATCCTGGGATAACATTCTGGTGAGAGAACTGGGCAGCCATCAGCTAAGAGAAGAGTCACTTTGAGGCTGCTTTTCTGTTGCTGTCTTGGGAGGGGAAATGGTGGCATCTGTGATTTTGCTGACACCTCTGTTTAAATACATCTCTGCCCACAACAACATGGCAAAGATGTAAAGAGCCACAACCACCACTTTGCTATCCTGTGCTACTTGGACCCTGTTGCTACATTCACTTGCATTTCCTAACTGCATTAACTATTCATTCAGCTCCCCCCAGCCTCTGTTGTGTGCCTTATCTTCAAAACTATATGCTTTTGGGACAAAAGAAGATGAAATAACATAAAACTGTATGACTAATGGTCTGATTTGAAACCTGAGGCACACATATCCTTCCACCTTTCTCTCTCTCTCTCTCTCTCTCATACACACACACATACATCTTAAAACATCTGATATATATGTAGATGCAAACACATAATAAATATATACATATATAGCACTCTTCAGATCTTTATATTGCATATGTCCTTACCTCCAAAGATGTTGAATCCAACTTCATCTGGAAATCGTTAAGAATGTTGGTAAGTTTATCATAGTCTTTGATATTCTGATAGATCTTTTTTCTGTGAGGCTTATTTATATCCAAGAAGTCTACAAATACAGTTGGGTTACTCATCAACTTTTGAGAATTCCACTGAATCTGTTGAAAGATAAGAACTCAAGTTATCATTCACTAGATTTCCTTCACACACTACATACTGGCCTTGTTACCAAGGCCAGTATCTCCATGTTGGAGAAGGACTATGGGTTCTTAATCTTTTTTGTGCCATGGACTGTGGGGAGTGGATTATGAGAAGCCTATGAGAACTTGAAGAGAGTGAGAGGCAAGATGCAGCACAACTGCTTTTCCTAAGTTGTTTACGTTTGGAGAATAGGAATGCAGGTTTCTCTTGTTACAGTGTCACACCCCTCCTTGAGAACTGTTGCTGCACCTCCTTGTTTACCACTGGATATAAAAGACTTGCTGAAGGAGGACATGAGGTTTTTGATGGGGGATTTTGATTGGCTGCCACTGCCACTGGTTGTTGTGTCTCCACCAGAGCAGCTTTCTGCACTGAGAACTTTATACATAGGCTTTAGAAAAGCTAAGCTAAAGAAAAGCTAAAGGGGACAGTGCAAGTCTAAGGATTGAGACTTTGAGAGTTATGCTAATGCAGTTTTTAGACGTGGCTGCTGTTGTTTGTCTGCAAGTCTGAGCATCGAGACTTTGAGAGAACATGGGACAGTGCAAGTCTTAGGGCAAAGACTTTAAGAGAGATTATGCTAAAGAAAAGCTTGGAGAAAACATGGGACAGAGTGAGTGTAAGGAAAGAGACTTTAAAGAACAGAAAAAAAGACTTTAGAAGTAAGGTTTTAAAGAATAGAGAAAAGAAGCAGAGTAAAGAGAAGTAAAAAAGCAATGAGGCTGTTGTGTGTCTCCATCTGAGTGCCCAGCATACCTGGCCCCAACTCCTGCATGTCTGTCTTCTATCCTTTGTCCTTTCTGCATCTCTTATCACCCCCAGTTAGGTTCAGTAGTAACAGGAGTGAGAGAAAGCTCACTCCAATGGACTCCTTTTGGCAGTGAAGCCTGTGAAATCTTTCTCAGAATAACATTTTAAAATGCTTATAATACAAGGGTTACAAAGGAAACCAAACATACTGAAATGCAGCTCTAAGAGCCTGCCAAGTGTCTGCAGACCTCAGGGTAAAAGTGCCTGCAGCTGGAGTAATCTGCAGCTCTTCATTGACAGTCTGGGTACAAGACTCTTCCCTTAGTGGACTGCTAATGACCACTGCAATTCTGTGAGTTTCCATACTTGCTCTCCTGGTCCACTTGGCAAACTCTTGTCTATCTTTCATACCAAGGTCTTGAACTACTTCCTCTTTGAAAGTCTGAGAATTTCCCTCTCCTGGAAAATGAGGTAGAACAAATGGCTCTGTCCTCCTTTGTTCCACCCCAGTGGTGTGTGCACAGGTCTGTCACAGCACCTGCTGGACTGCAGGTGTCTGCAGGCAGGGTCTGTGTAGTTCTCAGAACTTATCTTGCTTGATATCTGGCACTGGACATTTCTGATGGGCATTCAGAGGGCACCTGTTTAGTGGTACTGGGGATTGAACTCAGGGCCTTGAGCTTGCCAGGTGGGCACTCTATCATTTGAGCCATGCCCCCAACCTTTTTTACTTTAGTTATTTTTTAGACAGGACCTTACACTTTTTTCCTGGGGCCAGCCTGGATCCTGTTCCTCCACCATCCCTGTAGCTGGGATTACAGATACAGCACCATGCCTGACTTGTTCTTTGAAATAGGGTCTTGCTAACTTTTTGCCCAGGTTGGCCTCAAACTGTGATTCTCCCATATCCACCTCTCAAGGAGCTGGGATGATAGATCTGAGTCACCATGTCTGGTCTGCGCTGTCTCAAGTGATGGCCAGAAGTAAGTCAAGGAAAGGAACCTGCAGGCTTAAGGGCAGAGACAATGGAGACCATGCTGCATTCTGGTTGACCATGCTGCATTCTGGTTGGAATATGGGAATGATGTGTTCAGATTTCTGGTATGGGTGTGGGCATGGGTGTTAATGGCAGCCATTGTGGTGGGGGCTCTAGGACAGGGCATCTTGATGGTGGAGACTGGGAAGGAAGCATGTGTAAGCATGTTGGGTTTGAAATGCCCAGAGTAATGTGACATGGATTTAGAGGTCAAACCAAGGTATGTCTCTAAAGTTTGGGCAATTTTCACCAAACCTGCTCATATTTGAAATGTAGATATAAGATACAGTTTTTTTTTCCAGTATTATGCTAGCTTACATTTATTGAGCTTTCACTAAGTGTCAGAAACTGTTCTAAACATTTTATTTAAATTAGTGCTATTAATTCTCACTATAATCCAATGAGGTAGATATAATCACAGACCTACTTTAGAGAACACAGCTCACAAAGGGAGGGGCTGAGCTTTGAACTTGGGCAGAGCCTGTGTTTGAAATCTCTATATTCAACTTTCTCTCAGGCCCTTAGGGAAGAAAGGTGGCAGTGGCAGAAGAGTGGGTTGGAAATTCTTGTGCCTGTGTGGAGGGAATCAGGGAGAAGATGATTCTGAGGCGTGACCCAACAGCAGCCCCAGGAAGGCAAAGCAGGAAGAGCTGCATTTGGGGTAGAGCCCTGGAAGATCCTAGACAAGTGAGGGGAGGTGGTGGAGTACATGGAGATGGGAGAGGGGTTATCCTTGTGTCCTAAATGACAATATTATCTTAGTAGATGTTAAAAAAGACTGGAGGATAGAAGTGATACGAGTTAGCATGAATAACTGTATCAGGATGAGTCTGGAATGAAGAACAGAAAATTGAATTAAAAGAATGTAACGATGGGAGTATCCTTAAAGAATTTAAAGGAATTCATGATCTATATAAAAACATTTACGTATACATACATATTTACCCATCCATCCACAGACACAGATTTACATATATTTTATATTCTGAATTTATATGCAAGTGTGTATAACTATCTTTATCTCCATGCACAAAGTTTATATTCTAGAATTCTCTTTTACTATTGTCATGCACAGTTGTGCCCTTGAATTGATTATATTTCTAGGAGTGCTATGAATAGTGTGAGAGAAAGTGGTGTTAGCAAAGGACAGAGGCAAAGAACAGCAGAGCAGAGTCCCTCTGGAAGGACACGCCTCTCCAGGCGTTCAGAGGAGAGGCGGCAAAGCCAGCCAAGCTCACAGCCTGCTCAGTCACAGCCCTTTGTGGGAATCAGTGTATTCAAATACTTGCCTCTGTGACTTGCCCTAAAAGACAGGCAGTGAGGAAACTAAGTTCAAAGGGGTGAGAATGAATAGGCAGTGCTGCTAGTTTTGGAGCAGAATGAGCAGTTTGGAGGCTCCTGACAGGCCTGTCACCACCATCACCTTCACACCACGCTTTCAAACATTTTCAAGTGAGAAGTGGAACTGTTAATAAGATAAAGTTGGTTTCATAATATTAGAGAAATGTTTGAGGACTTCCATGAAACAACATTTGATTCCATTTGAAATAGTTGCTTCAAATATAAGTTTACCTGGAAACAGTTCTCCAGTTGCTTTGAAAGCAGCTGATAGAAAAGGCTTTTCTCAGCGGGTTCAATTAAGCGGTCATGAAACACGCGGGTAGCTTCATGAACAAAGAGCAGAGCAGCCATCTCTTTGTTGTAAATAACTGTCCTGTCAGCTTGCAGCAATCCTAAGAGAAGCTAGGAAATAAGTTTTTGAAACATTAGAGGGTACTGTGTGAAATAAAGGTGTAAGTTTTGCAGGTTTATGTTCCATAAAAATAGAAGCAATTATCCAAGGTAAGAATTACAAATGGTTATAGGAGATAATCTGTAGCTTTGATGAGACACAGGTTAAAGTCAAGGAAAGTTAGTGTGGAATGACTCTCAGGGGAAGAGAAATGCAGGGGCTCCTCAGAGACATGCAAGGGCAGCATGCTAGGGTGAGAAGCCATGGTCCCTTTATGGTACCAGCATGGAGGCAGGGTGGTGGGGGTGGCAGTGAGGGGCTTCTCAGTGTTGATGTGCTTAGCATTGTAAACTTGGGTCAATGAACTTTAGAACCTGTCTCCAACCCTTATGTGCTAGGTAGGGCTGATGTCCCACAGCAAGGGGAGAAAGATGCAAAATTCAAGAATTGTTTTTCTTAACACTGGAATTTTCAAAACTACTTAGCCAAGATTGATTAGTCAGCATTGTTGGCAAAATCTGTGAAAATTCAAGTGTGCTTATGAAATGCATAATGCATTAATTTCCTGATAGTCAGGATGAATCTCCCAAACAAAGAAAAAACACAGCCTGCACCAAAACCTTGACATGTCTTCTTCCGTGGAGGGTTTTAGTCAACATTTTAATAGCCCTAGTGGTTTTATTATTGAATTCTCTGCTTGGAACCATTTGAACAGTTCTTTTCAACTTACTCATGGGATAAAAGCTGCTAATAAATAGCAAAAATAACCAACATAAATCTTACTTTCTCCTATTCTAACAATTCAATGTTGACAGAACCAATGGAAGGACGGGGGAGGGAGACAGAGAAAGGGAGAGACACTCAATGCAGTAAAATTACATCTCAACTTAAATTAAAAAAAAAAACAAAACTGTAGAACTAACTTTAAAACAAACCTTGAACATGTCTCGAAGATTGAACATATAGTGGCATTTTGTTGGAGTGGGTAACATAGTCTTACATACTTCATGGTATACAGCGAAGGAACAAGATGCTATCTGAGCCTTACATTTCTGAACTTCGGATGTGAAGTTATTGTTGGAGAAAAAGATTCCCAAATGAGCCTTTAAAAAGAAGTTTTGTAATTTAGTTTCAAAAAGGATTTTTTTGTTTTTGTTTTCTTGGTGGTACTAAGGTTTGATCTCAAGGCCTTCTGCATGCTAAGCAGGTACTCTGCTACTTGACTCACGCTTCCAGCCCTTCAAAGTTTTAAGTATAGATTATTTCTGGTTAATACCTACTAAGAAGCAGACTTGTGTACTATAATGGAGGATTAATCTCATCAGAACTGCTAATAATTAAAATCCACTTAAAACAAGATGGTGGACTAAGTACAAAGACACTCTGTGTTCAAACAGGAACATTCCAGTTGGCCCTGGCTTGGTGCATGGTCTAGAGGCATGGGACAATTATCCTCCAGGGACACACTGTGCCCCACCTGCATATGCATCAAGTGTGCTGCCAACTCCCCAGTCTTCCTGCTCCTCAGCACAAGTGGAAAGTGATAGAGCACTACCTCAGTCTGGATTGGCATCCCTGTATACTTTCTTCTGAAAATTCTAGATATCTTACTGGAAAGTGGCTCAACTTGAAACCTAGTGTGATCTTGCATAAGATTTATTTTTCAAACTTACCTATTTTCATCTTTAAAATATAAAATTTAAAGATAAATTTAAACATCCATTTATCAAAAAGCCCTTGATAATTCTGACGCAGGTGATCCTAGTCCACACCTGAAAAGAAATCTGCTTTTTTAAGAAAGTATGCAACTGCGTGCCAATCCAACAGTGTTTTTTAGAGACAAATCATAACAACATGTCAGAAAATATAGGGGGAGTAAAATCTATCCCCCAAAGAAAATTTCCTTTTAATATTAGTGGTTTTAAGTTCTCATATTTTTCCTTGTACTATTGGAATTAAATTTTTTTTCAGCAGAAAATGAACTATATGGGGTTGGGAGTATGGCTCAGTGGTAGAAGGCTTGCCCCTAATAGTTAGATTCCCCAGAACTGAGAGAGAGGGGAGAGAGAAAGAGAGAGAGAAAGAGAAAGAGACAGAGAGAGAGAGAGAGAGAGAGAGAGAGAGAGAGAGAGAGACAAAGAGATATGAGTTGGATGTATTTACCTGGAAAATGGTACATAAGGCACTTTGTGGAGGATGAGGCAGTACCAGTGTGGAAAAATGCTTGAGAAGACGTGGGCTAATGTCATTCCCACCTACTGCAGGAACACAGGAAGCAACTACAGCAAAATCTTGAATATTCTATGGGAAGAGTGAAATGGAAGAGTGACTAAATGCATCTGTAGGAAGTGAAATATTTTTGGGCAGATAGATTTGGATTACTACTTAGTGCAAAATGAAAATTACAATGCTAACAGAAATCCATGTTCTACAAGTAACCCATCCTAAAAGGGAATTTCAAGATAAGTTACTTATAGAAGGCTTTCTTAATATCCTCAGGAAATGAGCCATTAAAAAAAGCAATCATTTGAAACTATGGACTTATTAGAACAAAAAACGTAGGGGAAACACTTCATGATACTGGCCTGGGCAAAGGGTATTTGGTATAAGATTTCAAAAGAACAGGCAACAAAAAAAAAAAAACCAGACAAATGGGACTGCATTGTATAAAAGTTTCTGCACAGCAAAGTAATCAACAGAGTGAGGAGAAAGCTCATGAATGGGAGAAACTACATCTCTGACAAGGGGTTATTATCAGAATATATAAGAAACTCAAACATTTCAATAGCGCCCCCCAAAAATCCAGTGAAAAAGGGGCAAGAAATTTTAACAAGAGAAAACATACAAATGGCATCACATATGTGAAAAAAGTGCTCCCTGCATCACTGATAATCAGGGAAATTAACCATAATGAGACATCATTTCACCCACTTAGAAAGGCTATTTCCAAAAGACAAAAAGTAACAATGCTGATGAGGCCCTGAGGAAAAGGGAACTCTTGTATACTGTTGGTGGAAATGTAAATTAGTATAGACATTAACAGTGTGGAGGTTCCTCAAAACACTCAAAATAAAGTTATCACATGTTCAAACAATCCCACTATTGAGTATGTATATTCAAAAAAATGAAATCAGCATGTCCATAAAGATATCCGCACTCCTATGTTTATCATAGCACTGTGATAACAAAGACGTGAAATCAAGTTAAATGCCCTGTCAGTACATCACTGGATGAAGAACATGCAGTGTACACACACGTGCACACACATATACACAGACGAATACTCTTCAGCCTTACAGAAGAAGGAAGTTCTATCATTGTTACATGGATGAAAGCTGAAGACTTTATGCTCAGTGACATATGCCAGGTACAGAAAGACAAATACTGCATGATCTCACTCACTTGTGGAATCTAAAAAAGGTGCTTTCATAAAAGCTGAGAGGGCAGCAGGGAGGGGTGAATGGGAGAGGTTAGACAACAGATAACAAAGTTACAGACAGCAGGAACAAGTTCTAAGTTTCTATTGCACAGTTAGTAATAATAGGCTGTACATTTCAAAATAGCTAGAAGAGAAGATATTGAATGTTTAACTAAAGAAATGATAAATGAGGCAACAAGTGCTAATTACCCAAATTTGACCATTACACGTTATATACATGTATCAAAACACCACACTGAACCCAACAAATATGTACAATTATCACAAGTGAATTAAAATAAAAAGCAATTATTGGAAAATGTGCAATATGTTATTGAGGCTAGCAATGAGGACTTTGGTGATGAGTGAGAAGTCATCATACCCAGGATTGGCCTGGGTAAGGAGACACTTGACTATTAATCTAACAATGGCTACTTGACTATCACATCGTCACAGCACTGTGCAGCTGGGTGGTCACACAAACAACCCAATCTACCCTCAGTGGGGTGCTTTGAGCAGCCTCGCTCCTGCCTGTGCCCAGGTCCAGGGCCACAGAGAGGAAGGTTGCCCTGGCTGTTTCCTGGTCAGTTCAGGAATTTGTTGGGGCTTTGCACTTTAGAACCCCTTTCCTGCCTTCTCTTTTTTCTGGTCTCCTGAACATTCTTTGAGGGCTGCATGTGGTTCTGACAGGCTGATATCTGAGCCCATGTCTCTTACAAACCACTGTGCCTCACTCAGAATTCTGGGCTTAAGTCTGTCCAGGACATCAAACTGTTTGTAATACAGCCATTTAATTGTACAGATGAGCAATCTGAAGCCCACGGAGTTGAGTGATAGAGTCAGTTTTGGAACACAAGACTTGTGATTTCTAGAGAAGGAACAAAATAGCGAGAAAGGTACATTTGAATATATATTTAAAAAATGTTAAACCATTCTGACTTGGTTCAATGCAACAAAAATTATCACACAGGAATGCCTCCTTGGAACTTTTTGACTTTGCAATATATCTGAAGTTCCTTGATCTATGTTCTTAAAAACATGCATGCTGAGTAGTGATATAGAGATTAAGGATGCATTTGGTAGGCCCCATTTTCAATAAATGCTGCTGCACCGAGAAGTTTGATTAACCATGGATACTGTTAATAATAGTAAACATTATTTGACTCAGAAATGAAGCCTTGAGGACATACTTAGATCTTTACCAAGTTTTGAACCTCTTAAAAAGGAGAGTTTCTATAAACCCTTGAGCCTGTTCTAAATCGCAAAGACATAATTGGCATGGTCAATTTAGGGTCTCAACTTTGTTTAGCAAGTCTATATGGCTGGACTTGAAGAATTTGAAAATTGACTACTCAACCCACTCAACATTATTATAAATATTTGATCTATTATTAAGTAACAATATTTAATACAAACAAAATCTTAGTATATACTGTACCTTCCATGTATTTCTTTCAGTATCATAAACCCCCCCCATGTCTAATAATTGTCTGATCAATTCCAGGGGTGGCTGGGCTCCATATATATCTGATATCGGCATATTCATATCATCAATAAATATTATAATCTTTAGGAAGACAAAATGTTTTAAAATACATTAATTCTTTAAATTATGAATCAGAAGTGTTAATTATGCTATGGTTTAATAACAAAATAATATCAAATAACACGTCTGTTTTCCTATTAAGAAACAGCAGACCAAATGTATTTTGAAGTTACTTAGTATTAAGTATTCAAAATAGCAGAAACTCTATTCACTCTTTGTAGACCTAGAGTAATTATGTCTGATAATGGTTACAAATGTATTTGATGCTGATAAGTAATCTAATTGTGACTTTTACAAAGGAATGTGCCAATTTATTAAGCACTTACCTCTTGAGTGCCTACTGTTGGCAGTTGTTTATTTCAGAAGCATCCTGGCTGGAAATAAGACCTGGAACTAGGTTTTAAAATTCTGCTGCAAATGGTGGCATGAACTATGAGCAGAAAATTCAGACACATCTCCAATTTTTAAACCTGTGCTACTTTGCACCTTTGAAAATATTATGCACTGAGGCACAGTGATGATGTGTAACAGACACTCAGATTGTGTTCATGCTTGTAAAATAAGTAACTAGTTAGAAAATACAATTATTATATTTACCTAATTACCCAATTTGTAACTGTCAATATCAGTTTTTATAAGACACTCAGTTTCCCCTCTTGTGTATTACAAGAGAAAAAGAATTTCTCTTGTTTTGTAATTTCTAATGTTGTGATTAGGTTTACCAATTATTGACCTTTTCAAAATTCTTAAAAGTTACCCATGTGGGCAAAGACCCAGTAAGTTCATCTACATATTCAGTTAAAATCAAGGACAGTCTGAGATGAGTAGTACTAGGAGGTAAGCACAGGGCTCTTCTGGGCCCATGCAATTTTCTTCCTCATGAACCTTGCAAGCCTGCTTTTATTTTTGCTGTTTATCTTACAAATTTATTCTTTTTATTGGGCCATACATATCCAAATAGAAAGATAAAAGGCAAGCAGATACAGGACATCACTTCGAGTGACAGAGAGTGAGGCACAGCCCGTCACAACTTCTGTAAAGGTTCCAGGGCAGAGTGTCTGCTTTGTCTCCAGATTTATCTAGAATGTGCTCTGGGCCAGGCTTCACCAAAAGCTCCCCTTGCACAGCTGCTATTCACAGCTGCTGCCTGGCTCTGTTCATGGGGGAGGGGGAGTTTCCATTGGAAGAAGTGTTGGGGGAGGGGAAAGTCGTGAGACAGGAGGACCTGCAAGAAATCACCCTTGGAAGTCTGCACCCCTTGCAAGCCTCTTGACCCTGATCTTATTTCACAGGACTGAACTGGAGTCAGAGATTGTAGATTTTAATTGCATCAGAGAATTCAGTTCAATAAGTGGACAGTTGATCCTATGCCAGGCAGACTGAGACTAAGGGTAGGGAACACCCAGTGGCATTCTGAGAAGTGGTTGTCCCTGGCTCCTCTCTTGACGCCTTTCCCTAGGTGTGGATTCTGCAAGTTTCTTTTACTCCTAGAGTCCCGGCCGTGGTCTCAGGAAGAACACACACTAGAGTGTACAGCAACAAAGCAACAGCACGCTCACTTTCAGATTCTTACCTCACACAGATTTCAGCTTCCAGCCTGAGTAATTCTCAGCTAGCATACCCCCCATGCTGGAGACTGAATTACAAAACTGCCTCAAAAACTGTCATCTCCATTGTAAATGTTTAGGGGTGTGAGTTATACGTATCTTTTCCTTTTTATTAGCATTAATTAAAACAATCAACTTATCACTTACGTAGTGTCAGCAGACAGCTTAGCAGGCATGGGGGTGGGGGTATGGCTACCTTGTTGTTTTTGGGTGCTCCAAGAGTATCTTTACTTCTTCTTATTAACTTCTTAAGAATCATTTCCTTTGTTTTAGCGGCTGTAATGTTGGTGTTAAAATTTATTGTAGAGACTACAATTCCTTTATTGTTATTATTTTTAAATGAACTTTTAACAGTTCCAGCTTCGAGCTTCTTAGTATTATCTATGATGCCAAGATGAAAAGGAAACAAATTTGTAACATTTAAAAAATATTTTTGCTTTATTTTAGGGTGTTAAGAAATTTAAAAACTACATAATTCTGTTATCTGTTGTCATTTTCAAGAAATTCCTCTGGGAGAAGGAAGACACCTCTGGAATACTCCTCCACAGAGCCTCTGTGAGCCATAAGGTGCACACGGGGAGGGCTCAGAGAGCCTTTTCCTCATGTGTGCACACAGACACAAACAACTCAAGGTCTGAAAGCTGCAGGCAGTGGCTTTACCAAGTATATCAAAATAGGGCACATTCTCCAAGTGAGGATCACTAGCGGGTTATGTGGGATGGTGCTACCACAACTCAAACATACATGTTTTCTGGCAGGATCTTATGGCTTGACTCCCCTCTTTTCTTTTGCTCACCACCTTGGGATGCCCAGGCATTCCTCCTTGAGAGGTGGGGCTGCTGCTCTCCAAACTACTGAGTCAGAACTTTCAATGATGGGATCCTGAAGTTCCAGGCATGTTTCTAGGGGATGGCCAGATTTGAGAGCCACAGAAGCATAACTCTCTCCTCCACTATATTTAAAGGTAGGAGGAATGACAGTAGGTCAGGTCAATCCAGACTGCGGCTGCAGCTCCACTGTGAGTACATGTCTGACCCTCTGCCATGGCAGTCTGCCTAGCGAGTAGGTGAGGGCACTTTGAGAGGTACTGGGTACTTCTCAGGACTTTTCACTGTAAATTGCCAAGTACGACCCTCACTCTGAGAGTTCTAAAAGTGAGAAATGACCTGAGTGGCTGTGATGGGAAAGCTGGAAGTGGTCCCACAATACCTACCCATAGTTCCGGCTGCTGTCTTGTGGGACTCAGAAATCAAGATGCTGATATTCTGCTTGAGACTATTGGAATCAAAAGATGTAAGGATCCAAAATTAGTTCATTTACCATTTCAGATGTATTAACAAGAAATAATGAAAGTAGCAGCATAAGGTTGGTTTTGCTTCTATCTCCCAAAAGAAAACAAATTTTATTTTTTTCTGTTCACATTCTTCTTATAACATTAGCATCACTATTAGAACTTATACTCAAATTTAATAAACATGGCTTAATTTTAAAAACAAATGGAAAATTCTTAGTATGCCAGGCTACTGGGCATTTTCTAAGGATGGGCAGCCATCACTTCCTCGTCCCTGTTTAAAGTGCATTTTTCCTTATGGGTCAATCACTAACAGACTCATGTGCCTTGATTTTATACTTTTTTCAGGTTAAAAAAATTTTGGCGGGGGGTGTTTGATTAAAAATAGTTGTCTTTTGCTGTTGTTAAAACCCATTTCGATTTAAATATTAAGATTTCATGCTTATTTTATCAGAATTACATTATTTGTGATAATTAAAGAATGATTTCCAATGTATTAAATGTTTCAAAAATTATTTCTTAAATTTTTAAAAAGGCCTTATTTAAGTACAGTAGGATTCAGTTATGAAATCTTTAGCATAAGATGAAGATGATGTTGACGTGGAAAAAAAGAAGTAGAGGAATCCATGAATTTCCTTCACTTGCCATGATCAGGTGCAAGGGTGGCCAACAAACAAACGTCAATGAGTGTGAGGTATCATATTGACACAACAAAGGACAAAACTATAGAACCATCCCAACAGATGCAGAAAAGGCACTCCACAGCATCTAATGCCATTTCATTATACAAACTCTCAAAAAATTAGGGAAGGAATGTACCTCAACATAATAAAAGTCATTTCCAAAAGCCCCCAGTCAGCATCATACTCAGGGGTGCAAAGTTGAAAGCATTTCCTCTGCAGCCAGGAGCAAGACCAGGATGCCATTGGTCAGGGCAATCAAAGAAGAAGAGAAAGAAAGACATCTGCGTAGGATGGAAGGAGTGGAATTATCTGTTTGCCAATGGCATGGATTTATATGTAGAAAACCCTAAGGACTCCATGAAAACATAAAAATTGCTGGAACTGACAAATGAATTCAGTGAAGTTGGAAAAAATAAAACCAAAGTACAAATCCAGTCAAGTATCTATACATGAACAAGAAACTATCTGAGTAAACAAAAGTAATCTCAGTTACAATGCCACTAAAAATAACTGAGCTAGGTGTGGTAGCACACATATAATCCCAGTTTCAGACCATCCTGGGCTATATAGCAAGACTCTGTCTCAAAAAACGGCCTGGAGTCAAGGCTCACATGGTAAAGTGCCTAACTAGCAAGTGCAAAGCCCTGAGTCCAAATCCCAATACTGCCAAACACACACACACACACACACACACACACACACACACACACACACACACACACACTGATGGGCACTGGTGGCTCATGCCTGTAATCCTAGCTTCTTGAGGTTGGGAGTATTGAGGTTTGAGGCCAGCATGGGCAAAAAAGCTTGTGAGACCCTATGTTAGTGAAAAAAAGCTGGGCATATGGCACATGCCTGTCAACTCAGTGACCTGGGCAAAAAGCTAGACTCTATCTCCAAAATAAGCAGTGGTCTTAAAGATGTGACTCAAGTGGTAGAGCACCTGCTTAGCATGTGCTCAAACTCCAGTTCTGTCAAAAAGAACCAAACCAAACTAAACCAAACAAAACACCAAAAACTAAGGGTGCATACAAAGAGCAAGGCCCTGTGTTCAAGCTTCAATACTGATGTAGTAGTAAATTTAACCAGGAGGTAAAAAATCTGTTTATTGAAAACCATAAAGCATTGATGAAAGAAACTGAAGAAAACCCAAATAAATTGAAACATATTCTGTGTTCATAAAGCGGAAGAATTAACACTATTACAACATCCGTATTATCCAAAGTGTTCCACAAATTCAGTGCAATCCCTATCAAAACTCCAACGCTATTTTAATATGTGGAACCACAAAAGACTCCAAATAGCCTAGAAAGCTACAGCTAAGAGTAGAAGGTGCTCGCCAGGAGCTGACAGGGAGGTAGGGAGGATGGAGGACAGTTGGCCTAGGGAACAAGGTTTCAGCTAGACAGGAGGAATAAGATTTCAAAATTTACTGCATAGCATGGTGGCCAGAGTTATTAATGATGTATATTTTTTAAAAAGTAGATTTTAAGTGTTCTCACTACAAAAAAATGTTAAGTACGGAGATGATAGATATGTCAGTTAGCTGACAGTCATTCCATAATGCACACCTATATCAAAGCATATTACACTGCACAAATACATACAGCTATAATTTGTCAAGTAAACATGAGCAATTAAAGTAAGAGAGATTAGAAAAGCCATTTTCTTCTTATCTCCTTGTTTGAAAATTTCTGCATTTTATGTAACAATTTACTTTTTTTAAAAAGCCATGCCCACATATATTAATGAAAGCATTTTTATCAGACAAATAAAATTTAGAGTTTAATATATACAACCTTGACTTCTTAATTTCATTATGTAATAGGACTTCTCCTAAAATAGACCCGTATTTTACAGCAAATGCTTCCGGGCCCTCTAACTTCTCAAGCATTTGCTTAATGGTAGCAGTTTTCCCAACACCAGACTCTCCTAAGGGAGGAAAATACATTAGATTAGATTCAGATGCCAGGAAATGACATAGGCTAACATTAAAATGAACTAATAACATTTTCCTTCATTGTAAAAATGCGTAAAATGTTTTTGCTTTCCCCTTTTTTAAAAGTGAGAGAGGCTAAATGAAGCATTAATGTGAACCCGTCTCAAATTATTTGAATTATTTATGTCTCTTAAAAAAATGAGCACACCGTTATTTTTATCTAATGTTTACTGAAGCCCATTAAAAATGTTTTTAATTACAGCACACGAGAAATGCTATAAGAAATGAAATTCCTTGAATTTTCTTTTCTTGTCAGGGTCTTACTATGTAGCTCAGTAGTTTCTTTCTCTTGCCTCTGTCTCCTAAGCACTGGAGTTGTAAGTGTGCACCATCACACAGGACTCCTTAAAATTTTTGCCAATACAATCTGAAGGAGAAACTTGGTGGTAAACTTCTTATTGAAGCAGAACAGGGACTCATGATTTTATAATCCACTAAATAATAAAGTAGAAACAAGAACTTTCATAGGCTACATCAGAGGCAAGGTATGAGTTATCTGAGAGCTACACTGTTGGATTTCTTGAATATGGAATAGGAAAAGCCACAGTATTTGCCTCTGGTGAGGCAACGTGACACACGTTAGGTAATCAGGAAAGGTAACCAGTGGGCTGAAATAAATGTGGAGAAAGAGTAGGAGCTGTATTAAATTATCCCTTTGGGAATGGTAAAAGCTTGAAAAAAATTTTACATTGGGTTTAGGAATTTTGTGTGTAGATTTAATTAAACCAATCGGCACTACCACAAGTTGCCATTTAAAGACCTGAGCCCATAGACTGTGGAGATCAACCATTTAGTTATTGCCTTATTTAGTTTCATTGCCTTCAGGAGAAATTCTACTTCTAGAATTTCTCCTGAAGGCAATGAAAAGATGAAAAAGATTTATAAGTCCAAGCTGGGTGTGGTGGTGCACATTTGTCATCCCAACTCTCAGGAAACAAAGGCAAGATAGGATGTTCCAGAGTTCCAGGCCAGCCAACAAGACCCAAAGATTTATAATGTCCTGTTTTGCAAATGCAGGGAACTGGGCATTCATATACTGTTGGTGAGAACATAAATCAATAGTCACCAATTTTTTCCCACTTACCTATGGCTTCATCCTTCCTAGCTCTGAAATTCCCTTTCCATCACATATTTTTAGTACCTGTAAGAAGCACGGGGCAGGAGTTCTTTAGGAGAAGGCTCATGAGAAAAGCAAGGCATGTGGTATCTCTGGTGGCGGTGTGACTAACACAGCCTTCACACTCGGCCATCATGTGTTCACCAGGTCCCTGAAGGTTGGTCAGTAGTGATGTCCCTAAGTTCAAAAGCCTTTTAAGTTTCAAATGACCTAGAAGGAAATATTAACCTACTCTTCTAGTACTCAGTACTTTCTGATTCCATTTAATGAGTGTTTCTTAAGTTTGTTACCAGAGTTCCAGTGATGAACTTACATGGTGTTTCTAACTTTTTGTTATTATAGATGCATTTCAGTTTGTGTAATATAGACAGCATTTCACACATATGTGGAATAATTTCTTATAAATGGAATTTTGGGTGAACATTATCTGTGTCATCATATATAATTTATAATTTTGATGGACATTGACAAATTGCCCTCCAACATATGAAAGTCTATGTCTTTATATGTTTGCCACAGGTATCAAAGTTTTTGATCCTTGTCAAGGTTATAGGTACAAAAATTATACTCTAGTTTGCATTTCTCATATTGAGTCAGCACTTTTTATAGTTAGGGGTCATTTGTTTTTCTGTTAACCACTTATTCATACTCTTTATATTTATATTTATAGTTTAAGGTGAATCTTGAGTTTTACAGATTTTTTAGTATAACATCAGCAAATAACGAAAACTACCTCCAGGTCCTTGGTGGATGCCTTAGGTATCACCACCACCTCGGCAAATCCAGGACAAAGAAGGGGGAAAAGGAGAAGGACAAATGTAAGTTCCTTTCCTTTCATTGTACAACCAAGATTTTGCATGATTCACTTTTGTTCACCCTCTATTGCTTAGAATCTGGTCATATGGCCACACCTAGCTACAAGAGGGCTCAGCTGGATGATGCAGTGCCTAGATGAGTTGTTGTGTGTTGGTAGAGAGCCAGCAAACAGTAGAAGCAGTGACGAGTTGCAGCCTATGCCATACACCATATTAACAAGGGAAATGGACAATTTGATAAAGTGTTGTGCAATTGAGTCTTACATAATTATTATTTAACTCTCTCATCACTTCCTTTTATATTTTCCAACCTTGATACTGAAGAAGGAACCATTTATCACATGTTTCCCTGTGTCTTCACAAAATAAATAGGACATGTACATTGGGCAATTGCTTGGTTAATATGTCTGAAATGAATAAATGACTTACTGAATGCTGGTTGAGCCTCAAACCATATCTCCTGATAACAAACAATTAGGATTATTCTTTTAAAATAAAAGTACTATGATAAAAATTTTAATTATAAAAGGTGATTTCTGAAGCATCTAGGGTGCTCAGTCTGTCATATTGTGGTTTACCGCGGAAAAATGATATTGTGACATTTAAATCCCATTACAGATTTGGGTTGGAAATCCCTGTACATGCAATTAGGGTAAACTGCAATCAGAGGAAGCAATTTTTGAAATTCTTCAGAGGAAGAAGTTTTGGATTAGATTTGAGGAAAATAACTGGTTTCCCATAGAGGTATTATGCTAGGATGTTGAATTATTCACAAATGATATTTTGAATAACAGCAAAATGCTAAGCATAAAATGGCCTAATATTATCCCTAACATGAGGTACAATTTAGAAGTTTTAAAAAGTATGGCCATGTACTACTGTCTGCTATGACAAAATATTGTACAATATAACCTTGGTATTTCCAAGAACTTTTTTGGAGCTTTATGATTTTGACAACTGTTGTTGTTTTCTGTCAAAAACTCTTGAAACCAAAGTTTGAACTTCTTTGATAGGAGAAACCTTACTTTAAAGCAATTCAGTTCAGTTCAGTTTTCATTTATTACATTTTTTATGCACATGCTCCTCAATTTATGATGGGGGTTACATCTCAATAAGCCCACAGTAAACTGAGAAAGTTGCAAGTTGGAGGTATACTTAATATACCTAACCTCTTGAACATCCTAGCTTCCACACGGTACCCTGTAGAATGGGTTCTTCACCCTGCGGCCTTCATGGGGCTGCCTGGGAGCTGGGGCTCACTGCCCTGTGAGAGAGGATCTGACTGCTTACTGCTACCCTGGGAAAAAGACCCCGACTCGAAATTCAAAGTATGGCTTCTATTGAGTTGCTTTCATGTCATTGGACAGTCTGGATTTGCAAGAGCTCTAAAACAAACTTCATCATTAAGTTCTTGCCCTACCCTACCAAGCACTCAAAGAGCAACAGGTTTCTGCATCTTCTGTGATATGTAGAAGCAGAAGACTGAGAATAACACAGCTTAGCCTATATGTATATTTATGTCATCAATAATCAAATTATGACTATTCTTTTCTAATTGTTGGCTTCCTTTGTAGCCAAGTAAGACCTCACATACATGTTTTTCCTATTTTCAAAGTAGTTCTTTCAAAAATCACAGCTAATTAAAATAATAAATACTATCTTTAGTAAGACTTTCAGTGCACTGTAGTTTTACAATGTGCCTCTAACTCAACCAAATAAATACACTCAAAATTTCTCAGAAAGTAATAAACAAAGGCTATTTTTAAAGGCACATTTGGTAAACATAAATCAAAACTGGTCCTTTTACAAATTGAATATACTAATCCTTAAAATTAAGACTTCACTTTCATTTTAGAGACATTACAAGTATGATTCTTATAATATTCTTACCTCTTTGAATTAGTGAATGGACATTAGGAACTAAATCTGACCAAGGTATGAATTCACATTGCTGAATATCAACAAAATACCCAAAGACTGATCGCTCACCAATTGGTAGTTTGATACCTATAGCTGTAAATGGCAAACAAAAAACACCTAAGTAAGAAAGGGGCTCAATTAAGGAATGTTTTACTAATAATATGAACTTTACCTGAAGTATACCAAGGGAATATTCAACTATATAAAATAGGCCTATCTTTCCCCCCAATAATAAATAGTATAAATACAAACTTTTACTAATTTTTCATCCTTTTTATATTCAGAAGACAAGGTGAATTACTATTGGATATCCTGGAAACCTTACCCCAAAGCTCTTCCTATTGAATGTGTTGGATGCTAGTGACTATCAGTAGCGTACTGGGTGTGGTCAAGCCAATACACTGCAGAATCTTGAGACTTACTTGTGAATCATTTGCTTTTCTATTCTAAAAGTAATACATTTTGTTAGCAGAAAGTTCTGGAAAATACAGAATAATAAAAAGCAAGAAAATTTAGCCATGGCTCCACCATATGAAGATAATGTTGTTAATATTTAAATGGATAAATATACATGTATAACAACGCTAATATATGCATTATAAAATTTGGCCTATTTGATCTTTCAATTTCTGATAGAGCTATATTAAAAATCTCTTACTATGATTTTAGAATTGTTAGTTTTCTCCTGGAATTCCATTAGATTTTTTTATTAAAAGACTATGTTGCTATATCAAAAGAATCATACACCATGATCAAGTCAGTTTCATCTCAGGGATGCAGGGATGGTCCAACATATGCAAATCATTAAACATAATACAGCATAGTAACAGAAGCAAAGACAAAAACCACATAATCATCTCAATAGATGCAGAAAAAGCCTTTGGCAAAACTCAACATCCTTTCATGATGAAACTAGGAATAGAAAGAATGTACCTCAACCTAATAAAGAATTTTTGACAAGGCTATAGCCAACATCATACAAAATGGGGAAAATATGAAACCATTTCCTCTAAAGTTAGGAAAAAGACAAGATGTCCATTCTTCCCATTCTTACTCAATGTAGTCTAGGAATTCCTAGCCAGAGCAGTAAGATAGGAAGAAGAAATAAAATTAACTCAAATAGGAAAGGAAGTATCCCTACTTAAGATGACATGATCTTATACCTAAAAGACCTGGAAAATTCCACAAAAAAAAAAAAAAACCCTCCTAGATACCATAAATACCTTCAGCAAAGTAGTAGGATACAAAATCAATTTTCAAAACTCACTAGCCTTTCTATATACCAACAATAAACAGAGTGAGAAAGAATATAGGAAAACAATTCCATTTACAATAGCCTCAACAAAATAAAATACCTAGTTAGTGAAAGACCTCTACAATGAAAACTAAAAACCATTGAAGAAAGAAATCAAAGACTACAGAAGATGGAAGCATCTCCCATGCTCATGGATTGGCAGAATCAATATTGTGAAAATGGCTATATTACCAAAAGCAATCTACATGTTCCATGTACTCTCCATCTAAATTTCAATCACAGAGATGAATCATATTCATCACAGAGATTAAAAAATCAATCCTAAAGTTCACATGGAAGCACAAAATACCACGTATAGTCATGGCATACTGAGTGAAAGGATCAACACTGGAGATACCACAATACCTGACTTCAAACTCTGCTACAGAGCCATAACAATAAAGACAGCATGGTACTGGAACAAAAACAGACATGAAGACCAGTGGAACAGAATAGAAGATTCAGATATGAATCCATGCAGCTACGCCCACCTGATTTTTGACAAAGGTGCCTAAAACATACGATGGAGAAAACACAGCCTCTTTAACAAATATTGCTGGGAAAATTGGGTATCTGCATGTAGAAGACTAAAACTAGATCCATGTCTTTCACCCTATACAAGGATCAAAGTTTTAAGACCTAAAACTTTGAAGTCAGTACAGGAAAGAGCAGGGAGTACTCTGGACCTAATAGGCATAGGCAATGACTTCCTCAGTACAGCTCAAATGGCTCAGCAACTAAGAGAAAGGATTGACATATGGGACTACAAGAAATTAAAGAGCTTCTACACAACAAAAGAAATGGTCACAAGATTAAAGAGGTCGCCTACAGAATGGAAGCAAATCCTTGCCAACTATACATCTGACAAGGGATTAATAACCAGAATATACAAGGTGCTCAAAAAACTAAGCTCCCCAAAAATCAATGACCCAATGAAGAAATGGACAAATGAACTGAACAGAGGTTTTCAAAGGAAGAAGTCCAAATGACCAAAAACACATGAAGAAATGCTCAACATCCCTGGCCAAAAGGAAATGCAAATCAAAACCATGTTAAGACTGCATCTCACTCCTGTTAGAATGGTTATCATCAAGAACACAAACAACAAGAAATGTTGGTGAGGATGTAGGGAAAAAGGAACCCTTATACACTGCTGGTGGGAATGTAAATTAGTAAAACCACTATGGAAAACAGCATGGAGGCTCCTCAAAAAACTAAAAATAAAACTGCCATATGATCCAGCAATACCACTCCTAGGGTTATACCTGAAGGACTATAAGTCAGGTTACAATAAAGACACCTGCACAACCATGTTTATTGCAGTATTATTCACAATAGCTAAGATATGGAAACAGCCAAGATGCCCCACTAGTAATAAATGGATTAAGGAAATATGGTATGTATATACAATAGAATTTTATTCAGTCATAAAGGAGAATGAAATTTTGTCATTTGCAAGTAAGTGAACTGAACTGGAGAACAACATCTTAAGTGAAGTTAGTCAGGTTCAGAAAGCCAAAGGCCACATGTTTTCTCTCATATGTGGAATATAGGCCCAATACAAATACAAGCACTATTATGAAAAACAGGTCACTTTAAGTGGGCGGTCACTAACAGGAGAGGAAGGGTAAAAGAAGGAGGTTACGAAGGTGAATATTGTTGATATACTTTCTATACAAGAATGAATATAGAATTTTTTAAACCTTTTGAAATTGCGACAAGAGGACTAAGATAGAAAGGAGAAAAATAGAGGGGATGAACCAATTAGGATTATAATACATACACACATGGAAATGTCACAATGCAACACACTGTATAGCTGTCTTATATAAAAATGTCTTTTTTTCCAAAATGGAGAACAGGAAGGCAACAGTTCCTGTCTTGGGGGCTGGCACCAGTGGGAGGAGGGAGGATATAAGGAAAGGGTGAAGGAGGGTGAACATGGTACTTATGAAGTAAATGGAAAAATGAAACTTGTTGAAACTATTCCAGGAATGGGGTGGGGGGTTAAGGACAATGATGGAGGGTGAGTTCAACTGTGATATATTATTGCAAGCACTTTTGTAAATGCTACAACATATGCCCAGTATAACAATAATATGGTAATAATAAAAAAGAGACTATGTTGCTAATTCATACAAGCTCAGAATTGTTTGCCTTTTGTGGGTTATTTTAATTCTTTTGAATTAGCATATATTAAACTGTACAAAGGGTTTCATTATGACACGTCCACATGCACACATTGTACTTTGATCATATTCATCTCCTCTATTACTCTTTTTTTTTTTTTTTTTTGTGTTGGTGGTTCTGGGGTTTGAGCTCAGGGCCTCAGGCTTGGTAGGCAGGTGCTCTTACTGGTTGAGCCACTCCAACAGCCCTTTTGTTTTGGGTATTTTCAAGATAAGGTCTCACAAACTATTTGCCCATAGTTGGCTTTGAAGTGTGATCCTCCTGATCTCTTCCTCCTGAGTAGCTAGGATTACAGGCGTGAGCTACCAGCACCCGGTTGCAGTACTAGGTTTAAACTCTGGGCTTATGCAATTGCTAGGCAGACCCTCTACCACTCGAGCCACACCCCCAGTCCTATTACTCGTTCTTGTCCCCCCCTTTGCCCTGCCCCCTATCCGTTTCCCTTCTGCCTCCTCTGAGTTCCCTTTTTACTGTCATGACCTTGGTTACTTTCCCCCTCAGTTTCTACAAAGGAGAGAAAACACATGGTACTTGTTTTTGTGGGGCTGGCTTATTTCACTTAACAGGATGATGTCCAGTACCATCCATTTTCAAGCAAATGACGTAATTTCATTCTTCCTGATGGTTGAGTAAAACTCCATTTTATATATGGATGTATGTTTTATATTATACACATATGAAAAATTTTTCTGTATGCATTGATGAGCACATAGACTGATTCCATGATTTGGCTGTTATGAATAGTGCCACAATAAATATGTGTATACAGATATCTTTATAATAGGTTGACTTTGGTTCTTTCGGGTGTATCCCCAGAAATAGTATGGTTCGATAACATGGAAGTTGGATTTTTAATTTGTAAGGAAGTTCCACACTGATTTCCATTGTGTCTGGACTAATTTATATTCCCACCAGCAGTGAATAAATTCCTTTTTCCCTGCGTCCTTGTCAGCATTTGTTGTTACTTGTTTTTTCTTTTCTGACAGTACTGAGGTTTGAACTCAAGGTTTCACACTTGCTAGTCCTTTTTGCTTTAACTTTATTTTTCAGGTAGGGTCTTAAAATTTTGCCCAGATCAGCCTCAGACCATGATAATCCTGCCACTAGTGTTTTTTTTTTTGGGGGGGGGTAAGTTCTCACTAATTTTTTTGTAGGTTGGTCTTGAACTGTGATCATCCTGTTGTTACCTCCCAAGTAGCTGGGATTATAGGTGAGAGCTGCCATGTCCATCCAGCCCCTTGTTTGTTTTTTTGATTATAACCATTCTGACTGGTGTGAGGTGGAATGCCAATGTAGTTGTGACTTGTATATCCTGACAGCTAAGGATGTTGAGCATTTCCTCATGTATTTTTTGGTAATTTGTACCTCTTCATTTGAAAACTATCTGTTCCTTTCCATTGCCCATTTATAGATTGGGATATTTGCTTTTTGCAGTTTTATTTTTTGAGTTCTTTATATATTACAGCTATTAGTCCCTTGGATGAATATCGGGGAAATACTTTCTGCCATGCCAATTATTTCTTATGCTGTGCAGAAGCCTTTTAATTTGATACAATCCCATTTGTCAGCTCTTGCTCTTATTTCCTGAGCTACTGGCACATTCTATATC